TATAACGAGGTGAAAAATTTAAATACCTCCCTAAAGTTAAATACTTCGTTACTGAAATAGTGAAACAGAGGGAGCCCACCAAAGAATATTTCTCCCCGGGCCCCAATTAGGCTAAGTCGGGGCCCTGATGACACAACATCTAATCTAAAATCAAGTTCATTCCATCTCGGTTTGTTGTTCCTTCTTAATGCTGAAAAAAAATTCTTGCAAATCTAGCAGTGTTTTTGGTCTATTAGACTCATGAATAGTTTCCATGAATTACACGAACTGAACCGATTCTGAATTATTAACGCGATCTAGGAAACCAAAAATATTTTCTAAAACGTTCCGTTTCTAAAGATGTTTTTATATTGGATTATTGAGTAAAATATCATGTGGATATTGGATAATCATGCGGATTGAGTAAATATGTGAATATTGGATTATTGAGTAAAATATCACGTGGATATTGGATTATTGAATAAAATATGTGGAGTGCTTTTCTTCAAATGAATAATTTTTTTATCTGCATTTGCATGTTAATTCTTTAAGGTATCCGACTAGTTTCGACAACTTTTTTTTAAATATTAATATGAAATTTTAAAAAAACTAGTTCATGTGTTTTTATACGTAAGTATAAAAACACATGAACTAGATTTTGATTAACTTTCGTTGACGCAATACTGTTTTTGAAAATTTTTTTTTATTAGCACATGACTATATTAATACGAATTAGAGAAAAATAAATTTAAAAAAATAATTTTTTTTTTTAGTAAGTATAAGTAAATTTTTTATATCGCGGGGAAAAATATTGATTTAATAAAATCTAATAAAAGTTCAAACTCTGAAAATTTGCTTATAACAACTTAAAAAATAAGGGTAGTCGTAAACGAAAAAGGTTTCCAATTAATTAAAAGTTTAAATGTATTCGACTTAATTTAAACAATGAATCACTCTTTTATTCTACATTTTTTAACTCATTACTGTTTTTCAAATTTGGTCGAAATTAGGGAAAAACAATCTTAAGTTTTAATTTTTAGAATTAAATTAATTAAAGTTAGAATGAATATTAAAATTCCTTTTCTAAAGACACTAGATGAAAAAAATAATAACTGCGAAAATCCGCATAACTATTTTTTAAGTTGTTATGCGGATTTAATCTTAATTCCGCATAACTGTTCACCCTGTTTTATCAAAAAGCGAACTGTGTTTTTTTAAATTTATTCTAAATTAAAGAAATTCACATAGCGAATTCCTGCGTAAAACTGTGTGTCTCAAATTGAAGTTTGAGGCAAGCACATGATTTTCTTTTTTTTTTCATGCGCAAGTATAAAGAGCAGTAAAACTATTTAACAGTATATTATAAAAAAATAAACAGAAAAAAAAACTGTTCATTTTATTAGTTAAATTTTTAAATATTTTAAAGAAATTTTTTTTCTTTACTGAAATGTGTTTACTTTTGACATTACATTTGCAATTACACGTATTGCTTTCTTCTTCATAGTGGGACATACTATAAATACGTAGACGCACTATCTTTTTGCAAGTCTTTCGATCTTTTTCTTAAAAATTTTATCATTTTTTTTTTAACCATATACTTGCCTCCGTCAAAGTTTGCTTGTTAAAATTGTTCGAAGTCTTATAGAACAGTAACTGAGTAAAAATAAACGATGAAGGAAATTGCACATTCACCTTTATCTCTGGCTTTCTTTTCTTGTATTCGAAACGAATTCTATATTGAGTGACAGGTGCTCCGAATAAACAGTGCGATTCTTAGTGCAAACGATTTACAACCAACCAACTGTTATAAAACGGAATTAATAACAGACTTTTTCTGTCATTTGAAAACATCATAAAAACGACAGTTCAGAATCCGAGTAGTAACATAGCCTATTTCGAATGAAAACCTATTCACGGATGGCTACTTTTGCAACTAATCCAGTCACACATTTCAACAAACTGTCTTAGCTAACATTTGCAAATGAACAGTGTGAAGGAAGCGAAAAACCTTAATAGCTTTTAATCTAATGATCGAATTTTTCGTACACTAACATGCAATCTTAATGATTCGAGAAATCGACCTTAAATATGCTAATTCAGCTTTTACCAAACTTTTTAGTTGTGCGGACTACCAATTTTGTAAAAGAAGAAACTTTTCAAATCTACTAAAAATAAAAATATAAGAAATACATGTGAAACAGACACCTACTGTATTCCTATGGCGTATATATGCAAATATATAGTAACTAGTGAAAATTACTGTACAAGAAGAATTAAGATATTTTTTTTTTATATTAAAGAAATAACTTTAGGGAATAACTTTAAAGAAACAAATTTACTTAACACTGATGTCCTATCACTTAGCTAGTAGAACTGTAATAAAAAGTTTAAAAAAATTAAGATAAAATAAGTTTTAAAAAAAATTCTTAATTTTATATTTAACACTGCTTGTCAATTACTTGCGAGTCCAAATGTTAGTGTGACATATGAAAGTGAAACCTACACAAAGGCCAAAAAAGATGAAAACGGCTTGAAGGTGTTTGAACGAAAGGTCCTGAGGAGAATAATGGGACCTATTAGATATATGACTTATATCTAATAGGTAGATATAGGACCTATATGATAGAGGAGAATGGATAATTAGGTCAAACCTAGAAATCGAGAAAATCATAAAAGAAAAAATCATAAAAGAAAAAATATTGTTCGATGTATCAAATCCCAGTGCCCCTCATGGCTTAGACAGGTAGAGAGGAGAGACAATATTTAAGGCTTGAAAAAAATAATCAACTGGCCCAGAAGCCGCTCAAGGAAAAGTTGGAAGGAAGACGTTATTGACGACTTGGAAATAATGAAGATATATGGCTGCATGGAAAAGAATTGTGAAACAAGCCAGGGTCCACTAAGTGTTGTAGAAGTTTATCCTCAAGTCACTCTCAATACTCAATTTGTTCCAATATTTATTTTTCAAAAATTTAAAAATGCTTCATTGACATAAGTTCACGGCCCAGTACCATGGGTTAGAAACCAGCGTGCTAATTTATTAATACGAACAGTATTTTAAGTAGTAAAATTGGTAACAAAAGTAAAAATGGTGCTAGGAAATCTGAAAGGAAAAAAATTAATTTTCAAAAATTTTCTTTTTAGAAAAAAAAATATATCATGCTTCGGAGTAATAGTAGTTCTGATTCTTCAAATATTTCGACCGTATTATGTTAATGGGTGGCCTTGTTTGCATAGTATCCTCTTTACTTTTATCCATTTTTAAATACGAAACATTAAAATTCAATAAGTCTGTTACTTTTACCTACATGGCTGCGTAGGGTTAACACTAACGTTAGATGACTCGTGAAAAAATTATAGTAATCACTCGTTGTTACCGTGGAAACTATATGATCCTCTATTTTTCAGAATAACTAGGTACTTCATATGAAATACCTAGACAAGAGTCAGTTAAAGTTTATAAAATTAAGTAAAGTATGAAATGCGGCTCTCGAAAGTTTCTTGAATCGGTTCTAGATGCTTTTAGTCAGTTTTGGACGTATGCGTGTAGGCTTCATTCCGTTGCTCTTAGACGATGTTATTAATTCATAATCAGTAGGTAACATAACGACTATAGTTAGTTGCGACTATAGTATAGTTAGTAGGTAAAACACATACTAAGATCTGACTGACTGCAGAACTCACAGGTTTTAAACGCAAAATTTTTTAAATCTCTTTAATCTTTAAAAATGTTTACAAGTATTTATTTATTAATTATTGCTTTAAAAAAAAGTCATGCATTGACTATTCGTTTAAGGTTTTCTTATTTTAATCAAACGGAAATTTATAATACAGTTTTGAAAAATTTTCTTTTTTAATACTTGTTATTACAAATATTTTAAAACATATTAAAACTATCACTTTTCAGCCTTCAATGAGCCGCTCTCAGACCTTTAATTGTGATTATAATTAGTCTAAAACACACATTAAAGCTACTTCATTTTAACCCTAAATGCACCGATATCAGATTGTTTTTCATTCATTGCACTTAAAATACATTTAAAACTGTTAATTGTAATTACAATTCGTTTCTGTATTTCAGTGTGTGTTTCGCCGTTAAAAATAAGAATAAATACATATAACATATTAAAATTATAGCGTTTTAAACCCTCAATGCACCACAATTAGGCCGTTTTTCAATTATCCTAATTACTAAACTATACTAAAACTATCACGCTTTAAGCCTTAACACACCGTGATCCTATCGGTACACCAGCGGCTATCGTATCCAGGGTGCGTAGCCAAATCTTTCAACAAAAAAAGCATCTTTTAAGCACTCAAAAGATATTTTTAAGTACAATATACATTAACAAAATGCAAAATAATTTTCAAATACTTTACATGATCATGAGAAAATAACTATGAACTCCTTTCTTGAATAAATTAGCCATTATAAAATGATCAAGAGATTTTTCGGTTCGATATCAGAGACTGGAAATTGAAGCCTCAAACTGAGAATACGTATCTTGCAAAATGCAGCAGAGTTGCACATGAGAGTGCAATAATTTCACCAAACCCAGCTCAGTAGACGCACATGCGGACCGGCAAAGTAGTTCATCAAACATGTGAAATGATTGCATCAGGCTTTCATACGCTATGGACTGACGGTACGCCGAAATGGAATGTGGTTGAATGAATTATGAAAATGTTGAATAGAACAATGTGAAAAGCACACTTTTGCATAATACGCAGTGGAAATCGACATGGTAAAGAAAAAAAATCTCATTTCTAAAAAAGGGAAAATTAGACTTCTTTTTAAAAACACCCAATGAAAAAAAGCACCTTTAAGTGCTTTTGAAAAACGAAAATAAGCACCTTTAAGCACTTTTTAAAAACGCTATGTACCATGGTTTCATATTAGCATACAAACTATACATGCGGATTAATAAGAAGCAAAATAATTCAAATATCACATAAGTCTGTTTCAGGGGGAAGACTTATAAGTTACAAAAAGAGAACGTAGAGAATGGATAATAACTTACCGGCGGCAGCGGTGATCAGTTGCAACCACTCAGCGAGCATGGCCAAAGGATTGTGTAGAGAAAGATGGTCAGCACAGAAACCCATATAGAATAAGAGAGTCGCTGACCTGGAAGCATCAGGTATGATGACCCAGAAAAGAAAAAAGGAGAACTTCTTTTTACCTTTCGATCTCTTCACTATAATCACTTCTCAGAAAGCGCGAGAAATAATAATCGAGCTGTGAATATCGCTTCAGGGGGGAAGGACAGTGAGAAGCTATCAAAGTATCTTTTTTTCTTCTTCTTTTTTTTGGTAACAAAATTCGATTGGATTCGGCCACATCAATAATTTGGTTCAAGAGAGGTATTTAGCGGGAAAAATTTTCGCAGGGCACCATACCAAAATTTTTCAAAGAAACGTTGTTTTTATTTTTTTAATGAAGATATAATAATCTACTAATAAACAGCTAGAGGTTTCGATCCATGCTCGACCTCGCTCGTCTACCCTCGGAACCTTTTCGGAGAACTTTGCAACTTCTAATTAAACTATAGGGGCCAGTTTTCTAGGTTGTGCTTCCCCCGTACTTTGAGGGTCAGAAATCCAAATCTGTCCTAAGATATATTCGTTCAGAGAAAACATTTTTGTGTCTGATTTCGCAATTTAAAATATCTTTTGCGTTAACTAATTAGCATATTAGTTAGCGCAAACGATATTTTAAGTTGCGTTATCTTAAGTTGAGCAAACGATATTTAAGATCGTTTGCGCCAATTATTACAACTAATTAGCATCGCAACTTAAAATATCGTTTGCGCTGTTGGTCATGAAAATACGATCATTAGAACAAAAGTTATTCAGGATAATATCTTTTTTTTTATCATTACATAATAACTATTAGTCTATAGTTTTTGTTCATAAATTAATGATATTTAAATAGTTTTTAACTTAAAATTATCTTGTTTAAATAGCTATATTTCTGGGAAATGTATTAACATCAAAAGTATAATTTTAAAATCTGACCCAGAAAATCTTCGGACTGCCTCATTGTTTCCAGTTCGAACTTATTTGTTCGCTCACGGTATTCTAGTGCATTTTAGTCTAGGCTTCGATGTATCTGATGTCGTCAATTTGTCATTATTATAGTTCTTTTTTTTTTACAGGAAAAAATAAAATCAATCTTTGCATGCTACTGCTGTGCCACATTGTTGTTATTATAGTTCTTTTTTTTTTTTTTACAGGAAAAAATAAAATCAATCTTTGCATGCTATTGCTGTGCCACATTGTTGCACGCTGCCGCTGGCTGGCTAATAAATTGAGCAATTTATTTGATTTGAAACTCATAGATTGAAAGTACGAACGCATGTAAAGTACCAAAACATGTAAACATGATATAAAGGAAAAATTGAGTTATAAAATGTAAATTTAATTGAATCATTTACGCTATTTGTATCTTTCGAAAAAGTCACATGCATTCAGGAAAAAATTCTTTGGTTTATCCAATCTTATTTTGTCAAAATTTCATAATTTATGAAACTGATATCAGTATTATTATTTTTTTTAAACTAAATTCTCAGTTATCTCTTATTCATGAGCAAAATAAATAAAAAATTAAATCATTTTAAATATTTTTCGATCTAAGCATCGGATTTTCATGAACTAATAGCCGATCAAAAAATTTTCAAAAAGATATGGGGCCGGGATAGCACTGGGTCCATGTCCAAGAGGTCGTGGTTTCGATCCCCGCTGGCCGAAGACAACCCGTGTAGTAAATGGTGACTGATACACGTTAAATCTGTAGAGTCACAAAGTCCTCCATGTTCCCATAAAAAGTCATACCTCTGGGGGTACTGATTCAGGAGTTTCCTTGTCTTCAGGATTAGGTTCAAAATTACAAAGCTACGGAGTTGAACAATAGTAGTCGTAAACCCAAAATTGGCCGTCGGTCGTACAATGACGGTTATTAAAAAAAAAGAGGGGATATACCAACTATGCTAATTAATTAGCGCTATCTATTAACTTACAGAGACAGGCACAAAAACGTACTTAGTCTGAATAAGCATACTTCTTTTTCGACAGACTTGGATTTCTCACCTTCAAAATATGGGGGAGAGGGGTATCTGTCGCACTACCATACATTTTTTCTCCAAAAAGTAGCGCATTAACTATGAAAAATTAATTACTACACACAAGTATTCACATGTTTGTTGCACCTTCCGGAGGCAGTGTTCCCAGTTTGAAACCATCATAGCACCAAGAAAAGTAAAACTTCTAAGCATCCACCTTTTTTCAGCAACTCTTTAAACAAAAGTTCTGATGTATGTCTTTATTTCAAAATATTAGATTGCATTTTCTAAAGTGCCGCTTTTCCTTAACTGAAGTTTTCTCGTTGTAAAAGGTGAAGTAGTAGAGTTAATTCAAGTTAAAGAGTCTTTTATTTAGCTGTTGAATTTTCAAAACTCATAGAACTTAGTAGACTTAATTAATTTAACCTCTGATGAACCCAGTGCCCAATATTTGGTACTGTTTTATCACTTAAAAATAACATTTAAAGATTATTTTATCTGTGTGCAGATATTTACAAGACGACAGTTTGTATAAAAATACATTTGAATTTAACCTTGTTCACTGCAATTTCTTTTTTTATAATGAAAAATTATAAGAAAATTAATTATAGTACATAAATATCTTATAATTTCAGTCATTTTTTTTCATTACTAAAATGTGAAGAAATACGCTAAAAAAATAACTTATACCTTGCAACACAATGCTAAAATCTAAAATGTATAATTTTTTAGTAACAATTAAAAATATCAAAAAACGTTTATTAGGTTTATTTTTTTTATTTTACTTTAAAAAAAATTATTTTATCGCACTTAAAAGTATACTCTGTTTTAAACTTATGATTAAAAATTTCCTTTTCTTCCATTATTTAAAGCTCGGGTCTCAAGAAATTAATTTAATGTTTAAAAGCCAATTCTTTTAAAAGATTATATGCTAGACATATTTGATTTTTTTTTAAATTTCCAGGACATGTTTTTTATGGAAAACTATTAGGCGCGTATTTCTTTCATGCTTGCGATAGAAAAACTCTGGAAATTTTAGGGATCAAATTTACTAAACCTCTGAAATTTTGGGAAAAAATTACATGAATTTGCAAGGTGCAATACTTTTTATGAAACCAGTGAATCACGAGTTATTTTATAACCGTTGTTGAACAGCCGACCTTTTACGTTGTTGAACATCGAATTTTTTGGGTTAACGACTGCTAATGTTCAACTCCGTAGCCGTGTAGCTTTGAACCTAACCCAGAGGACAAGGAAACTCCTGGATCAAATATTGGGCGAAATTTGCTTCGAGGAGGGCCTTTTTGATAAAACTAATCCGCATTTGCATTACACGAAGAGGATGACCACGAAAACCTCCCGCGGTTAGTCTGACGGCAAGGGTCTCTAACCCATGATCCGTCTACCACTGAGGGTATTTTACGTCAGCACTGCGGTCGGTACAAGCCGGATTCAAATTCGTATCGACCAGCCATCCCTGGGATCGAGCCCGGGTCACCTCATTGGGAAGTGAACACTATCTCCTGAGCCATTGCGGCTCATGGAGAGTTATTTGATATTCTACTACGTTCACGCCAATTAGGACATAAATACTTCCAGTGGTACTTTATATCGAAGTTCAATCAAAAACGGCTATTTTTTTTAAACCGTTAAAATCTACTAGTACCTGCAGTGAACGACAAACGTTATTAATTCCGTGAATACTAATAATACCGTTATAATAAGTAGTACATAAAAAATAAAAAGATGGGGTGATTTCTTTGCACTGACCTTAAAATTGAAGTTTCGCACAACTTTTAAAGTCATTAGTCTTCATCATAATTAAACAAGTATGAAATTTGCTGAAAAAGAAGATTTACAGTCTCAGGTCAAATTATTAGATGTAAAAAAAGATTCCATGTAAAATCTTAAATATCAGGTGACACTATACAGCTTTATTGTTTTTATACGTTCTTGTATGAATTGGTTAATATTGTAATGCAATACGTTAAACATAAATACTAATAGGAAGTAGTATATAAAAAATCTCCTGAATAAAAACCCATTACATGTGTGTGTAAATATAAAAGTATTGCATATAAACTCGTGCAAAACATTATAAAAACACTACAGTACGTTTAATAATTTGGTCTGATTATTATAATACTCGATATAATAAATATTCTATATTTAGATAACACATCGTCTAACTTATCCAATCATCGAATTTATATTATATATCGTCTAATTTATCCAATTGATACAGTAACGTAAATAAGTGTAAACCGGTTTCAGTAACGTAAATAAGTGTAAACCGGTTTCAGTCGAGTAAAAACAATAAAGCTGTATAGTATCATCTGATAATTAAGATTTTACATAGAATATTATAGAGCGTCTTATAATTTGTCCTGGGAGTATAGAAAAAAAAAATCAATTCACTGATTCAAGGTTACTGATTCACTTTTTTTACAATATGACAATTATGTATGAAACCCATACTTAAATGCAAAAATAACTATATGGGACTTAATTGGGGGGAAATAGTTACATTTTTCTACAAGGTGAGCAGCACTTTAAATCTAAAACGCAATCAACTAATATTAAACGAATATAAATCATATTTGGTATAACTATAATTATATTTAACTAATATTAATCATTTTTAATGATTAAGCAATGAAATGTGAAGAATTGAAAGTAGTTCTAAATTCTAAAACTTATCTTTTACAATCGTTAATGAACTTTGGGAAACATTAAAGATAACGAAAGTAAAGAACATTTTCAGGAATTCTAAAAGTAATTTGCTGTGCGATGCGACCGGAGTTGGGAATTTTTCGGCAAAAATGTAACCCTATTACCAGTTCATCTTTGAAGAAGTTTTCAAAGCCTGATATAGACTAGCTATCTCTACCTAAATTTCCCCTCAATGTTGTGAACGTGATAGAAAATAAAATAACAGTAATTACTTTGTTTCAGAAAAATAAAAAAGCATCGAAATCTCGATGAAAGAATGCAGTCAAATACATTGAGGTAATATTGATTTAAGCATTGATACTTATTTTCACTCAAAAACTTCCAAATTTAAAATAAAAAACATTTTTTAATTCAAATCTTACATTGTGCGTATAATTGGGTAAGCCACTATTCCACTTTTGCGTGAAGTTCATGCTTTACTTTACATTTATGATACGGAATATTTACATTACTCAAGGTAATAATAATCGTTCCGTATAATGAGTTCCTGTAAAACATAGTTAAAAAAGGAATTGTAAAAATGAAAGCTATATATAACGCATGGAAAATATTGTCTTACTAAAATTCTTTTTCTTCTTCTTAATTTTACAAAAGATAAGTAAAAAAAACAACTAAAATAAAAAGAACAGATTGTAAATAAGGGGTAGGTAGGTATTTTATTCACTAGAGCTGCACAATGGGCTATTGGCGACGGTCTGAAGACATACCCGCAATTTTGATCTCTCAGAGAGGGTGGCTCCCCTGCTTTGGTTGCCTGACAACTTTCGCGCGAAATCGTGCACTTTACGGTAGAACAGTTTAACGAGGACTGATACACCCTCGGTCCCTAAGCAGGCTGATCAAAGTGGTCACCCACCCGCTTACTGACGGTAACAAGTGATGCTTGCATTTGGTGTTCTACCAGGAACCGTGTCTTTACCATCAGTTCACTGCGGGACTTTAAATAAGGGGAAAGAATGCAGAATAAATATATGATTGTCTTTTTCCAAATACATTTATATCTTCAAAAATCAAATTAGAACATGGAAAAATAATATATTTTATTTTAGTCACATCATGAGGAATTGTCACAAGTTTTTTTGGAGGCACTATTTCATTCGCAGCATAAACCACGAATTGAGAAACTTTTATGTCCTGTTTCATGTCACTTTTTAAAAAGGCTAACTTTTTTTTTCTCGTTTTCATTATCCTCTCCTAGCAAACGATATGCAATATTTTCTTCTCTAATTAAAATACTTTCAATCTCAGTCAGCTCAGCTAACTTTGCTTGCATTTCATTTTTAAATTGAGTTAATACGAATCCCGATGCGAGATTTTTAAATTGCGAGAAGACGGATCATGAATAGCGGTTGCTGTGGGGATGTGTTTCTCAAAACTTTCTTTTGCAGATTCTCGATTTAAAAAAAAAAATCAACAAAAAGTTGTGATCGTCTTATTATGATCACTGCTTACCCATTGTTCAAATGCTTTTTTCTTTCTGGATTGACTCCGTTAAACGCCACAACCTTTCAAATCACGGGTTGCAAAAACTGTCCAAAATGATGTTTGTCGTCGGATTGATTTTCATATCATGCCTTAGTACGTGTTTCAAGACGTCACAAAATACTTTTCCTTCTTCAGTATTCATATTGAAATCACAGCCAAGCCTGCAATTATACGTTAATAAAAAAAAATTTTAAAAATACTTTAAATTATTATAATGTAAATACATTAAAAATGCCTTCTAGTGAAAGGAAAAACAGCAGCGGTCGCCATAGCAACGCGTGCAATGACGACGAATGCGTACTGTTTACTATTACTCTTGAATACTAGTGTGATAACGTCCAAATAAGTTCCGCACTCTATCAAACCCAAAATAAGACCCATTTTGGCATGAATAAAAAAAACATGATGAATGAGAAATAAATACATGAGGTCGGTGAGCAGAGCGAACAGAAAGCTCGCCATAGCAACGCATGCGCAATGACTTTTGAACACAGTTGAAAAGTGCGTGAACGCCATCATTTCCAAACCAAGACCCATTTNAAAAAAAAAAAAAAAAAAAACGGGAAGAAATCTTTTGTGGCACTGGGCAATCTTTCAGGGATAATTGTCGCCAACAATGGAAGTAGACCTAATACCATGCTTTGATGAAGTGAAGACGTGGTTATTTTATCCATCAAGCGAAACTAATTTTTTACTTACAAAACGAAATTCATTTTTTTCCCCTTAATTTGAAATTTCCTCAATTCTCTAGCATAAATATGTTAATATTTACCTTTTCTATTGTCTCCAACAAAAAATAAAGAAATCTTAAAAATTTCAAGACATTTTATTGAAGTTTTTAAAATTTAAGAGTATTTTATTTTTTGGGGAAAATTTAAAGACAACTTCGAACCCTGCTTTCTTTAAATATTTTCAGGGACAAAACTGTTCTAAAATAAACTTACATTTTTCTTCACAATATTTCTACTTATTAATTGCTAAAATTTTCCCAATCGTTTGAATGGCGTTTGCGTACCCCCAATTATGACCTGCTGCAATATAGGACGGCTCATTATTGTTTTCCAAACATTAGTTGGCAGTAGATTTCGATTTACAACTAGTCAACAGTAAAACTGCATGGTTCATTAAATTTTTAGATTGACTTTAAGTTTTATAATTTGAAAATTATGTAATATATTATTTATTTTAGGCAAACAAATAAAGAATAGTATACAAATATGCATTTATTCATAAAAAAATACAAAGAATGTGGCATAAAAAACATTAAAAAGTATCTAATTTTTTACATTAAAATTCTTTTCCCACTTAATTTACTACAGATATAAAAAATTTCACAGAAATTCTAAGCAGAAAAAGAAAACTTAAAATAATAACTAATCAGAAAAACTGTCGTTGAAGTAAGTTTTAAATAACTTTTTCCTTGACGAGTAAATAATAGAATTCGGCTTGGATTTCGGAGTCACAAAACATTCAGATTCTTCTGAGCTTTCATTGCTGGATGAATCATTTAATTGATTCCGATTGAATGATAAAACAGGCGATGATTCCTCATCCTCTGAATCTAACACCATATTTTTCTTGGTGACATTTTTTCTTTGTACAGGACTGTCATCGTAATGGAGCGATTCTGCAGGAGTCGCATCCACTTGAATGAGAGGTGATGTCGCCAGTGCCTTTGCAAATGGACTATTCTTGGGCGAGATATAATTCCCATACAATCTTAGAGGAGTTATCCTCGGAGAACGACCTCCGTTGCTGGCCACTGGTGTGCTAGGAATTGAGAGGGGAATGGAGGCCACTGAATTCTCGGGATCATCCGAAACTTCTTCCTCGCTTTCGGACACAATGCGTTCGGGGGTGGCACAAGAGCTGCCTGGTTGACTGGAATCACTTTCTGATGGCAGATGCATGTTTCTGAAAACAGAGTAAAAATTACCTATAGAATTGATTATTTTTAAAATTTTATTTAGGCTCAACACTGGTTGTTGCTACATACAACCTCATTTTAGAATATTAAATCAAGAAGCAAGATAAACATAATAACAATAAAGATAAACATAAATGACATAATCAGGCTGCAAAATTAAGAGTGGTCCAGAGCCGTTAAAATTTCCCTGGGATCCTCCGCGGCAGAATCGCAGCGACATTGTCGCAGAAAGACTTTTATTTTGAAAGGCAAAAAATTCTACTTTTATTTTCTACAGAAATTTACACGCAATATTTGAATAATGCATTTAGATAACTTTTTGATGTGTTCAATTTACGCGGAGAATACCGTAAATCGATGTAATGTTTTGATCGTATTTTCAGCAGTTATTGATTTTCTAGTGGATTTAAAATATTGCGAAATATTTCAAACAATATGGAAAATTCGAATCCTGCATTTCAGTATTTACTTTTTAAGGCAATAATTCTATCTAATTTTTGGCAGTTACTGCTATTGAAATTTCCAAAGTTTAAAAATCCAATATATTTTTTACACAATATTATTTATTACAACAGCCCAATCTCGAAACGAAACACACATTTGAGGAGCGCGATTCAAGTGATTTTGTCGTTGATCTTTTTGCAGCAATTACTTCTATGAATTTTATGATTTTTAATTATTTTTTTAGTGATGATTATTGACAAAATGCGAAGGAAATAATGTGCGCGTCCCCCCCCTAACAAACTCCGAGAATATCACCCATACAATTAGTATAAAAAATTATTACATGTTCAATTGAAAAAAAATATATTTTTTGTTGTAAAGACAGCACTTTTGTGTTTTTAAATTAGTAACATATATGTTTGTTATTATTGATAGTATCTTGGAGAAAGGTATCAGTGCTAGAGAGTTTTGTCGCAGATAGCTTAAAAAAATTCTGCCACAGGGCTAGGGTCATAAATTTAGAATGGTATCTCTAACCAAAAATCAATGTGCAGGAAAGGTCCTTTTGGATTTTTTTACCTTTAGTTTAGAGTTTTAATGTGTTTTTGTCATCATAACTTTGTTTTGTCCCTTATAATTTGTATCATATTACATTTTCTGTATTGCATTTTTTTTTTAAAATTAAATTCAATTTATTAACTTAAAAAAAAAAAGAAAACTAGTGGGGACAAATAAACGAAAATTTGTGCGGACAAGTAATGTCTTTTGAGTTACTAGTCCATTGAACTAGTGATTAAAATTTTCTTTCTGAATATTAACAGAAAAGAATGAAAGGGGAGTAGAGTCTGATCAATCAGTTAATACAAGTTCTGGCATTGCAATATCATTTGACAATTTTTCCCAGGAGTAGAAATTAAGAAAAAACAAACATCCTGGTCCAAAAGACAGTAACTCAAACAATATTACTTGTCCATACAAAGCAGAGAACGAGCAATGTTCACAATTGTGGTGAAATATGCAATTTAGTGGCAAAAATACAAAACAATTTTAGACCTTGACCAACAAAACCACTGTTAATTTCAGGCCTGTCACCCCAAATTATTGAGACCCTAGATTTTAACCTTGGAGAACAAAAATATGTTTGACATTCTTGATGCCCACTCCACAAATATGGCATACACTCAATACAATACCTATTCTATTCAGGTGTTCTGCCATCCCTGTGGTTGAATTTTGTAAAAATTCTCCCTAACACTCATACCTTTTTAATAGTAACAAATATATGTTTCTAAATTAAGGTAACAGTGGCACATTATGCTTACAAAAAAAAAACTCTATGAATAGAATAAAACTGCAAGTAATTTTTCGAATTTTAAATGTAATAATTTTTTTTGTACCTAACCTCAATGATTTGAGGATTAAAAATCTAAAAATAGAAACATCAATATCAAATAATATATTACAACATTACATATTAATTATACTCAACATTTTCAACTATATAACTTTATGAGAAAAATTTAAACATACTGCGCTCTAAAAGTTTCTGGACGGTATTTTTTCACAATGCAATAAAGGAAAATCTCCATAACGCAAAAAAAAAAAAAAAAAAAAAAAAAAAAAAAAAAAAAAAAAAAAAAAAAAANTTCATAACTACTTTGTAAGAAACTGTGCTATAGATTTACACGCTAAAATAAAAAAAATTTGCTCATTAAAAAAAGCAACATCATTTTCAGTTTTAAGTCATAATTTGGAATAATGAATATTTTATGATTGAATGCTTCATAGGTGAGCGATTCCTTTATAATTCTTATACATTTTATACTGATGAAAACCAAACAAGTATCTGGATATTTGCTAATCCAAGAGCCATATTTAAAAAAAAAAAATGTGACAAAAACTATGAGAAACTTTTTTATGACCAGTATCTTTCTGTTTTATAGAGTTTCATTTTACACAAGTGATACTTTAAAATACTAAGAATATACCAAAAATGTTACCAATATATGAATAAAATTTTAGGTAAAAGGAGCTACCTTGCACAAGATTTTCTTTTCTTCAATGTTGTATTCTAGAAAAAGAAATTATAATGTTACAGGACATTCAAATTATGATGGTATACATAACATAGTGAAGCAAAAACACAAAATCTAAAGTCAGGGCAAGTTTGTTCATTATAGAAAAAGCCATCCAGGAAATAATGGGGGGGAAAACTTATTTTTCTTTTCATTTGAATGTCCATGCTTAAAATAATATTTAGAATGATTTTAAGCAATGATTCATATTTTAAGAGTACCACTGATGTAAACTAATTTAAGAGAACAATGAAAAAATGAAAGAAAATTATTCAAGAAATAAATTTAGGGTTCATTTTTTCAAATGATAATACACATAAAATTAAACATTAAAGCAGGGATAGCTTAACTCTTTGCAAAAAATGCCGTTTAAGAAAGAATTAAAATTATGCTTGCCACTTCCAACATACTAAATAAAAGAAGTATAAAAAAATTTGTCACTTTTATGCTGATTTTTTTTTAACCTGTCATGATTTTCTGCTAAAAAAAATTCTTTTCAGACTTAGTTTTCTAATACTTTTGATGTAGTGTAATCTTACTTTTCTTACAATTAGACAGTGTGGTTTATATAAAAGAAATTAATTAAATTACTTAATTTTATGTACGTTCATTCAACATACGTGGACGTGCTTTGAAGCTTTTTTTTGTTACACAATGTTTAAACACAAACTGTAGTGATGATGATGAAAAAAAAAAATACAACAGAATGTTGAATTCATGTATTTTTTTTAAATCAATATTAGGTATTATAATTTAGAGTTAATTAAGATATATTTATTAATAATGATTTAATATTTTTGATACCATTTTATTACAACATCAAGACAAGTAACTAGTAAATTTTTTCAATAAAAAAAGTATTCATTTTAAATAATGAAATTGACAAAATAACGCACCGTCTTGTTTTAAATAGTTAGAAATGCATAGTTTTGTATCAAAATGTGTTTTTGTTATTTTCTCTTAGCAAAAATCAATTTTAATATATATATAATTGAAAAATTCGTACCTTTTTATCAACAAAATTGAAAGAAAATAAAAATATATGCTTTTTGTTGTATCAGAAATTAGTTTGTGCCTTTAGCAGTAGTTTTAGTAAAAATAAGTATTTGCCAGGATGATTTCAACCACAGGTTTTTCTGTTTTCAGAAAATTTGCCAAACATGGCATTTTGATGTGAAAAAAAATAGTTGGTCAGACCAAAAGAATAGCAATCTGCCGGAAAAATAATTGTTTGCACCGAGTAGGAAAAAAATTTATTCAAACCAAAATTTTTAATTAAATAAATTTTTTAATTCTTCTTTCTTTTGCATCAAATTTTTTAGAAGTGAATACAGAATTTTTCCAATTATTGTATGTTTATAAATCTTCAAGACATTATTTGATATTGACACACATTTGTTCTCTTCTGGTGTCTTATCATTTGCAAAGAATAATCAATCCTATGTGAAGTGCTTGATTAAGAGAACTGCATACCATGGGAGAAAATTTTCATCACAAATTATCCTTGATCTCCATTACTAATTTAAAAAAAAAGAAAAAGTGAGTTCAAGCAAACCTAGAGTAAGCCATGAAGCTGGACTTCAAAAAATTCAAACAAATTATTGGAAGGGAACTACTCCAGTTAGTAATCCTAAGTTATCGTCTCATAATTTATTATTTTTTTTTAGTGGAATATTTTACGAATTTCTTTTTAGTCTTTGAAACTTCATGACTTACTCTAGGTTTGTCTGAACTCACTTTTTCAGAACTTTAAATTAGTTATGTAGGTGAAAGAAAATTTCTCATGAAAAGTTTCTCCCATGGTATGGCGTCCTTTTAAGGTTCAACTGTATAATAAAGATCGTAGAAAAGCAACGCCATGAAAAAAAAAACAATTTTGATATACAAAGTACGGGGCATTATTCCATTTCGAAGGGCCATAAAAAACTAATTGCTACAGTACACATGTTGTACATTGCTACACATGTTAGGTCTCTGTATCAGTATTTTAGGTACCCTATACCGATAGTTTAAGCATCAGTGACATCAATAATAATTTGGCTATTTTTTTCGCCCCCAGGAAAAGAATGATACCAATTAATGAAATACACAAACATAAAAATCCTTGCTTACCGATTTTATGAAACTAAGGTCGTTAAGGCTTTCATTCAAAAACAATGTCAAATCTTGAGAAATTTTTTTCCCTACAGGTGAACTAGTTCTGTAAATTGCAGACATATCTTGTGGGTGGTGCCTTGAAGAGTCTAACTTTCTTGATTCAAATTTGTTTACAGTTGGTGAATCAGAAATTTCTGATGAGTCACCATGAGCTCCTTCTGAGTGCCTTCTTTCAGAATTTAAGTTTGGATCACCCTGATTGTCAACGAATGACAATGAGTTTTTACTGAGATGATGCAACAAACTTGTGGACATTGTTTGTTTCGTAGTTGATTCCAAATTTTTCACTCTTGATGGCAATCCTGAGTAGGAAAATCGACCACCCTGTAAGTCCCTGTTGTTTGAATTCAGTGAAATCTTACGAAGATCAGTTGATTTTGGACTATTATTTTCATTCAGTGGATGATATTGCTCGTTAATAGCTTCACTCGTTTCGGGTGAGAATTTTTCCTCCTTAACTGATAAAGAAAAATGTTCCTTCTTAAGACTGTTAGACAATACATTGTATGAAACATCCCGTTCAGCAGTATGTGGTGAATTTTCTTTAGTTGGTAGACTTGATGTTGAAGTTTCTAAATCTTCATCGTGATTCATAATATTTGACAAAGAATGATCATTTTTAGATTCATATGATCCACATTGAACATCTAAATCAGAAGTTCTAGATTCATTCAAATTTTCTTTTGTTATGCTCAGTTCATTTGAAAAGTTATGTTCCAACTCTTCAGTTACATCCAAGTCATCTGAAAGACTGTCCCTTGTCGTATCAGTTTTTTCAGTGTGGAGCAAACTTTTGCCAAGGGTATCCAAGTCGTCTGAAAGATTATCATTCGAAACATCAGATTTTTCAGAATGATTCAAATTTTCTTCAACTGTATCCAAATCATCCGAAGGACTGTCTTTCGACCCTTCGACTTTTCTAGTCACACTCAAACTTTTTTCAAGTGTATCCAAGTTGTCTGAAAGATAAACATTGGATTTTTCAGAATGATTCAAATTTTCTTCAACTGAATCCAAATCATCTGAAATACTATCTTTCAACCTATCAACTTTTCCAGTCTCATTCAAACTTTTTTTAAGTGTATCCTCCTCCAAGTCGTATGAAAGATTATCCTTCGAGACATTGGATTTTTTAGAATCATTCCAATTTTCCACGACTGCATCCAAACAATCTGAAGGACTATCTTTCAACGCATCATCTTTTCTAATCTTATTTTCTCCAACTGTCTCCAATTCCTCTGAAAGATTTTCATACAACATATTGGATTTACCAGTATTATTCAAACTTTCTTTAACAACATTCAAATGGTCGGCAGGACTACCGTCAAACATATTAACTTCTCCGGCATTATTTGAAACTTCTCCAACTGTATCCATGTCAATTAAAAGATTATCATTCAACGAATTCCTCTTCATAGAATGCTGCATGCTTCCGGGTGAATTAGAGAAAGTCCGAGTGCCTTCGTAGATTATCGAATCACTACCTTCTGAAACATTGCTGGAATTAAAATCGGTTCTTTCAAAATGAGAATGCTTCTTCTCCTTCGCAATTAATTCTTTGATCGATTCCGATGGAGTTTCAACATTTTCTACGGAATAATCTTTCGTGGGAGTTCCCTTGGGACTGCTCGTGTTCGGTGTTTCAGGCAAGCTAGCAGGACTATAGTAATGCGTAATTTTATTTTTTTCCAAATTTAATGGCTTATACTTCAGATTATCTTTCTTTTTAGAAGACTGAACCTGACAGAACTTTATTCCTTCTGAAATATTTTTTTTCATATTTAATAATATGAAGCAACAGATAACATAATTAATAATATATAACAACAATGCATAGATAATATTCAAATAATATTACAGGGTGCGTAGCCAAATCTTTCAACAAAAAATAAGCACCTTTTAAGCACTCAAAAAATATTTTTAAGCACTATATACATTAACAAAATGCAAAATAGTTTTCCAAGACATTACATGATCACGATAAAATAACTAGTTTCAGATAAAAAAACTCTTTTCGTGATTATATTAGATTGAGAGATTTTTTGGAGGCTGAAACTGAGAATATCTTGCAAAATGCAGCAGCAGAGTTGCACATGAGAGTGCAAGAATCTCACCAAACCCAGCTCAGTATACGTGTATGCAAGTATTTCATCAACATGTAAAATGATTGGATTGTAAAATGATACGTTACGGACTGACGGTACACCGAAATGCATTGTGAAAACGTTGAGTAAAACAATGTGAATGCGTGGCCAAAATCGACACGGTAAAGGAGAAAAAAAAAAAGCCATTTTCGAAAAAGGGAAAATTAAGCACTTTTAAAAAATGAAAATTGAAAATAAGCACCTTTTAAAAAATGAAAATTAAAAATAAGCACCTTTTAAAAACGCTACACACCCTGTAATAGTATCAGTTAACTATGAAATATAATCACACCTGGAAATCACAAATTGAAAAGACCCTAGTAACAATTTTACCTTGGCCCTAGTTGGTCTCAAAATTGATTTCATATGGGTCCTAAAAGAACATGTACCGAGGGACCAATATTGGGATGCCTAGATTTTTTATTATGGGTTCTAGAATTGTCTATATAAGTCCTACATTGACCAATATCAAACCTATATTGATTAAATGATGGATATAAAATATCAGGTGAATCAGGCAATTCTATGTAGGACTAAATCACTTATTTCGGATAATTTTATGAATTTAAAAATACTAAAACAATTGAATAATTTTGTCAAGAGAAAAAAGTTACCCCACAAACATTGGAACAAACATGAACAATAAATGGATTCAGCCCATCGACTAGATGGAAAAAATTTACTTTTATAAACCGAAGCAAATATCCTGACCCCTTCCCCCACAACAATCTTAGTCTTTTCTAAACTGCACAGTCCCATAGTCTCTGAAGAGGTCAAAGGTTTTTTCAGTCATTTAGCAACCACGGGAGAATTTCGTGTGGCGTTCTAGTTTAACAGGGTTATAATGGAGCAAATTAATGCAAGCAAAGTATTGTGAAGTTGATGATAATTCAACCGTGTGACGATAAAACTTCTGTCGAAAAAAATGTGGGTATATAACAGATGGTAAAATAATTTAAATTAGCAAAATTTAAAAAAAATTTCAGTTTTTTAAATTGAATTTTATTATATAATAAAATTCAATTTAATTTTATTATATAATAAAAGTCCATTGAATTTTATTATATAAAACTGTTAATAGAGTCTCCTTTTTGTAAAATGACTGAATTCCCCAAAAAGTTGAAATAATGAATCCTGTGGTAAGGTGACATGTCTGAACCGTATAGATAATCAATAGATGGTCCCTAAAATGGTACTATTGAATTTTGTAATTTCCACTAAGCTTATTAATTAAAATAGGGTTGGTTCAGAAATCCAAACCTTTTGATTCTTCAAATATATTTTTTCAAATATCTGCATTTGTATTCTTAAAAATTTCAATGTTCTGAATCCACACAAAAATCAGGAATTTCAATACAAAAAATAAAAACCAGGACAAAATATTTTTTATCAGGACAACCACAAACCCCAGAAATAACTAGTACACACCCTAATCCTCAGAGATCTGTTCCAGAATTTCCCACACTATTATGCCAACTTCTAAGGATTAAAAAAAAAATGTTTTGAAAAACGGTAGAATATTACAAAATAAAATTCGCAGATTTTCGGTTATTTTCAAACGGTTTTAAACGTTTAACACATTTTAATTGTAACAAAGTCGTGCCCTACATAAGCCTTTGAATAATTTAAAAGCAGTGGTGAGTAAAATTCCTATAAATTGAATTATTATTAAACTAAGAATTACAGATTAAAAGACAACCACTTGAAAATATTTATCTGCTGTCCAGTGCAAGTTGGCATCTCTGTATCCCCTATCCTTGCATCACAAATCAATTTCTGCTCTTGTTATTCAAAAATCAATGTTATTCACTAATAAATCTTGTTATTCAATAATCAGAACTTATAGGGAGAAATCTTTTACACAAGCTTGATCAAATTAAACCAATCTCATAAAATTCTTATAGCGGTAAGTCTTTTTACCTTTAGGCGTAACAGAGGAAGAAATGTTGTCACTCTCTTCATCATCATCAGAACGATAAATTGATTGCGACTTGACTGGAGACTCTTGAGTTAAATCAACAATGTCAGGAAATGATGGAGCCTTATACGTATCTGTTCAAAAAGAAAAGATATTTAAATGGATCATTGTAAAGCATTATTTATATACAATTTGCATGGGTGCCTAAAAAACTAAATTATAATTTTTTTCAAAATAAGTTAAAGAAAACTGTCTTAAAAGAAAGCAATATTATAACGTACTGTGTACAATAGGGATGCACAACCTTTAACAATGAAGGGCCACTTGCACAGCAGGTAGATTAATGAAGGGCCACATGCATATTTAGTCATGTTAGCTGCAAATATGATAATTTTTATATAACATTAGTGTTCTAAGCACTAAGTTTCTGTTTATCAGTTAGCTTAATAACAAATTAGCAGAAAATTAAGTATTTTTAATTATTTGAATTTATTTAAAAATAATATATATATATATATATAATTAATATAATAGTATAATAATAAATTATATCTCACCCCTCTTTATAAATCTGCACAAAGAGAGAGAGAAAAACTGTAGAATTTACAGCGTGAAAGTGCAAAAAATATATACCTATTTTCTAGAGTAATATAAATTTTAATCAAATATTTTTATTAAAGAAAATGTATAATGTTTAAACAAAATCCAAAAGTTGAAACCAATCCACTATAGTACAAAATAAAATGCAATATTTTTCTAAAAAACAATTTATTGCGTTCAGAAGCTCCCTCGGGCTGCACATCAACAGTCGACAGGCCGCACGTGGCCCGCTGGTTGAGCACCTCTAATGTACAAAATAAAAAAGTTAACATCCTGGATAATTTTTGATCTAAAGATCGGATTATTAGTGGCTCAATCTTATTGGTTGGAGTGTCTCAACTTAAATATTAGTCATTTAGTGCAAATGATATTCCAAGACATAAAAACATACTTTAAATAATTAAACATATCCTTTTTTTGACAGATTGGGATTCTTGACCCTCAAAATAGGAGGGGGGAAGTAGCTGCAAATTCAAGATAGGGTCCTATTAATTTAATATGGAGAACGGTCAAACGTTTGGACCTCATAATGTTAACTTCACTTCTTTTTTGTGTATATTTTGCCACATGTTAAGGAATTTTCAAGTGAATGAAAAAACTTTTGCACATAATAACTTTTGTTTATCAAAAGATAACTCCACACAAAAAAATAATTTTTAATAATAATTTTTTTTTTTTTAGCTTATTTCATCTAATAATAATCGAAATTTTTTGAATACAAAGTTTTACATCATTATAAAGAATGTGGACAAAATTAAAGCGTAATTGATCAAATAGTTTCTGAGTTATTAAATTTTTAAGAAGTTGTCTATTTACAATCTGATTTCTCAAGATAGAACTATCTGACGATTCTGATTTTGTAACTCTAAAGACACAGATTGTAATAATTCAAAAAAAAAAAAAACTTAGAACCTGACCATATTTCCAACAGAATATATGAATGAAAATTTCTGAACTATCTGCTGTTAAAAAAGAAAATACTATTTAAACAGGAGACTTTAGTTGGTTCCAATTCATGAAGATGATAAAATCCTAACAATAACTTAATTAACAGAAATATTAGAGTCAGATAAAGACAATAGTTAAAAAAAGTTTCTTATAGTTTGTTTATATACCTCTCCCTAATCTCTGTAAACCTTTAAATGTTTACTTAAAAAGAAATAGAAAAGACACCATTCTTTAAAAGTTGGAGGCAGAGATCTTTTTTGTAACATTGAATTATAAAATAATTTTTGAAAAAAATATTACAAATGATACACTGCAGGTGTAAAATGTTGCTAATCATCAAAAACAAAATGTCAGTGATAAGTTGTTAAAAGGATTTAATTGAAAAAAGTGGAGGAACAATAAAGACAAGTTTATTTGGTAAATGAAGACAATTTACTGAAAAATACAAACATTATAAATTTGGAGGTTTTCTACATCTTCACAAATCCTAGTAAGGCTCTATTCATCTTTTAACATTTTTACAAAAAATATTATACAGATAGTAATAAATATTTGTGATTTTCTCTACCTATTTAGTTAAAAAGGGAACCATTTAATAAAAAAAGAGAAGAAAATTATCAGACAAACTGAACATTTCATGCTTCCTTCATTTTGAGGAACTATATCTGTCACTGAACTAAAGCCTTACTAGGTGAACTGAACAAAAGCTGATGACAGGGTGTTATAGGTTATGAGAAGAAAACCTGCATTACATAACAACTATTTTTAGTTAGTATATTACATTTGTATGTTACAATGTTGGAATACTTCAGTATTTAAAATATAACTTGAAAAACTATGAGAAAAAATTATAAATAACTCCTGAATATCAATTATACAACAATGTGAAATTAAGAAGGAATGCATCAAAAAGTGAATACTCAAAAAAATTATTTGAAATTCGCATGTCTTTATAAAATCATATAAAAAAATATTGGAATTAAAAACCAACTGAAAGGGACAAAAAATGATAATTTTTAAAAAAAACTATCATTAAATGATACGAAATGACGATGGAATTGCTATAAATAAACATTTCAAAAAAGTGATAATTTAAATTCGAAATTCGCACGTCATAATTACTTATTAAATATATCAGAATTTGAAAAATCATAGAGAAACGACCAAAATAAAAAACAATTAGCTGCTGAAAAAAACGAAAGGAAACTTTAGAATCACAGGGACAAATTTTTTTTTTGTGTGGCATTCTTAGTGAATCGTTGTTCACAGATTGAAGCATTCATTGATTGCTTGTTTTAGAATTTTCCTATTTTACTAAGATTTTTGAGAAATTTCTAGAGTTAATATATTTCCAGCTTTCCGTATCGCTAGACACTCTGAATTAGTTGTATAGAATTACAATAGACACACCCCATAAAATATGGTAGTTTGAAGAGATGTCAGTTTAAATCAGCCACTTTTTACCTCTCTCAGTGTTATTTTTGAATGAAGGAATGTTTTCAGTATAAGGTCTAGTATATCTGCCAGCCAATCGCAAACCATCTTCCACTACAGCAGCCTCGGCCTGGATACGCTCTTGAGCAGCAGCAACCTAAAAAGCAACAAAATCGAAATAAGATTACGTTAATAAATAACATATTCCCAAATATTTAATACATAGAAATATCTCATAAAGAAATGCCCCAGCAATATTCATGCCTACTTTGTGAACCCGGTTCAGTTCAGAGGGCGCCATACCGAGGAAGAAACATTTTTGTCGCAGATTCTCTTTCTACTTCATTCCTAATTTAAAATTTAAAGTGTAGAAAAAGTGAGTGCTGAGAAATCTAGAGTAAGCCGTGAAAATATGCAAAGACCGAAAAGAAAATTTTAAAATATACAAATGAAAATAAATTATGAGACGACTTAGTATTATGCAACGGAGAAGTTCTCTTCTAATAATTTGTTTGCATTTTAATATTTTGAAGTATTTTTTTCAGTAATTGAAACTTCATGAGTTACTCTAGGTTTGCCTGGACTTACTTTTCTATCTTTTAAATTAGTAATGAAGGGTAAATAGAATTTACGAAAAAAAATTTCTTTCGTGGTATGGTGTGCTCTTCAGTCTTCAAAGAGACTTTAATGCAATTATTGGAGTCCCACAATAACGTTGTAAGACACTGCTCACGATAGACCAAAGTTACACATCATTGGCAGAAATAAGTGAGTGGGTGACCATTTTAATCTGTGCAGAGTATTGGTCCTCGTTAAACTATTTAACTGCAAAGTGCTCAATTTCTCGCATGAGTTCTCAGGTTGCGGGAGCTATCCCCTCAGTAGAAGATCAAAATTACGATGACATGTCTTCGGATCATCCTCAGGGATGCTTCCCAGTCTGTCACCTGTAGCCCATTGTGTAGCTCTAGTGTGACGTAAATAAAGTACTACTCAATTATTGAAGATGATTTACAATAATGTCGGAAAAAAACACGGAAAAATTTTTAAAAATATAGAATAAGACTACAAATTTTTCTATGATTGGCACGGATTCCATGTAACAGGGGTGATTGTGGGCCAAATTTAAAAATCCTGAAAATTTCTTAACAGTAAAATCAGTAATGACCCATTTCAAACAATTAACATCTTTATAAATTTAAATCATTGATATTTTTAAAACATTAAATTCTAAATAAATTATAAGCAGCATTATTTAAATGAATTATTATATATAAGTTTACTTTTATCTCCAATCACATTTATTATTCCATCAAAAAAATATTTACAAGTGAAAGAGATGCCAAATGTAAATTCTAGTTCTAATATTTTTAAATAAAATATACAAGAATTTTTATACATAAATGCATACCTGCCAGGGAAAAAAATAGGAACATGTCACGCGGTCGCGATATTAAATTTCACTTCTTTACACTAAATGTTTGTATAATTGTAACTGTATAAGATTTAATGTAACAATTATTATTGATTATAATACATATCAACTGACAAGATTTCTGATTATTATTCTTATTCAACAAACTATTTAAACAGAAATGATAGCTGATTTTAGTAATTTAAAACATATTTAAAAACAAAATATTTTATTATTACTCAAACATATGTGACAATAAACACATATAAAAAAATAATCAATTATTCTTGTTAAGTGCTACAGTTGTAGCAGATTTGGCTGATTTTAAAAACTTTTCATCAAACACTTGTCTATAACAAGGCTGAATCATTTGGGACTTGGTAAATCAAAATTGCCTGCAAAGTAGACGCATTCATGCTACCCCTAAACTCAGTCTCATTTTTTGGAAACATCGTACAAAACAACTTTGATGCATGGTCCGCAGCAGCTAACGGAATATTGTGTTCAAGGAGAGATCCTGTGAACAATAGTTCGCTTCTAATTGATTGTAGATCAATAGTGGACGACACAAAATCGGAAATTTTTGCAGACTTTTTCATATTTGTATACGCGGTAGCATGCTTGGCTGTTTTCCCGTGTGAAATGATATCACACTTTCCGCCATGTGCTATACTAATGTCTGTATTGCAAACAATACATAACGCGTACGATGTCCCCTTTCTTGATTTTTTCATGAAATCAAATTCTTCACTATAATTGTCGCGAAAACACTGACTTCGCCGAATTTTTGACATTTTTTCAGATTAAGACAAGGAGTCAGAAAGCTAACATTTCCTCTTGGTGTCTGTGAAGCGACCCGTACATACGTAATCAAATATACGAATGGAGCTAGAGGCGGAGCTAAGTGATAACGCGACTTGATTGGATTTCGTCAATCGGACATGGATCGCTTTATAGAGTAAAAGAAAAAATCACGCTATGATGAAAAACCGAAACATTTTGCCCCAAAATCGTATCATCGGAACAAGGCATAAAAATCGGAACTGTTCCGATAAAATCTGTACACTTGGCAGCTATGATAAATGTGATCGATGATTTCTTGAAACTTCTGGGCCTTGGATTTCCGGAAACTTTTGGATCTTGGTAAGTAAAAAATCCAGAAATGAGAAATTTTTCCAGAGCACAATTATCTCTGAAGTAATTAGATATAAATTATTAAATTAAAAATTCTTTTGCGAAATAAATTTCTAAAAATTTAACATTCGTTTGAGAAGTAATTACGTTATTATGATTAACTGCAGATATACAGATAATAAATTTAAAGTAACCTGTTTCTTGATATAGTCATGTGAAACAGCAGATTCATCATTATCTTCAGTGTCATCCTTGATATTTTTGGAGAACATGAGGTCGTGGTCACTGATTCCAAATATATCTAGTGAGTGCAGGAACGCAATGTGTTCATCCAAAGAGCAGTCTGTCTTTCTCTCACCAGAATGCATTTGGGAGAGCTGCACTTGAGTGGCAGAGTAATTTGGATTGTCAAGTACAAACAGTTCCCTAAGCTCCTGTTTAGAAAAATACCTAAAGAAACAGAAATGCTTTACAAAAATATAAACTTTAACTTTAAACAATAGCATGGCTGCCAACATGGATAAGAAAAAATCCAGTGGATTTTACAAAATATAAATTTTATGATAATTGTTGAAAAATATACTAAATATTTTACGCATGGGGAATTTTAGGGATTTTTATAGTCATCAAAATAGAAAAACTGCAATATATTTTTTGTCATGATTACCTTTAAATTAACTTGCTACGCATTGTATTTACTCATAAATTTGAATAGTAGTATGAATTTAATTCATCAAAGATAGTTAAGATTTTTAATTAATTAAAAAAGGGAGTTTTGGATAAAAATAAACTCAAAGTTTTAGAACAAAAAAGTTTCAAACTGATTTTTATAAATGAGGCTCGCTTCATTATGTATTAATAAACACTTATTTTATGTAAAGCAAGTAATAATCTGTGCAAAAATTCTATTTCAATAGGAATTTATTTAGGAAGCTTACTCAATTTTAGGGAGTTGTTAAAAATTTTTGAAAACCAGAATTTTTATTAAACCAGTATCAGGAAAAATGGGCAAAATCCAGCAGTCTACTACTGGAAAATGAAGTAGAGTTTGCAGCTATGCAAACTCTACTTCTACTTAGTTTTAAAAATGTCTCAGTGTTGCCACAGACATCAGTAAAAAAAATTCTGTGTGTTTTCCTGGCACATATTATACACAATATATTAAGAGGAAACAAAAATTACTGTGAGCTATATAGGGCTAACTATATTTATTAGTTTTAATCGGTGGGAAAACAGCTGAACATATTTAAATAATGCTATAGTAAGTGAAATAGTTTAGTATACAGGGATGAGAGAAGTCAGAAAGTAAAAAAGAGGAAATCCACGAATGAATATATATATATCCAAAAATTTGACACAAAAAAAATGTGATCCTTAAACTTGTAAATTATGTGATTATAAATCCCGATGGTTAATTATAAAATTGTATGAATATGAATCACATGCATGACTTTAAATTGAGAGAAAATGAATCCCCATATGAGGCTTTTAAATCACGTGAATATCAAACTCTATCGAATTTAAAAAATGCGAAAATACAATCATGATGCGTAATTTTTAGATCACATAAATGCGAATCACAATGCATAATCTTTAAATCGTGCGAATACGAATCCCAAGTCTAATTTCTAAAAAGGACTAATAAATACGAAAATCGATGTTTGATTTTACAACCGCAAAAACGAATCCCGACTTTGGATTTTAAGCTCGGGTGAATACGAATCGCTACATAGGGTTTCAAAAGCGAGAAAATACAAAATGCGATATTGGATTTTTAAGTCTCGTAAATAAGAATCATAATGCACAATATTTAAATAGCGTGAATAAGAATCGCAAAGCGCAAATTTTAAATCAGGTAAATACGAAAATCAATGATTGACATAAGAATCGAGATATATGCAGAGTCTGGTCTTGGGATTTCTAAAAGGCTTGTTTGTAATGTCTTTGTTTAGACATAATAAATAAAAATTAACAAAATTAAATGAGCAAATAAATATTTTCACCGCAAATCCACCTCTATTTTTTTTCTTCTTTCGTTTGCTTTCAAGCCAGAAAACAGGAAGCAGTGACGAAACGGAATACGACGAATTACGAAAAACGAGCGATCCGGAGGACGGATAAAAATACGGAAAATCTTATTTTCTGTGCACAAAAGCGGAGAAATTAGCTAAAATAAGTAAAAATGAGGAAGAGTTAGCAGCTAGGACGCAGTTTGAATTTTCTGTTTATCTTTGAAAATCATAAATAAATATAATTATTTTATTTCAACGACTGAATTTTTAAAAAAAAATCGGAATATTTATTTTTTAAAAAAAGAAACTTTTAGAGAATCAGAGTTTTTGATAAAAAGGCTGAAATTCGAGAGACAAAAGCGAAAAAATCTCATCCCTGTATATAGGCCAATNTAAATTTTCTACAGACATAATAAATAAAAATTAACAAAATTAAATGAGCAAATAAATATTTTCACAGCAAATCCACCTCTATTTCTTTTCTTCTTTCGTTTGCTTTCACGCCAGAAAACAGGAAGCAGTGACGAAACGAAATACGACGAATTACGAAAATACGAGCGATCCGGAGGACGGATAAAAATACGGAAAATCTTATTTTCTGTGCACAAAAGCGGAGAAATTAGCTAAAATAAGTAAAAATGAGGAAAGTTAGCAGCTAGGACGCAGTTTGAATTTTCTGTTTATCTTTGAAAATCGTAAATAAATATAATTATTTTATTTCAACGACTGAATTTTTAAAAAAAATTGGAATATTTATTTTTTTTAAAAAAAGAAACTTTTAGAGAATCGGAGTTTTTGATAAAAAAGGCTGAAATTCGAGAGACAAAAGCGAAAAAATCTCATCCCTGTATAAAGGTCAATCTCAAGTATTATTCCTGTATTATCCCAAGGAAATGATTTTTAGAGAAACTTCAGAGGGAGGAATGAGGACTTCAATATTTTCGCTCCGCGGAAAATTAAATTCCTCATAATATTTTAGCTTGCGCAAAAAAAAATTCCGCGGAAATTAGCGGGAAAAATTGGAAAATCAGAAAAAAAGCGGAAATCAGCGAAGAACGACATCCCTGAGTATAGCTGAAATATCAGGGCTAAATATCCCATAGATTACGCTTTGAGTGGGCACCATTTTTCAAAAGACAAAAATCGAAATTCCCTGCATTTTCCCTGCTATTTTAGGAGATTTTCAAATTCCCTGTATTTTCCAGGTTTTCCCTGTTCTCCCTGTGGAGTGGGCAATCCTGTAAGAGGTAACACACATTCACTGAAATCTTGTGAACTATATTGGGATAAAGATAGTTTTAGTTGCCAGAAAAACTTGGAGAAATAAGAAGCAACAACATAAAATAAATAATGCTATAAAAAATAAAATAACATAATATAGCTGAATTATCATCTTTAAATAACCCATAAATTACACTTTGATAGCTCAGCATTTTTTTAAACAAACACAAGAAATAAAATTCCCTATTTTTTCTCAGTTTGTAAGAAACAATTCAAAATTCCCTGCATTTTCTCTGATATTTTAGCTGATTTTTAAATTCCTTGTATTTTCCAGGTTTTCCCTATTCTCTGTGTGGAGTGGCAATCCTGTGACATTTTTAGCAAAATTTACTAAGATAACCTTCACAAATTCAAATTTGTCTGCAATCCCAACATAGTCAATTCAATACAACTAATGAAATAATTAAGCATAATTTTTCATGATGAAGCTAAATTTGCATATGAAAGGTGAATTATACACAAAAGAGCCTATATATAAAAATTTGTTTCCTTAATTTGAATTTCATTCAATAATACAATTAAGAAATGGAATAAATCCTGATGCAGTCCAGAATTTTAGAAAATTAATTAGCGGCACTATTAGATAATGCTGCCCATTTTACAATTTTTCAGAAATATTTTTGTACCAAATCTCAAAGTTAAATATTGAACTTCATTTCACAAACATTTCCCAAAGTAACCAAATTGTAATCACATAATATAAAAAATATCAGAGAAGTCAAAATAGATTTTTTTTAAAAATTATTAATAGCTGCTGGAAAAAAAATGGTAAATAACATGAATTTATAATATAATCATCACGAATTGAGTATGTCAAAAAAGGATTACTCTCATTTGAAATTTGCATGTTGAAAACATAGTAAAAATTATGGAATTTGGAAAAACATGAAGTAAAATTAATCAATAAATGATTTGAGTTTACAGTAAAATCAGCGCAGATTGAACATGCTGAAAAGCGACAACTCAAATCCAAAACAGTATATCAAATCAAAATTATTGGAATTTGAATAATCATGTGGAAAAGGTTGAAAAAATGACACATGCTACTTCCAATTTAATTGTCAAGTTAAAAAGTGATAACTTATCTGGATAAATTATAGTTCGTAATAGCATCGTATTTAATATATTAAATTTAAAAAACTTAAAGAAAACAGCTAAAATAAAAAATAAATAAAATCAGACTTTTCTGAAGAGTGAGTTAAAATTTCATTAGTCCATAGCAACAGGCAAAATTATGAAGAACTTGTAATAGTTGGATTTTCAGCGAAATATCACATAAATATTACTAACATATGACTATAAAATGATAGATTTGAGAAAATAATGTTTCCAATTTATGCACCCCATTAAATTATTCTTAAGTTATTTTTTAATCATTATTTTGGTTTAACTCTATTTTAAGCCAAATAAAAACACTAGATACTAAATACTACAAAAGTAGTTGTTATAAAATTATCAACGTAAAATAAATATACAATTTGAGTGATATTATCAACAAATTGATTTTCTATCCATATTCCGAGAAAGTAAATATATTTAATCAACAAAAAATATTTTTAATCACTCTTTAAAAAAAAAAAAAGTCATAATTAGGATCTGACAGTAATAAAATGTAAATTTCTATCGTTTAAAGTTCTTTATTTTACAATCATAAAATCAATAAAATTCAAAAACTTTACATAATCATGATAAAAACAACTAGTTTCTGATTGCAGAGTAAATTATGAAAATCATGCATTTTTTTTTCCCTTCTAATTTATGATGATGATCGACATGATAAAGAAAAAAACTCTTTTTAAATCGTAGAAAATTAAGCACTTTTTACAAACCCCGAATGAAAAAAGCACCTTTAATTACTTTTTAAAAACGCTACACAACATGTATAATGTGCAAATTTTTGTTACTACATAAGTAGCAACTTAAAATTTTTTTATGCATTTAGGTACAGCACCAAAAAGGGACAAGATTCATAATTACTCCATAAGACTTTATAAAAAAATCTCAAGGCAGAATTAATGTTCCATTTCCACAACTCGAAATGCAATACACATGAAAATGTGTATTTATGTGGGAGTTAAGGTCAAAATCAGATTTAAGTGGATCAGAAAAACTCACACAAAATAAGTAAGCACAGCACTCTATCAATTAGCAATAAGCTAATCTTTTAATTAGATGGTAGCTATTTTATAGAACATTTGGATAATCTGAGATAAAATTGACTAATTGTAATTTCAATAATATTTTAAAATAAACTGTCAGGAGTCCATCAACTCTGTAGTAGAATTGAGGCGACATTGTCACAGAATTTTTGCAGAAAGATTTTTCATTTGAGATGGGGAAATTTAAGTTTAACTTTCTGCAGAATTTTTTGAAAAATGCTTTTTTTTTTGCTGCAGAATTTTTTTCAAATATATCTTTCTTGCACATCAGAGTGGAAAGAAACAATTATGATTTTTCTAATCTCATTTGAGATTTAAAAAAACAAAACAAGACAAACAAACAAACTGGCTTTAGCGAGACTTTCAAATTAATAATATAAAGTAAAATCTTTAAAGTTCGTTAAAATTGTTCGTTCAGAAATCGTTCAAGTTTAAAAGATAGTTCGCTTTAGAAATGGTGTTCTTTCATTCATTTCTTTTCTTTAAAGATTTTACTAACACTTATTTGAGTATCTCTTTTTTAAAGAATCTTATTCGCATGATTCATGATCTTTATTTTGGGAGTTACTTCATGGACTTTACGATTTTTAACTTATGTAAGAATTTTAATTTATTTACCAATTTTAATTTGTGCAATGATTTACAAAATTCTAAAGAGGAAATAATTAGTGAATTTTTCTTCCTACATACTAGAATATCGCCTATAATATTTGAATTAAAAAAATATTACTTTTACAATTAAAAATGTTTATACATTTTTATTCTATAATTTCTACTGTAAACACAATGTTTCTGTTACTTTAAATTAGTCTCTTCTTCTTTCTTATCTCCAAAATTAGAAGGGCTAAACAATGTCCATGAAATTCATGACCCGGAGGAAGTCGGCCATCAAAAGTGGGTCATTTAGAGCGCCCCTCTTGTCCAGTCCAAGACATGTTGGGGAGAAGCCTGCATGTTGTGGCACCTGGGGCAGTTTGGTAACATTTTAATACTAGCCTCGAAGGAAAGAGACTTTCAAGGTGACTTTAAATTAGTAATTTTTATAAATAAAAGTATTTTAAAACAAAATATTGTTGCTGGAGAAGTTAGTTGCAGAAAACCCGAAATAATGCTGCCTTAGGGTCCATCAATAACTCTGATCAACTGCTGTTTCTCATAATAAGCTACACTTTTTAAAAGAAATATTTACCTATATGGATCAGATGAGCCAGTGGCTTGCCTTGTGATAGAATCTTTAAATATCTGTCTTCTGTAAATTTTCTCTTCAACTGTTCCACAAGTCATAAGCCTATAAATGACCACATTCTTCGTTTGACCTATTCTATAAGCTCTATCCACTGCTTGTGCATCTGTAGCTGGATTCCAGCTAGGATCATCTGTGAGAAATACACTGAATTTGTTATATATATATAAATACACACAGTAAATCCTCGCTACAACAATATTTTGGGGACCAAATAAAAATAGTGTTGTAGAGGGATCTATTGTTATATCCAGGGCTTACATACTTTGGAGACACAACAAGATTTCTTTAAATTTAAATGTTATTTATTTATTAACTATAAATATATTATATAAAAAATAAAATTGCAGTGTGCTAATAATGAATAAATATTAAAAACAATTGAAATAAATTCAGGAAGTAAGATCGTAAACATACCTGAAAACAATTTTTATTGAAAATAGTCAGATATTTTTGTTTGTTTATTCATTTTTTTTGATTGCCAGGTCAACCGACAAAGTATGCATTGAAGCCAAAGGAGGAAAATGATTTTCGTTCCTTAATGGTGCTCCACCCACCCTCCACAGAAAAAAACTCTTTCAGGTGTTAATGTGATTCTTGTGGTCATTTGTGACTCATGATCAGCTTTTAACACGAAGGAATGTGACTTCAGTGACTTCTTAAGAGATAAGGAAGGCGATTCCACGAGTGGAATTTTTTTGGGGTGCTCAGCAGTGAGTCTTCTCTTGTCAGAAAAGATGGAAACAATGGCATAATATTTTTTTTACATATTTGAAAAGCAATAATGAGTGGAGAAAATAAGGTTGCAATTTAAAAAAAAAAATCGTTTTACAGGGGTTTATTGTTTCAGAGAATATTGTAATACTGAGAGGTGCAGGACATTAATTCACATGCAAGTTGGTCAGGAACACGAAACATTGTCATAATAAAGGGAGTTGTTGTATTGGATATCGCAGTAGCAAGAGTTTATTGTGTGTGTATATACACATACTGTTTGTTTCATTTATTTACATAGATAGGTACAGAAGAGAGTGAGGCTCATTCTCCTTTTATTTTAATAATTAAACATTGATCTGTCATACCTTTGTTATCAAATTCATTTAGTATCTTACTAACTTGCTATAAATCATAATCTAGGTTTTTTTAAAAAAGTTTGTGCCTTCTGTATTGTAATATCGTTCAAAGTTGTTGCAATCTTCTGAATGTGTCCAGTTAAATTACTGTCATTTGCATTTGATTGCACGATAACATGACTCTCAATAAAATAAATAAAAATATAACTCAGCTTAACAACATATTGCAGTTACAGCAAATTTAATAAATATAATGATTTAAAATAGATTTAAACAGATTTTAACAAAGAGATTTATGTAATTTGATTTCATAAACCACAATTCTTCATAAATCAAATTAATTTTTTTCATGAGTATAAATAAGAAAAATGGCAGAATTTTTAGCAACTAAGCAAAAACAATTTTGAATTGTTTGAGAAATCCAGTCTAAAGAGATATTTAGGGAAATATATTTCACTAAATTTTTAAGAGATTATTAATTTCAGAGGCTAAGCAAACCAAAATTAATAAATTTCTTTGTAATTACTCTTCATGTTCTAGAAAATTTCCATTTTTTTTCTGTAATTAATGAGTTTAAGTATTTAAACTCATCTACTGTTAAACAGTAGATGAGTTTAAATACTTAATTGCATTTTTAATTGCTTTATCTGAAAATTATTTTTAAGCATTTTACGATTGATCTGATTCAGACTAATACTGCTGCCATGTTAAGTGTAAAGTTACGTGATATTAAGATGATCTATGTATAACAAAATTCTATACAATGCCAAGTTTTACATCATAAAACTCATCTACTGTTTAACAATTTTATACTGAAGAAAGAAACAATTGTTTGGAAGGAACAATTTTCACTAAAGTAGAATAGTATTTAGCTGTAGGCAAGCTGTGTTCTGCAAAGGCTAGGGTTGCACAACCTCCTTGGAAAAAAGAATTTTATTTTTTTTTACTTGAATGGGCCACAGTAATTCTAGCCACACATTTTGGGGCCACAGTAATTCTAGCCACACATTTTGGGGCCACAGTAATTGAAGTTCTCACTTCATTGATAATAATTCATTTAATCCTTAATATAATTATGACAATATCAATTTGTGTTTAAATTAAAAGACAAAGCAGGAAGCATATTGTCTTGAGACACAACATAGAAGAAAAATAACTTACAGATTACAACTCTATCAGCTGCAGTTAATGTTATTCCAACACCACCAACCTTTAAAAAAAATTACAAAAACTTCAAATCATTAAATTGAAACTAACAATATAATAGAACATCAGATGAAACTAATAACACTTAACAAAACATATGATACATTACACTAAGAATAATATTAAACTAGGTTAATCAAAATAAAAATTGCATTTTAAAAAATAGAGAAAAATCCACCAGAATTTTTTTTGCAAAACAAATAATAGCAATATATTATAAAATATCATGATTATCAAACTTACAGCAATGCACATTTTATTAGACGAATGATTATGTAAATTCACTTCATCATTTCAATTTGAATTGAAATAATTTAGGAGCACTGGTTTCTTCAACTTTCTAAAATATATAATGATAATGTACCTTGATAATAATTGAGAATTACCCATCTTATAATTCATAAAACCCTTTTAAAATGGTTGTTGAAAGCTTGCTGACCAATGGGAAAAGGTGTAATAATTACATGCAAAAAAAAATTTAACTTCTTTTTTTAATTTCACACTTATTTTCTTCTTGTTATTCAGTTTGATATTCCGTCAAACTCATTTTTTTAGAAATGATTTTCGATTAACCTATTGTTAAAAATTTTTTCAAATTTTCTAACTGTTCACGTTTTGAATTTCCCCTTGTTTGCAAATGTTTCTTTACAGCTGCCTCGCTGTAACTCTTCTATTTGAAATTGTATCTGCTTTCGTCGATGTGCAAATTGTCGCACTTTTCATCATCACAATATGTTTGCTACCTTTATTCAATGTTTTTACTGTTTGATGCCTCGCCTTTTATGTCTGAACACTCACGTACCTAAATTCTGTTTACTGGGTGATTACTTTTGTTAATTTTAAGGTTTCACTGAATTCTTTGCGGCCTGTTGGTTTGGGGGAGGAAATCTTAGGATCTCGGTGAGGTTGCTGCTCTGCATGCGGTACTTAGCCAGCATCATCCCAAGGCTTTCGCTGGAGTTGCTTTAGCCTCCCTTGTCCATTATTACAACGTGTTGCCATGAATTGTCACCAAGTCTACTTTTATGAATTGTCTTTTTTTCTTGCTGAGTAGCCATGTGCGTACAGCATTCCCCGGATGCCCCCTAACGGGGTAAAGCTTTGATTCTGTCAAACTCATATCTTATCTCATACTTTCTTCCAGCATACAACATTAAGTTTTTTTGTTTTTAACAGAATTTTGAAATGATCTATTCCATATTAAAATCCCAAAGAGGTCATTGATGTTCCTTTACATAATTATAATTAAAATGTATCATTTTATAGAATACTTAGATTTATATTGCACAGTGAAAAAAATATAAAGCATAACCAGGGTTTGTTGATTTAAATAAGCTTGATTTAAATCAAATGATTTTGTTCAAAAAAATCCTTGATTTAAATCAAATGAATCAAATTTTTTTATTTAAAAAGTTAAAAAACGGTGTTTTAAATTATTGATACTTATACTATTTTCTTTCCTTAGTTTCAATTTTTTTTAAAAAATAACTGCTGCTTTAATTATTTTTAGTTAACGAAATTACTTTCTTTCTTGGTGTCTGTTAAATACCAACATATTTTAAATTACATTTTTAAAAATGTTTTGATTCTTGAGATTGAAAGTATAGATTAAACTAAACATTTAATGCTGTCTTAATATAGACTTGCATAGCTGTAGAAAGTAATTAATAAACATGAGTTTTTTTTACAAAAAAACTACAAATATTGTTAATTAAAATTCTTTTTCGATTGAAAAAGCATGGAAACAAAATCTACATTATATTTTCTTGATTTAAAGTGTATATTTCTAAAGCTTGAGGTTATATTAAAAAGAATTCTCTATTTTATCTAGTCTTGAAATTTTAATCATGCATTTGTTTCAAAATGATTGCTATGCATTCAAAGCTTTGTATTATAATGAAAAAATTGTTTTAGGTAGTTAGAGCTTCTAAAATATTGTTATAATACAGTTTTAATATTAATTTAATTTTGATTAAACATTTATAAAGTTTTTTTTAATCAAAAATCAAAGTTCTTACAGTGTATTTGAATAAAAATAAAAATTAGATTTAAAAAAAAAAAATCCAATTTAAAACAAAAAAATCTGATTATTTTGATTTAAAAAAAAAAAAAAGTCAGGAACCATGCACATAACAGTACCTGAGTCGTCAGCAAGAAAACAGGATATGACGAGTTCTTCTGAAACAACTGTATGCGTCTTTCACGCTCTTCTGTTTTTGATATTGTGCCATCGATTCTAACAACTTTCCATTGCCTAGAAAAAAATTTGAGACATAAATGGAGTATTTTTAAAAAATATTAGCATTCAATTGTAAAAATGATTGTTAAAGCACCAAGGTGCAATGATTTAAATAAAGTCAAAATCTGTTCTAAGTTCATAGTAAATTGCAATTTCAGGGCCTACACTGAAGACTTAAAATTACTAGCCAGTAAATTAGCTAAATATTAAAAGCGTTAGGAGTAAATTAGCAATAAATGAGAGAGAGAATCAAAAATGTAGTTGCTTCACCATCTTTAAGGAAAAGAAATCAGAATAGGTTGGGATTAATTTTTAATAACTTCTTAGACTAGAGCAATTGTTACAAGGATAAACTTGCAGCAACATTTGATGTCTTCCTTTTTTCAGATTTAGACTCCCTTTTAAATAAATATATTTCAGTAAACAAAACGCTTAATTCGTTAAGTTTTATTTTTTAATAAAATTTTTACTGTCACAATTGCAAACATCCAGAAAAAAAAGGATTGTGGTAAAAGATAAGCAATTTGAATAATTTAATTATGTCTTATTGGTTTTTATACTACTCAGAGATTTTTAATGAAATTTGCGCAGGACTTAAATATGTTCAAGAGGCAAAATAGTGAATGCTTAGTGCAGGTTTGGATTTTAATTATAACATGTTATAATCCCACAGTGATAAGGTATTCTTTTAAATGGGGTAATTGACCAGCATCCCACATACTTTTCTTTAGTTACACTATAATCTGTAGCAATATTAATCCCATTTACGAGGAATTAGGAAAACAGAATAGGGTCATTAAAGCTATGAATTTTAATAAATTAAGCATCTAGATTTCGTAACGAAATTTATTTGCCAATAAAAATTAAACCTTAATAATACACAAGTTGTTAATGAAAATGAAGTTGTTTAACTTTTTTTTTTTATTAATTTAAACTTCAAAGCAACTGTTCCTTTCGTCTTTTTTTGCTATGGAATCTTAAATGATTGTGAATAGAATAACCAATAAATATATACTATTTTTTTAAAAAGATAATAAGAGGAAGAAAATTTCTATTTTTTAGCATAATATATTTTTAATTTTATGGCTTCTGGAGCTTTAACTAGTCCAGTAATGAACTTGTTTTTGTGTAAAGACAAAAACTGAAAACACATAAAGCCAAATTATGAATTAATTTTTTTTTTAAATGAACAACTGCTATAAACATTATTAATGGTTATTAAGGATTAATTCTTATTTATTTCGTAACTTAATTTTGATTCGGTAAATTAATTTCGTAACTTAATTTTGATTTTAAAAGTCTGATTGGAAATACCAGGGTGGCCACTCAAATCAGGTTTCAAATTTCCCTAATTTTCCAGTAAAAATCTCAAAATTTCCAGGTCAGCATGTTTTTTTTTTCTTTATGAAGTTTAGGTGGGTATAAAATTTTTTTAAATATTATATAGTATTTTATTTAAAATGTTATTTATTTAATACATCATTGAACAGATGTGGAAAAAAATAATATGTTTAGATTGTAGAATATATTGCTTTTAATGAAATTTTTTTTTTAAAGAGTTGAGTAGTTTTTGCACAAAATAGTAAATACAGAGTGACCCAAAAAAACCTTGGATAAGTACTGTTTACTGTATTTTCATTAAGCAAAAGAAAATAACAGCAGGAGATTATACATTAATATTTTTTTATTTAATTTTTAATTTTTTTATTACTTTTTTTTTATTTTTTTATTTACATTTCAATTTATACTGTATTTATAATATTTTATACTGTATTTTATGGAAACAGTGCTCTTTATAAAATTCATTGATATAATTTCCTTTAAACCAGTATTTAGTCAAATGTTTAAATAATGTTGTTCATTTTGTATTAGCACTACTATTTAAGAAACATTGGCAAAGGCAAAATTGTCAAATTTCTTGTGGCATATTTTACAGAAAAAAAAACAAGATAAAACTCTCTAAATTTTATTCTTTTTTGTTTTGTTTTCATTTTTTTTAATAGAAATTAGAATATTTAAAGAATTCCAATCTTACTACACGGTTTCCTAGTTTAGATTAGGTAGTTGATTTTATAACTGGGAAATAAATTACAGGGTGTCGGACGAAAAAATTAACATAAATTTCTTAGAAAAAATATCTTAAAAATAAGCAAAGTTTATAATCATCAAATTTTTATATTAAATACTAAGTACATTATAACCTATCGAAAACAATTCGTTTTATAAAAACTGATTACAATAAAATCAAATTAAATGGTTTAAATTGTTGGTGTCGGATGTAAATCACACGAAAGCAAAAATTATTACTCACTTACAAACTGTCAAAACTCTGAGTTTGTTTGTAACTTAAATGCATTTTGAAGCTGACATTTGAATAAAAAAATTCTATGCAGTTCTTAACTTGTAAAATATGATCCATAATTAATTTGAAATTTTTTAGACAACATAAGTCAGTGTCAAACCAGCTTTTTTCACTTTAGTGTTATTTTTTAAGTCGGATATAAATTTAAGTTAATGATAACCATTACAATTACTGAGCATTACTTTAATTTTAATCCTAACACTATAAACATTATTTTTCAATGAAATAACTTTCGACATTGTGATTAATAAATGAATTTTGAATCAAAAATCAAATATTTACGAACAAAACAGTAAAAAATATCTAGTTGGTTCGTAAAAAAAGATTTTTTAAAATAAAATATGTTATAAAAGGTTAAAATGAAATACGGAAAATTAGCAGCAATGCAACAATGGTTAGTATTTTGCCATTAACGATTCAAGAAAAATGAGTGATTGATGAGTAACTAAGAAAAAATAATTCATTGGATGGGAGAACAAAAGCTTTCAGAAAAAGAGTGCAAGATAAAATCTATTATTAAAATTATAACCAATAGTTTTTTGGAGAATTTTATAAAATTAAAATAACTAAAACATTTTGAATAGTTTTGTTAACATAAAAAATACTCCCAAAGCATTGGAACAAACTTTAACAATAAATGAATTCAGTCCACGGACTAGAAGATAAAAAAAAAAACCTACTTATATGAACAGAAGCCAATATCCCTAACCCTTTCTTTCAACTCCACCACAATTTTTGCCTTTTTTAAACTGTGTAGTCCCATAATCTTCAAAGAGGTCAAAGATTTCTCCATTCATTTAGCAACATGGGAGAGTTTAATATGGCACTCTAGTTTAGCAGGATAATAATGAAGAGAATTTTAATGTAAGCAAAGTATTGCTAAGTTGATGATATTTCAACTGTTTGACAAATTTCCATCTAAATAAAGTAGATATAGCAAATGGTAAAATAATTTAAATTAAGAAAAAAAATTCCAGCTTTTCTATAAAATTCCCTGATGATCCAGGTTTTTATCCGAATTTCTCTGATTTACTTAACTTAACTCACTTTTACTTAACTTTACTCACTTGATTAACTCTGATTTACTTACTTTTACTTAATTTTTTCTTTTTAAAAAATATTGTCATTTCTATTTCATTGGCATTTTTACCAAAATAATAAATAAATAATGGATTTTTGATGTAATAGAAATATTATGTCTTAACTCTTGGAACCCCTTTAACTTTTCAGTGGACCTCTAGTGTTTGCAGAACACCGTCTAACAACACTGGTTTAAGGAAAGAACAACAGGTGCTGATGGATTACAAAGGGTTATGAAATTTAACTCTGAGAGATACCAAATTATATAAGTGAAAATCAACATTAAACTTAAAAGAAGTAAAAGAAATTTGACTTTGAAGAATAATATTCTACTACGTGTCTAAAGCATTCACATGCTATTGTTCGCGCACCCTCAACAGATCTTTCGCAGTTCTTTTCGGTTTTGCAAACAGGGATAGCTTATTAGATACTGAAACATAGTAGTCTAAAATTTTTGTTTAAACAATATACTTGTACATTGAGCGAAAATGTTTGGCATTTCAACTGTAGTCTGGAAACAAACTTACCAGTCTGAATTCATTGAAAAAGGAATACATACAAACGATATCAAAATATAGATGTGTCTCTTAAATAAAAATTTATTGAATTTATCAAGCAAAAAAAAAAAAAAAAAAANAAAAAAAAAAAAAAAAAAAAAAAAAAAAAAAAAAAAAAAAAATATAATTGTATTTTTATTTTTCAAAAAAAATTTATTTAAGAAATTTTATCCCAGTTATAAATTATATCATGCTGCTACTGTTACATGGAATATATCAAACACAAAGTAAAGGTAACATACATTAAAATTTGCTAAAATGTGTAAAACTTATGCCTTTATGTTTGTTAGTAAAATTAACAGTATGAAACCGAAATATATCAGTACAGTATTATAACAGTATCTCATGGTATTTTAATGGAACATAACACTACTCTACACAAGTCTAAAAGGTATATTTACATGATGGTTAAATACTAAAAATTATAATCAAATCTACAATGAACTAAATAAACAAAACAAAAAATTGTCAATGAAGTAAATTTGTTTCATATCTAGCTCATTTGTATCCAGGGGTCTGTCCAGATTTTTTGTGAAGGTTCTGTTTTTGTAAAAATGTGAAAAAACTACTCATAATTAGTGAATATAAAATAAGCGTTAAGTCACATTCGTTCAACCAGGGTCCCGCTTTTGTGAATGTGCAAATAGGGTCCTGTTATTGCAAAAATTGTTAAAAACCTTTTCAAGAAGTTTTTAAATTGTAAATAGATACAACATTCTGCTCAACAATTGCTGTTACTAAATTAGAGATGCAACATACAAATATTTGGTATTTAGCCTATACTACTGAATGCAGAATATTCATTTCAAACTAATAGTGGAAACAAAATCACTCACATTTTTAATAATTTCAATTGACATATTTTAAATAACACAACTTAGTAATGTATCACTTATAATGTGTTACACATTAAGTAAATTTAAACAATTATTAAATTTATAATATTTTACTTAGAAAATTGCCAGAAATTAATTTTTATTTACATAATATTCTATTAACATTTCGAACCATCCCCTTCGGAAGGGTTTATTCGATTAACAAAACAATAATGAAGATAAACAAATTTGTGAAAGGTCCGATTAAAAGATAAATTATTTTGTGAAGGGTCCGTTTTTATGATAAGATATTTTGTGATGGGTCTGCTAACGGACCAAAATTTCTCTTAAACAGACCACTGGTATCAAAATTAAAATGTACTAACATATCAGACTTTTTCTGACCAAGAAAAAAGTAATTTTGGAAAACAAACTAGAAATGATATGATTTTGCATCATTTTTTCCCCCTTCCTTTTTTGAAAAACTTACAGCCCTGAGATATTTAAAACATATTGGAAGGTGGATTACCTGTTTAAAAGAATACGGTGAATCATATCCAATATTTTACGAGAGAGTGAAAAGACGAGTGTTCGGTGTCCATTCTCTTTAAGATTTTCCAGTAGGTTAATTAAAAACTTCATTTTTCCAGATTCTATTATGAGTGTTTCATCTGCAACATTTTCAATAGATGAGGCAATTGTGGCTTCATCATCCAGTTCTCTCATTAAATCTTCTTCACTAGAAAAAAAATGGCAAGCATTCTGCTTCAGAGATAATCATTAATTTATATCACAATCTAATATTTTTTTAAATTCTTTTCCACACAATTTTGATGTACGGGTGCCACTCTAAAAACATTTCAAAACTGAACTTATTTTTTGACCAATTAACACAATCAAGAGTTGTTTACCAGATTTTTTAGAAATTTATCGCTCAATAGTACAAATGTTGTTCAAGCAAGTAGGCACTGAAGTTCAATTTATCCTGTTCATTCATTGTGGTGCGACATCATAATAATTATCATGTCGCATTGCATTAATAATGAAAAATAACAATTCTTACATTAAAATGTAATATTTGTATAAAATTAACTAAAAAAATATATAGAAAATGTTTGTAAAAAAATTTAAATTTTGAAGGTAAAAATTACATTTTAATTTAAAGAAAAAGTAGAAAACTGATACTAATTGATGAAATTTAGTGTCATGATATTTTCTTAAGACTGATTTCAGTCACCAAGACTGAAAAGTGACACACATACTAATGATAAAAGCATTTTTTTTACATCTGAAATTCAGGCAATTTTCATAGCAAAAGCTACTGATAGAAGCTTGCTGAAGCTACTGATATTGATCTTTGTGTCTTATGCAGTAACAGATATAAAAAATATTTTTAAAAAAAAATTAAATGGGGGGGGGGGGNGGGGGGGGGGGGATCAGAAAAAAGATAAAATTCCCTTTATATTGTTCATTTATTTATTTTACGATTAACCCTTTGATGCAGAATTTTTATGAAACTTATTTTTTTCATACTTTTTACTTTATTATGTATGAATATAATCCAAAATAAGTGCAAAATATCATATTTAACATTTTAATTCTTTATAATTATGGAATACAGTGTGAAATATAGGTGTTTTTTTCTGTGTTAAAGGTAAAAATCTTTCAAACATGGCTAACTTTTAAACAATTATTGGCACTAATTTAGATCAAAAAGAAACAGTTAACATTGAAATTTCTTTAATTTTCAAAACCAATTATTGATAAATTTTCGAATATTTTAGATTTTTAATAACTATATAAGACTATCTTATATGTATAAAAAAAGCAATATATAATTCTGCTAGTAATCAGAGCCTCAAAATACATAGATGAAAGGGGCACTGGTGTCCCATCTGCATCAAATCACAATTAACAAAGACAAATTATGACTAATATAACTTGTCTTTGTTAGACATTAATAAATAATAAAAGTGAATAAATATATGAAAGAAAACATACTCTAGTTCTCCATTTAGACCTAACTGCAGACAAGCTCTTTGACTTAATAAGCGAGGATGGTCACAAATCTTTTTTAATGTTGTTAATTCCACTAATGGAGATCTTTTAGAAACTAAAATCTATAAAGAAAAATAATTAAATTTATGTTTTCAATATTCATATAAAAATAGCAACATATACAAATGAGGATAAATAACTAAAAATGGAACATACAAATGAGAATAAACATAACTGGAGGAATGAACACTCTTTAGAAAGAAAAGAAAAATGAACTTATTTCATTTTTCTCATTGATGATAGGCTACAGTTTAGGGCTGATTGTGACAAAGTGAAAAATCCTGAAAGTTGTTAACTCGAACAAACAATCGAACAGCGTGCAAAACTCGATAAAAAGATACCCATTTATATATTATTCACATTTAATAGAAAAGTTTGATTTACAATTGAATTACCAATGAATATTATGACACTTTTCTAGAAACAAATGTAGGGGAAAAAATAATTCTTACAAGAATCAAGATATTGGATTTCAAAACAGCGTGAATATGAATCGCGATATTGGATTTTAAGACAGTGTGAATATGAACCACCCCCAGTTTCTAGACCTGGAGAGATGACATGAAAAACCCGGAGTTCTGGGGTACACCTGAAATACTATAACCCCTGACATTCAGATGTATACAAAATTTTAAAATCAGTAATAAAAAATGAACATATTGATCTGGATAAATGATCAGATATGTACAACTTTTTAAAAATATGTTAACTCAAAAACTATTTGACTAATTGTACTCAAATTTTGTAATTTGATATTTAAAATCGCTTATATTATTTAAAATGTTGTAAAAATGTGTAGATTTCCCAATTCAAAATTAAAAAATTCTTATAGTGATTATCTATTGATATAAAATGAACTAAATTGTGTACTTTTAACCACCTCAAATTCATAATAAAACTTTTTCCCTTAATCTTAAGAAGTATTTAAATAAAATCTCTCAGCTTTTTTCTCCCACTGACCCTATTTTTACATATAATCCTATATCAAAACAAGAAAAGAGTATAATGAAGTTAGCTAAACATACATTTTTAACAACTTCTGAATGGAGGAAATTTCTGTAAATTTCGCACTGTTGATCAGACATTGGCAACCAAATAATGAAATCGTTCTTTCGGGTAGTTACCTTATTGCTGTTATTAGATATTCTGAAAATAAATATGTTCATAATATAAAACTTTATCAAGTTACAATTTGCAATTTAAATATAAGATTACAAGCCATAATAGAATATAAACACTTAAAATATAGTTGCATATCAAAAGAATTTGGTAATGCCAACACAAAATAAGAGATAAAAATTGAATTCACTAGTTTCATTTGTACCTGTTGAATTAAAATTTCATCCACTTGCATAAACAAGTAAAAAAACAATAACTAACTTAAGTTTTTCTTTTTTTTTGCAAACAGCTTCTTACCTCAAATCTGCCATTTTACATTCTATATCATTCACGTCTGCCTTTTCATTATCCCAAATCTCTGCCTTTGTTCGACGTAAAAAATAAGGCTGAATCAGTTTCTTCAAGTTCTCAGCCATTTCTGTTCCAAGGCGCTTTTCTCCTGCAGTAGCATCTTTCTCACGAGACTACAATTTAAAATATTCATTAGTAGTTCAATTTTCAAAAATAATTTCTTTTTTTTTTAATTGCATATACCAGACTCATCATAAATTATTTACATATAAAAAATGCATGTATAGAGGCAGCATAATTCACTTTAAAAAAGCAGCTTAATATTATTATTTGTTTTATTTAAGCGACATATAATCAATGAGTATTTCCTGGCTCAAAATATTTTATGGTACTTTGAGATTGTCTCGACCATTTACATACATTATTCATTGATTATTTTCGCCACACCTGGTATTATCGCCAAAAGGTAGCTTCTGTGCCAATAACAGCAAATTTCATCATATTTACTGTGTAATCCTTGACTATGCGAGTTAGTTTTCTTTAGTGCAAAATGATTGGAATTTGAGATTGGCCTAGCACCAAAGAAATTGCAGTGGCATATTTTTAGTTCAATTTGTAACTATAAAAAAATTTAGGGGTTTTTAGTTTGTTTTGATTATTTTTACTACAGATTCTTGGTTCATATCCCTGCTGATGGGATAATCCCAAAGTATTTATTTTACGAATATTCATAAAATGTAATTTTAAATATGAAAATACTTAAAATGCTAATAAAATGTCCTAACTCAATAAAACGCTCTCTATATTGTGACACAAATACTAATGGTTAATCAGTACCAAAAAAATGCCCTCTTCCTTACCACACAATTTAAAAGTGCTTTTTTGGAAAAATTTGTCAAGTTGGGGAGGGCAGAGAATGGAATGAAATTCTCAACAGAAGAGGTCAACAGCGTTTTCTCTGAGTTGCATGAAGATTAATGTCCCATTGAATGGTACATATGTGTGTGCTCTCAAGAAAAGGAAGAATTTCAAGGTGGAGTGGTAGCAGGAAAGATTGAGTAAAAAGGAGAGGGTGCTACTCTTAGAAGCAGGACCAGAGTCAGCCTGATTGGGGCCCGGGGCAAAAACACCAAACTTTATGGATATTTTAAATTTCTCACCTCATTACAGATATATAAAGAGAAAATTGACTAGAACCTAAAATATTTCAAAATGGTCAAGCGGAATATTGTCTGCCCATTTTATTAATTATCTAACAATTCTATGTCCATCATTAAAAGAATATAGCACACCTGAAGAGCCAAAATTTGAGAAAAACGTATTATTTTCCTTAAATTAACTGAATTAAAGTATAAAACGGTCAACAATGGGATAACTGATTGCTAACTTTGTCATCCAGCTGCGAAAAACTCATATTCTTGCTGACATTAGGGGGGAATTCATTTAAATGTTCGTAATTGTGAAGGCTCAATTAAGCTAATCAGAAGTCTATATTTTTGTAAATATATCACATTTTCCTATATGTAAAAACACAGTCTTTTGTTCGACCAAATTCGCCCATCGTAATTGCGAAAATTTAGTTGAGTTCCAACCTAGAAAGCCATGGATTTACGAAATATAGATTTTTTGGCGTTCATACGATAGATTAATGAAGAAGCTAACATAAAATGGATTTTAAACTGTACTGATATTTTGCTTAAAAAAAGTTCATTGAAAGTTAAACTTTCGATTCGATTTGGAGAAACTGCCTTAGTCACGCTTTGCTTAGAGGTGCCTTAAATATGAAAGAAAAATTACAAGCCTTCTGCAACCAACAGATGTTGTTTCGCGGATGACTCTAAAAGTGCGCCAAGAAAAGAATCGTGACTCTTAATCGGGAAAAATAAAAGATTCTTGTAAGGAATTTAAAAAGGCCAACTTGACAAGAAGTTATTAGTTTTGTATTCGCAGCTTGGGAAACTGTCTTAGAAGAGACGATGTCTAACTCAAAGGTATTTCAAGGTATAAAGGTATTTCAAATGCATTAGGTAAAAGCAAAGATGGATTTATTAATTCCTGATAAATGGAAGTTAATGTTGAACGAAAAGTGCATTGACTTAATTTTGGAGGATGACTCTGATATTTCTTTTGATGGATTTTTGGATACTGATTAATGCAAAAATATATATATGTAATAATAAACTAATCTTTCTTTTTATGAAATATTTGGTCATCTGTATTTTATATTTTATCACAGAACTTTTATTTTTTCACCTATTTGCCTGTACTGTAAATGTAGCGAAATTTTAAAATAAGGGTTTGTTGTAGAAAGTAAATTAGATTTAATTAAATTCATTTACTTCTTTTAGCTATTATTTTCACTTTATAATGTTTATGTTTTGTGATCCATATTTAATTATATTCAATCAAATATAATTGATTTTTTTTTAAAAACGACGATTCACATTTTTCTTCAGTAATGTTTATTTGTCACCCCCTTTACACTGCGCCAAATTTCGTTGGAATTACGGCGTGTTTTATGATAATACTTAAAGACTTAGTTTTAAAACTGAAATCAGAGAGTCCGTTAAATCAGCAAAATCAAATGCTAATCAAACAAAATGTAACACAATTTCACTTGCTTTTAGTGCTAAAAATAAACATTTTTGCTTAAAAAAAAGTATTATAAGAATAAATTAAACAAGGTAGACAGCAATTAAGGGATTTAATGAATGAAAAACACATTTTATTTTATGCAGCTGTTATTTGTCAAAGATTAAAAGTAACAACAACTTAAGGTCCTAAAGTCTATGTAAAAAAATAAATAAATAAATAAAAAAAATTTGCAAATGCTGAAAAAAGTAAACAAGATTTTAAAATTGTGAAATTAGAGAGTTCTTTAAATGACTCAATGTACAAATTATGCAAGAAGAAAAAGAGTTAAAAATTAATTACATAATTTTTGTAAAATGTTTCACTTTTCTTAAAATTTATCATACAGAATTAAAACTGACTGACTCTGCTAAACTTTTTATGACTTCAACAAAGTAACAGAAACAGGGGTGATTGTGAGCCCAAGTCAAAATTCCGGAAAATTTCTTGAGTTACTCATACCTATACCATTTACACATACCTATGATGACCTGGAGAATGAATTAAAATTTACATATATGTCTTTCTTTCTTGAGTTTATGATTATAATAACTATTTACTGATAAAAAAATAAATATTAATCATGAATATAAGCTTAGAAAGTATCTGGCTCTCCCTTACAAACAAATAAACTGTGTTTTTAAGTTCCACCTTTGAAAATATGATTTCCGGAAATTCTGTGATGAATAATTTTTTGAAAAGTCTGGACCTTCGATCTCCGGAAACTTCCGGATCACTGTTAGCGAAAAATCCAGAAATCCGGATTTTTTCCGGAGCACAATCAGCCCTGCAGAAATAATGTATGACCTTTAAAAGAATATTTGAGCTACAAATTTGAGCTTTTATTTCGAAATTACACTTACTTTACAAGATCATTTATACTATAGAACAAAATTAAAGGTTGCCACAAAATAAATATAACAAGTAGCAATTTAAAAAAAATGTCAGAAAGTTTTCACAATTTTTCGGTTGAAAAAGCAACCTGTGTGCATTTTATTATTAACCAATTCCCTTACCAATTACTTGGAAAAAAAAATGCAGAAAAATCAACATATTTATTTTATTAATAAATACAAGGAAGTAAAACAAAACATAATGCACAAGTTTTAAGTTGAGTTTTGAAATTTTTTCTATCTGTATGAAATATTTAATTTAAAATCAGTTTACTATCCCGAGCAAATGAAAAAAGTTCAATATTATTCTTTGTATGATAGTTTTTAAAGCAAGGGATGACACAAAGTGATACTTTTAAAACGTAAGTTAAGGAATACACTATTTTTTACTCTTATTGCTATGTAAATTCAGAAACCATTGTATATACAATCACACAAAATAAGTGTGCAGTCCCACACGTATTTTGTTGGAATTCCCAGCAACACTCCTAAATAAAACTTGGCAAACTTCCAATCACAGCAGATTATATTTTTTGCTACCAACCCAGTAAAAACGTGATAAAACAAAATATACCAACAATTTCTGAAAGTCTGAGTTTTCTCCGAATGATAAATATTTGCAGTACCTGAGTTAACTCGGGATAATTAGGAAAGCGGTTAATTAAATGTTTTATATATTCTGAAAATTTGAATTGAATTGAATGTTGGGTTTAATGGCACAAAGTCCACAGAAGGAAATTCTGTGCCAAACAAACGGTTTCAAAATAAATACTAGGTAGATGTATACTACAAGTTTTTCCCATCAAAAATCCCACGGAATTCATAAAACTTAAATACAACAAAACCAACGCATTCAAAAGTGAGTAAAACCAGGTAAAATGTAAACATAGTAAAGCATCGTAAAACAGTTGCATTCAAAGCTGAATAAAATCACATAAAATAGTAAATAGGATAAAACAGTTATATACAGTATAAGATACCAATTGCGCGTAGAAATGCAAAAATTCTAGGATGATGGCAGTCACCTAACAAATCCTGCTACCAAAAAAGGTTAGACGATGATGGTTAAAAAATGGGCAAATGATTAAAATATGATGAACAGTGAGTAAAACATTGCAAGTACTGGAATGAGGAGGAGGTTCACCAAACAGCAAGTGAAGATGGGTCAATCGAGTGTGGCTCTGAAATTTTTTTACTTCATACTTGTTTCTGAAATAATTTCATTCAATTTAGAAATGAATCTTGTAATGCTCACCATATTTTGAGAAATCCTTTATATTATTAATAAAAATCGTTTTTGTAATTATTCAAAATTTTCTTTTCCAAAAAAGTGACCACAACGGAAAATGGTGCAACTGGCCATTTGTCAGTAGCAAAATTTTCTAATTTTGCCCCATAACTTATACTTACAACATAAGCTACCTATCATAAATCACAAGATAACAGAGGCTATAGAATAAGTAAAAGCATTACCCTAGTAATAATATTCTCATATTGCATCTTGAATGTTTTCATGGAACCCAATAATGCACCTTGATGGACAAAGTCATACAGAGCCCATAACTCCTAAAAGATATGTATAATAAAGATTATGAGATAAGAAATATGTAAAATAATGATTAACTCTTATCTCCTAATACTGAATAATAAAGATTATGAGATAAGAAATATGTAAAATAATGATTAACTCTTATCTCTAAATACTGAATAATAAAGTAAGAAATAGAATTTAAAAAAAAATAGGGACTGACTTTTTATAGTAACCAGTGTACAGAAAGTAATATAAGATACTATACACTCTGAATAATTTTTGATCTAATTGCAGTGGTGAAGCAGACTCAATAAAATTTTCTGAAGCAATGCAGAAACTAATTTAAACATCTCAAAAAAAAAAAAAAAAAAAAAAAAAAAAAAAAAAAAAAAAAAAGAACTGAAACAATATTTTTATACTAAAAAGTTATCTTTTTCAAATAAAACAGTTCACAACTTTTTAATAAAGAAACTCTGATATAGAATAAAAAATAAAAGTTTACTTTACATTATACAGTTGGACTTCTATTTAACAAACTTCCATTTTGCGAATTTTTTCAAGGAAATTAAGAACATTTTGGAAATTTCTTCGTAAAATAACTTCTAAATAGCAAAGTGAATTTTCTATTTAACGAACTTTTCATTGAGATCCACTTTCCCCATTTTCCAGAATATTTCAAACTTGTTAACGCATTTTATGGGGGAAATTACCTTGAATTAATTTTTGAAGCCAAGGCTTTATGTAATGTTTTACTGCTTTCTCTAAAAGTTATTTTATCGAAAGTAGTTAAATCCTTTTTTGTTTGCCTTTCAAATGAAAAATTCAATTCAAATTAACAGATTTTATCAGTAGCAATTAAACTTAAGAACACATGTGGTAATGTATGTTTAAAATTACTCTTGTAATAAATGCAGCTATAATTTAATACATAAATGTAGCTTTTTTTTTTAGTTGAAAATGTATGTAGCATAATAGTGTAACTGTTAATAGTTGTAACCTTATTTTATCCTGGACTTTCCTTGCAATCACATATTTCGATATTAATGATCGTTTAAGGTCGTGAGAAGAATTCCTTCGAAGATACTTTCTTCCTCTTGTACATCCGCTAAAACCATCAGATGTAATAACAGCTGTGTTGAAAATCTATGTCAAAGTTCCATTTTATATTTTCCTACTTCCTTGTATGTTTCATAAAAATACCATAATCTTTTAATTTACCTTACATTAGTTTAGTTCAATAAAGACTATGTCACAGTCGACCCATGGCTTCTGACTCTTTCTTTCTACCGTAATCACAACAGTAATAATGGATAATATTTTGATCTATTCTCACTTTTCATGCAGATTTCTTTTATGGTTAAGATTTATAAAATAAATAGTAGATACTAGTTTACAAGATAAAGGTGTATCAATTGCTATTTTAATTATGCCTAGTGTTTATGAATTTAAAAACTGTTTTGCGTTGTTTAAGTGTTTTAAAACGTGATTTTCTACTTAAAGAATTTTCCATATAACGAGCTCATAATTGGGATTCAGCGACTTTGATAAATAGAGGTCCGACTGTATGCATCTAGCTAATCCCAATAGCTTAGACAGAAACTTATGAAATATTAACAAAAAATATGAAACTTACAGCAAACATTAAACTTACAAAAAAAAAATTTTAAATTTTTTTTCTTAAATCATAGTATTTTTGTACATGACAGGTTAAAATTTTCGAACAAGTCAATCAGTCCAAAAGGCAATAAAAAATAATTGAAACACAAAAAGAATTAAATGAACAAATTCAAAACTTTTTGCAGACAATTATGGAATTCATTTGAACCAAAAGATAGTTTCGTGCAACAAAAAAAAAAGTTCATCAGTTCACAGTTTATACTTAAAATTAACAATAAAGCAATTAACAGTAATAGTTATCATCCTTTTTATTAGAAATCAAACTTTATACAATCACTGCTATCAAAACTGTTTTAATGCTTATTTTGGCGAATTTCAGAAATTTATTGAAACAATTAACAAAACCTGGCTAATGGAACTGCACAGCTGTTAATAATAAGATGATTTAAAGTATGTAATGTACAAACAAAGAAACAGTTTATTTACAATTTTAATAGACTTTTTTAAAAAAAGGTAATTCTTACCCTCAAATTGTTTTGTATGGGTGTACCAGTAAGAACAAGTCTATTTTTAGCAGGAATTTCATGAACAGCCTTTGTGGTTTTAGTTGGATTTTTTATTTTATGTCCTTCATCCAGTATCACATAATCCTGAAAAAAAAAGGCAATTAAAAGTGTGAAGTCATGTAAGAGTGGGAAAAGAAAGAAAAAGTGTAAAAATACCTACAGGGTATGTGCTAAATTCTAGATTTTTTTAATTCATGACTACTTCCAAAAATTTCTTCATGACTTAACGAAGATACTAATTTCTCTGACAAAAACAAAATAATAAATTTAAAAAAGAAATCAGGGCTCTCAGGTTTTTCTCAGAGGCACCTATTTTGTGAAAATCTAGACAAAATTTGTGAAAATAAAAATTTATAATAAAAAATCAACACAATAGGGTAAAAATATGGATTTATCGTTTCTTACAAGACACAAAAATAAAATTAAGTATTTTGTAAAACTACTGTTTTTCTTAAAGTAAAATTTGTGAAGGTACCGCTAGACGGTAGTAAATTTGGCTTGGACAGAGCCCTGGCATTATAATAACATTAATTGAAATGAAAGGTATAACCAAAACTGTTATACTCTGCCATCTTCATAATGATTGATTTTAAATTTAAAAAACAGAGTAAAGAAAGAGTGGAAGCAATAAAAGAGCCGAACAAAATACAACAGCGAATAATTTGTTTTCTTTTTCTGCAGAATTATATTCTAAAGATCCTTACACATTCAGATATTCGGAGCACCATGAAATTAGGGGGGAGGGGTAAACTATATTTTAAAAATTTGATTATTTTGGAGACTAATCCCATTACTTTCCATGATTTTTTTTTAAAAATAGTTAAAATCATGACAAATTTTTTTCAATACCGAAATTCACGACTTTCCAGGTGCGCAGATACGGTATACCTATCAATTCAAATGATAAAAACAAATTGTGTGAAGACATTTTGCATAAAAAGAAAACAATTCAATTATTTACATAATTATTTCTTTGCTACATGTGTGCATTGACAGCCCAACAAAATGTTAAGCTTTATACAGAAATCATAATGAAAAAATAAGATAATAAAGTAAAATGACAAAATAAAGTAGAAATTGTTGAGAAAAATAGACATTTAACACAGTATTTCCTATGATCATTTTCTCACTGGAAAATTTCATTATAACTTTTTAAATTTGTATGCAAATAGTCTGATCAACAATTCACAAATCATCATTCTTCACCTAGATGAAAAGCTAACAATGATTAATTTTTATTTTTCGCTTTTTTTAAAATTACCTTCTCAAAAAAAGTAGATCAAATATTTTAAAAGTTAGAAATTCTGCCAAAAAGTCAAAAGAATCTCATGCCAGTACACAAGTCTTTAACATTATTCATAACACATAAGAATATTTATAAATTTTTTATTAGTTGATAATTCAAAATTTGAAACTGAATCATTAAAAAAAATTGATAGTAGTAATAATAGTAATATATGACATGTAGATCCATTTTTAAAAAAATGCAGAGTTGGAGCACCTTTTACAAAAATTAGTACAAATAACACTGAAGAACAAGCTATAGATATCTGGCATGGTGTTTAACTTTTCTAGTGTAGTTTGTAATGCTCATTTCAACTTTGAAAACTGCTTTGTTCTATCACATATATTTTTTAAGACATTAAACAAAAATTAATTTTCATTGAACACTTAATAAAAAAGCAATGAATAAGTGCATTGGAAACACACATTGGGAAAAACCATTACTTCAATTATGTGAATTTATTGAGACATGATTCAGGCTGCTTAACATTAAATCAATATAATGAAATATTTATTAAAATTATAATTGATAAATAGATTCAAATGATAATCGACCAAATGAATTATTAAAAAAAAATATTATTAATATGGAAAGTTTAATTTTAAGCTTGCCGAAACGATCTAATAATACAGATTCCGATTTTTCTTAATTGAACATAACGCAATTATATAATGTAATTAATAGTATTTTTATAATGTATCAATTAATTTTTGCTCATGAGGTTTATTGGAATTCAGAAAATTTATTGGAAGTCAGAAAAATTATGGAGCTGCTTAAAAAACCCTAAAGATTTTGTTAAATAGTATGAAGTGAATAAAGTTCCTTCCGTTATCTTTTAAATAATCCTTGTACATTAGTTATTTTTAAGAAAAAGAATAAACATTTAATTATTTTTTAATTAAGGCTCATTTGCTCAACAGTCCAAATTTACTTGGACATAAATTAGTATAATTGTAAAAGGGATATTTTTTTATCAAGGTGCAATTTTAAAAAGCTTTTTTTTTCTTTTTTGGTTATTTCCATTGCTTTTTCTAGAGTTTATTTCCAGTGTTTTTTTGATTTTTTTTTTTTTTACCATTTTCTACCACATGGACATTAAAAATATAAAAATATGTAAAACACTGAAATATACCATAGATTAAGGATGTATATTCAGAATGTAAGGATTTTATGTGTTGTGTATTTCAAACTAGATATTTCTATATATGCGAAGGGACTTAATCTGACTGTTTTCTTAGCTAATTATATGTTCAATTGCAACACAAGCCCAGGTCTTAATGTAGCAAATTCCATGGCCTTTGGACAATGACGATTGCTTTTTAACTAAATACAAAAATACAGACCACCCGAATTTTAATGCCATAATATAATTAAAATCAACAATATTTATTAATTTTTATATTAATTTAATATAAATATTAAATTAAAAATAAAATGATTGATAAGAGGATAAACTTACCCAAATAAATCTCTCCCCTTCCATATGAGCCAAAGAATCCAAATTGCTGACTACCATTCCATAACTAGTTAATAAAACATGACCTTTCCTTTTCACCTTAAGAATATTTCTTTCACGCTCTTTCTTTGAACTTCCATGAAATAAATAAACCTTTATACCAGGGCACCTGAAAAAATTAAGGAGGCTCTATAATCAGTGTCTGATAATTACAGGCAAAAACAATTTCTAACAAAACAAAATGTCATTTTTAATGGTTAAAGATTCTGTCGATTTGATGTATACGAAAAATTTAAATTTTTTACTTATCTTTCCCATAAAATTTTTAAAACATGTTTTAAATTATTATTATTTATTTTTTTCACAAATAGGGCAAATAAGAAAATATATTTTTTATTTATGGCACGTTTAGAACAATAAATATGAAGTGTATCACTTTCAAACAACAGGTTGAGGAATTTGAGATAGATAAAAGCTTTTTTCTCTCTCTCTCTTTCAGGATGCACAGAAAGATATTTAAAAAAAAAAAACAAAAAAAAAAAAAAAAAAAAACAATTTGAGCACTCAAAAAATATTTTTAATCACTTTCAAAAAAAATTCATAATTAGGATATGTGCAGAAATGAAAATTATTTCTTTCTATTGTTCAAAGTTCTTAATTTATAAAGAAAAAATTAACAAAATGCAAAAACACTTTCAGACATTACATAATCATGATAAAATAACTAGTTCCTGATAAATATTGCAGATAAAATTGCGAAAATCATGCATTTTTTTTAAATTTATGACAATCAACAATTCAAAGAAAAATACTCCTTTTGAAAGATAGAAAATTAAGCACTTTTAACAAACCCCCAATAAAAAAAGCACCTTTAAGGGCTTAGGAAAAAAAAGTAAATCAAAAATAAGCATCTTTAAGCACTTTTTAAAAACATTACGCACCCTGTTTTTACATTAAGGGGGTGACAAAAATAAAAGTACAGTACAGACCATTAATCCGGGATCCAGAAAACCAGGAAACATTTAACTCAGTTTTTCCGCCATTTTTAACGATAATGATAGAGGAAAAAAGTGGAAATTTGACTTACCCTTGAAACTGAGTAGAAGAATATGTGTATGGGAGATATTTTTTTCCCCATTCGTAAAGAGAAAACTTCAATATTTCTTCCGTGACATTGAAGATCTTTAGGTCAAGAAGAGGAAGGGTAGAGATAAATGTTTTATTTTTTCCTATGTGTCTGATGGAATTTTAGATTTCCTAACAAGCTGCTATCAATCAAACATGAAGGAGTGGCATGCTGACTTTGTTTTCTCTTTGATTTAAAAGGGGGTGGGGGAAATGGATTGCACAGGCATATGAATGAATAAAAGGTGAAAGAGATATAAAAAGAAGAAAACAACCCTATCCTATACATTACTAAGAAAAAGTTTTAAAAAAAATGTTAAATGTAAATACAAAAAATAATTAAAATTATGTAAATTACGAAAATAATTAAAATTATGAAAATAATTAAAATACGGCTATTTTTTATTCAATAAAGTAGGAATATAGTTAAGCTGAATTAAATCCCTTAAATCAGAAGAATTTAGTGAATTATAACTCAAATTATAATAGGCTGTGTTAGCGAGAGAAAAAATACAAAAATTATTGCTCTTTGTCCAGACTAATACTAAAATTCATAATTTATAGAAATAAAATTATTAAATTTTTAGAATAGGTACAAATTAAACGATTCCAAATTGAGATACAAAACATTTGTTAAAGTCCAAATTTGAGTAGTTATTATTTTTTTTAATCCATTATTTAAAAAAGCGGATTAAATAAGAAAAAAAAATGGTAGCGTTTAATTAAAAATTAAACAAGTGTTGCCACTCCTCTCTTATAAGCGCAATATCTTAAAAAATAAAACTAAAATAAAATAATAAATAAGTATTAATCTTTATCTAAACTTGGATACTGTTAAACTTAGAATTTGGAATGAGAATTCAGAAATTGATCAGTGATATCATCTGAAAGTCAAATGTTCAGGGAAAATTCGTAATTCAGGATTTGTAAATTTTCAGGAAAAATGAGATTTGAAAAAAAAAAAAAAAATCAGTGAATTATCAGGGGTAAACACAGTTTTACCCAATCATTGTAATCATTATCATTGTCAGAGAATTTGACACACAATCAAATTGCTGGATTTCACTCTTATGAAAATGTTTTTCGTAACATCGTAATTTACACTTGCACGATAGGGGATTGAAAAAAATTAGATTTTTTTACAGAGGCAACCAGGATTAGGTGCATCTTCAAGATTCTAATATCTTTAATTGTTTCTGAGTAGATGTCTGAGTTAAGAAACTTCTGCCTCAGAAGTATTGGTATGCCAGATTTTTTTTATTTTATAAATCCACTTTTGTGACTCAGCCTTTGCTCAAAATTGGTGATGGAAGATAAATTTAGCTTTTAGCCAGTCGGAAAGCAAGTAAACCTATATTCTCAACCTGCAAACAATTTAAAATTTAATTTACCAGATTTGACCTGGAAAAAGCTAACTCAAAATTGCCTTTTGGACAAATAAAAATGCCTTAAGACTTTTTTCCCAATCGTAATTATTATTCCTACAAAAATACTTACTTATACTACAGTAGGGAACCGATTATCCGGAACAATCGGGACCATCGCTATTCCGGATACTGATTTTTCCGGTTTTCTGAAAATCTACAAAAAGCCGTTTTTTTATTTTATTGTTAAACCCAACTAAAAAAAAATGTTTGGAAATAATCTTAAAAAGAAGAAAAAACGATGAAGTAATACACTACTGATTATTTTCAAAATTATGGTAAGGTAAACATCTTTCAAACGAGAAAGAAAAATCCTAAAATCTTACGAGAAAAAAAAAAAAAAAATTTTTAAATGGCAGGAAAATTTATCGAATTTCGTTCCGGTTTTTTGGTTTTCTGATTTCGGATAACGGGTTCTGTACTGCACTTAGAAAATTTATAATCAGTCTACAGTGACATTTTGTCTGCATTAGAAAATTTTAATTTATATTGCAGTTACAAAAATCATATTTTCAAAATGTTGGATATGTATGCGCATGCAATATCTTTGACAAAGTAAAATGCAATTTGATTCTTCTTACCATTTAGCAAATTCTCTTTCCCAGTTTGTTAACAAAGATACAGGCATAATAATAAGGATATGCCTCACCAAATCAGCATCAATGAGGCCAGATAAAAAAGCAATTACTTGAAATGTTTTGCCCAACCTAAAAGAAGAAAATACTTTTTTTATTCAACAGCACAAAAAAAGAAAAAAAATACAGTGGAGGTTCTCTGTAATGAAATTGGTTAGTCTCAGTTGGAAAATTTGCAAAAGAGAACCAGAGTACTTGGCTTTATTTATTGTAATATCGTTCTTTTTTTTTTCATAATTTGTAATGTAATGAGATACTTTTAGGAAAAAATAGTGTAGTGAGAAGTAGGGGGGGTGAAGAAAACCACTCACTTGTTAGTAGATAAAAAAGGTGCAATTTTTTCCCAATCAGTTTGGAACAAATCTCACACAAAACTATCATTAGGGGCAATGAGAATGCCCTCGCTTTACTCGACTTTTTTTTCTTCTTCTTCTTTTTAGCTAACTTAAGCCTTAAACAAAGCAAAATGGATTAAGATTCTTATTGGAATAAAAATTTAATGTCAAGAAAGACATAAAAATTTGAAAATTAGAAAGAAGAAAAAATCATAGTAAAAAATTGGCTTAATTATAATTTTAAACCATTTTTTTTTTAAAAAAAAATTCTTTTAATATTTAACTTTTTGTTAAATTTGGTCATGAGACTTTTGGTTACTGAATCCCTCCAGAAAAATTAGTCTCCTAAAACCAGTTCAATGTAAAAGCAGCGATACTACAATTTGAAACTATAGCTCATAAAAAGGAAATGAACTAAATAGTGTGAGCAATTATGATGTCAGAAATAAAACAAATGAGAGCAGTTTTACATATATATATATATATATATATATATATATACAGTGGAAAAACCCATATCTGGAATCATGAAGACTTTGGCAAGTTCGGAAAATAGATTTTTCCAGATAATAGGTTTTTAAGTTAAACATCAAAACGTCCTTATTCAATAAAAAATAACAAATAGACATTAATTAACCCCATTTTCAATTGACAATGAATAAATCTAGGTGGTTTGTGGTGTTGCAGGAAATGTGGTGGCATTTTATATGGATATTTTAGTATGGATTATAAAATACTGCAAATTTCAAATCCTGCATTTAAGTTAGTAATAATTTTTCAACCCACTTGATTAACGACGATTCCACTCTGAAACCACTTGGTTTTGCCGATCGTTTATTCGCCGCCGGCATTTATTAAAACGGAATTTCACTTGGTTCAAAATCTCTCATACAATATTTTTTCAGGATTGCCACTCAAATCTAGAAAAAAAAAAATTCCCTATGTTTTCCCTGTACATATCATACACAATACATTAAGAGGATACACAAATACTGTGCTCTTGTGATAGCTAGATTTGGATAACTATACTAGTTTTAACTGCTGGAAAAAGTTAGAGAAAAAAAAAGGAACAGCTGAATATACTTAAATAATGCCATTGTAAATGAAATAGTTTATCATTCTTAAATATATCATAGATTGCTCTTTGAGAGGCCACCATTTTTAAAAAAAAAAAAAAAAAAAAAAAAAAAAAAAAAAAAAGAAACCAAATTTTTCGTAATTTCAAAGTTTGAAAAAAAAAAGTAAAAATACTTTGCATTCGCACTGTTATTTTAGGTGGTTATGCAGGTTTTTCCTGCTCTCTCTCTCTCTCTCTGTGGAGCGGCAACTCTTTTTCGGCAAAATTTGAATTGTGCATTTCACACTCCTTTACTGACGATTTACCAGCAATTCTAATTTAATTTACCATTGCATTTCTGCCAATTATTGCTGCTGATTTTCATAGTTTTTTAATGCTACATTAGTATACACAGGAAATTTTGAATCGTGTATTTGTAGAATTACTTTTTGATGCACTTGATTTGTGAGGATTCTATTGTCCACGTGGTTTTGTCGATCGCATTTTCAATACTTTGGGATTTCCACATAGTTTTAAAAATTTCAATTTAATTTTTAATATAATATTATTATGATCCTCAAACTCCTCTAATCACACTTCGTTTATTATTATCCTTTATTAGGATACTTTTATGGCAGACGTGGAGTAATAAAATACAGAGTTTCATTTTCGTGATATACAATCTTTTTCCACATAGTAATAAAAATCGGATTAAAATCAAATAGAAAGAAGAAGTCGGGGTTGAATCATAAATCAAAAAAGCAGAGGATTCTCAGCTGATAATCATAGAAAAACTGCATACTTTTCGTAAAAAATTTCAAGAGTAAAGAATTATTATTATTATTTATTTATTTTTTTTTTAAAAAAACAGAAGAGTTTTGTTTATTTTGATTGCTAAAAAATTTCCGAAAAAGAGATCTTTTGACAAATGAACGTTCGGACATGGGACTTTGCACTCAGGGTGCGTAGCCAAATTATTCAACAAAGAATAAGCACTCTAATAACATTTCTAAGCACTTTAAAAGAATATCATAATTAGGCAGGGTTGGAAAGTTTTTGACAATTGACGGTTTTATCTGGTTTTAACAGTCATGTCAAAAAAAAATTCTTTTGACATTGTTATTGACAATTGTAAAATTTTTGAATCATGTAAATCGAATGGCGTTCACATTAGTTACGGTCTGACGAAGCCGAAATAGATTGGGGTTGAATTAATTGTGAAAATGTTGAATAGAACAATGTGAACAGTGTCTTTCTGCATAATTCGTAGTGAAAATCAACATGGTACAAGAAAAATCTCAATTTAGAAAAGGGAAAATTCAGCACTTTTTAAAAACACTCAATGAAAAAAGCACCTTTAAGGGCTTTTAAAAAACGAAAATCGAAAATAAGCACCTTTAAGCACTTTATAAAAACGCTACGCACCCTGTGCACTGTATATCTGAATATATACAAAATAAAACTTATTGCGCTTACCCCATATCATCCCCTAACACACCACCTTTGCATTTTTTAAATAAGTCATACATCCATGACACCCCAAGACGTTGGTAAGGATATAACTTCTCATAAATTCCATGAAAAATATAAAATCCATCTGCAACAGCAACCATTTGGTCATCACCATCATCCGCTGAGTCTTTTAAAATATTCTATAATAGCAACGAAACAAAACATTTAATAGATAGTTTACTTATGTACAAATAAAAAAACAGATAAGAGAAGGAATCAATTAAACTATTTTATTTCATATTTTATAGTGTAGATACATAAAAACTTCCTTCTTAAAATGTTCTATTGTTTTAAATTACAACAAAAAGAAAAATTTAGAAGATAAGAAATTCAAGTTTTCAAAAAAGCCAATTAAAGACTGTCAAGGATGCAAAGTTTAAACTACCATTATTATGTAATGTAAGTAAATAATTTAATTGAAGGAGGAATTAGGTGCATTTTTTAAAAAAAAACATTTTATACTAAAAAAAATAATTGTATTTGATTAATGTCCTTGATGAAGGACGATTTATTTTAAATTAATATCCATACTTTTAATATGGGACACTCACCATATAGCATCCTCATGGAAGAGCGAACAAACTATTAGAAGAAGAAAAAAACAAAACAAAAAATGGTCACCATATTGGCAACTATCCATGGCGACAACAACAAATTTAGATTCATGCATGACATTTAACAGCATTGATAAAACTTAATTTTTTTTTTCTCTCAGATCATTAAAAATACAACTTTTGATATATGCATAAACAGTAGAGTCTTGATAATTCAAGGTAAAAAGGACAGAGCCTTTTTTCAAAAACTTAAAATTGTGTTCAACACACCATTTCGTTTCTCAACATTCAGGCACAGTGGTCAATGTAAAACCAAACTTAATAAGCGTTTCACATGCCATGTGTGTGCTGGTCATAATTTTTGTTCTTTTTCACCAGCTCGGATTAATGGGAAACTCGAACAATCGAGACTCAGACTGTCGTGACTCTATGGTATACATATATATATATATATAAAAGTCTTTTATATACATCCTGCAGTTGGCATATTTTCTAAGTTTACATCGAACCTTTTTCTACAACTAAACTCTATAAATCTACATCGATGGTGTTCCCACCTTAACGTGGTGTTGTGTGTGTTGTTGATCCCGAGAGTTATGCCGGCGGGAGCTTCGGCTCCTGGTAGGGTCACCCAAGCCGGACAGGTTGGAGGGGAGACACCACACAAAGAGGAACATCCTGGTCCTCCAGGTTGGGGTTAGGCGTGGGGCTAACAACCTCACCCTGTAAAAAAAAACAATTGTTACAAGTTCTCAGAAAGCTAATATACCCGGACAGACTTCTCGGAGACGAACTGGAAAAGGATTTAAGAAACTGAGAGTAGGATCATGGAACATTTGCTCTTTGTACAAGAATAAAGGACTACAAATGCTGATTGATCAAATTGAAAACTATCAAATCGATATACTGGCCATCCAAGAAGTCAGATGGACTAGAGTTGGAATAATTGAAAAGAAAAATCACACAGTTATCTATAGTTGCGATAAGAAAAAACATATTTGGAACAGGTTTTATCCTGAGTAAAAGGATAAGGCCATTATTAATAGATTATGACACCAAATAATCCAGACAATGCAAAATTAGGATTAAAGGAGCTTTTTTCAACTACAGTTTCATTACTTTTCATGCTCCAATTGAAGACAAGGACAGTGTTCTCTCTCTAGTGACTCTTTCATGAAGAACTGCATGCTCTATATGCATCCTGCCCAAAAAATTATGTCAAAGTGTTACTAGGGGACGCAAATGCAAAAATTGGCAAGGAAAAGGAATTTAGATCAATAATTGGCAAATTTAGTCTCCGTGACACTTCAAGCGACAATGGAAAGTGACTTATTGACTTTGCTGCAGATTATAATATGATCATACCAAGCACGATGTTCCAGCATAAGAAGATACATAAAATGACCTGGCGATCTCCTGATGGGATCACATTCAATCAAATCGACCATTTTCTGATTGATTTCAGGCATAAATCGGATATAGAGGACGTAAGAACCTACCGAGGTGCCAACTTAGATTCTAACCACTTCTTAATAGCAAAACTACGAGTTAGAATCTCCAGCAGTCGAAAGATTCGAGGAAAATGTTTGGAAAAGTTTGACTGTTAACAACTAAAAGATAAGGTAATTAAGCTCAAATTCCAGAATCAAATTGACAGTAACCTTAAAGAATGTAAGGGAGGAAGATAGCATGAACTGTAAATGGAACTCTTTGAAAGAAACAATCGTTAAGACTGGTAATGAAGTGGTGGGAAAAGCTAAGAAAACTAAAAGGAAAGATTGGTTTGATAGTGAATGCTACATGACAACAGAAAAAAAGAATGAAGCATGTAAGAAGATGCTGAATAAGAGACATTCTAGAAATGCTGCGATCAAATACAAAGAGGCAAGAAAGGAGAAGAGAATTCATAAAACAAATGGTGTATGACAGGGAGATGCCATGGCACGTCTCCTCTTTAATCTAGCATTAGAAAAAATAGTAAGGGACTCAAACATCAACACCCGAGGAAATATCTTCAACAAATCAGTTCAAATATTGGCTTTTGCTGATGATTTAGATATTATCGCTGGAAAGCAGACAGCACTAACACAATCCTTTTTAGGTCTGGAGAAGGAAGCCATTAAAATGGGATTAAGAATCATTGAAAATAAAACTAAATAAGTGTTTTTATGGTCTAAGAAAATATCAATCTTAAGTCAAGCCTAATAAAACGAAAAACAAAAGTGTTACTCTATAAATGTCTTATACAATCAGTGCTTACATACGCATGTGAGACCTGGACAATGACATGTGGAGATGAAAATATGATAGCTAGATTTGAGAGAAATACTGCGAAGCATTTTTGGTGGAATAAGTAAAAGCAGTACCTGGTTTAGAAGATCAAAGACGGAACTTTACAAAGCATATAAAAAACCTGATGTCATTAAATTTATCAAAATTCAAAGGATTAAATCGGCAGGCCACATTATAAGAATGGAGGATAGCAGGACAACCAAAAAAGTTTTCAGTGCCAGGCCAACAGGTACAAGAAAAAGAGGACGGCCTTGAAAAGGACCTATAAAATTTAAGGATTATAAACTGGAGAACCTTGGCTAAGGGAAGAATGTCTTGGCATAGGCTTGTTGAGAAAACCAAGGCCCATCCTGGGCTGTCGTGCTAATGAGAAGAGAAGAAGAAACTCTATAAATATGAAACTTCCATAAAGATAGTTGAACTTACTTCAATGTCTTTAATTCGCTTCAAAATTTTGTCAGTTTTACAAATTGATGAAGCTTCTTTTAGAGCACTTAAAGCCTCTTGAAGTCTTCCTTCACTGGCATCTGATCTCGCTTTTTTATTCAGATCATTGAATCTGCATAATGCAACAGGACTCAAAACATCAGATTCAGATGATGCTATTTGCACGCTGCTTTCACTAGTTCTGTCACTTTCCTAATAGATAATTTTTCATTGAAAAAGAAACTCAAAATAATGTTAAAATCGAATCAGACAAGATTAGGCTCAAAAACAAACTACAAAATGTAACACAATAAAAAGCACTGCATTTTTTAAAAAATACATTTTTAAAGAAAAAAAAATTGTTATCAGGGGTCTGTCTAGGTTTTTTTGAGAGGTACCTATTTTGTGAAAATCTTGACATAATTTGTGAAAATTAAAAGTTACATTAAAAAATCAGCACCAAAATATGGTAAAATAAGAAATTATCTTCAAAAATTGTCACTACGAATTAAAATCATTTATGACAGGTAAATTTCTATAAATTTTTCCTCACATATTACAAAATAATTTTGCTATTGTAGAATTCCAAGCTTAAAATTGTTTCCAAATTTAAAAATCCATTGTCTATAGTTAAATTTCAACTTGCATTAAATAGTACTAGAACTTATTTTCATTATGAGAACATTTTCAAGTAGGTCATTACAAAAAAAGTTTCACAAGGAAAAAAAAAATTTCATAAAAAAATAAAGGTCTGTTAGAATAAATTTACAATAATGTTAAAGATAATGTTTGAATTTTGACTTTCTGTATAGTTCATAAAGAGATAACCTCGTTGTTTCATTTAAAAAAATACTGGGATTTATAGTTTTTTTATGGGGATACAAAAACAAAATTTTAAGAGATGGAGAATTTTAGAACTTGCTTTTTTAAAAGTATTTTATTAAACTACCGTTTTTCCTAACGCTTAAAATTTGTGAAGGTACCGCTAAATGGTAGGAAATTTGCACTGGAAGACCCCTGGTTATATTTCACAAATTAAATGCTGATTAAATAAATACCTTGTTATTATTAATTAGTTATTAGCTTTTTATAAGAAAATCAAATTTAGTTTTAGTGTTTAAATTAATGATAAATATTTTAACGAGTGAGAATTTAGAAGAGAGGAAAAAGTAACATGAAAATTTTATACATGAAGTATAATTGTTGTAATTAATCAAAGATTTGAAACATTAATTTGTAATTTAAATAAAAATAAATAGAAGTTTTATTTTATTAGACCAAAGATTGAACTTAAACAATTAATAATGAATATAAAACAATTTTTCTAAGTACAAATTTATTTTTAAAAATTTGCATTATTTTTTTTATATCTTATAGATTAACAATATAAATTCTGCTTTTCTGCTAAAATCAATGCAATGAAAATTAATTGATACCATCTTCAAAAGCATGAACCAGTACATATTCATTCCTATTCTACAAAGAGTGTTTCAAGCATTTAGAGCATACAATACTACATGATAAAATAAAAAACATTCTATTTCTAAATTAACAATGCAAAATGAAGCAAACTTTACTTCTGATAATTTGAAAGCTGGTTTTTCATCAGGGGAGTTTTCCACCCTAACAGAATCAAATTCATTGGTAGAATCACTATTAATGAACAACTTCTTTGAAATAGAAGATCTTTCACTAGAATTGTTTTGATCCTATAAATAAATAAAAAAAATTCCAAGAGAACTTAAAAAGTATTTGTAAGCACAATGAATTAAAACAAATACATAGCCCCCAAAAAAGACGCAACAATTTTTAATTAGGTATTTTTATAGTCATCAAAATAGAAAAACTGCAATATTTTCTAGTTATGATTGACACTGAATGACCTTGAAATGTTATGTATATTCATAATTTTGAATATTAATAGGCATTTAATTCATCAAGGATAGTTAAAAGATTTTTTTAAATTAATTTAAAATGCAAGTTCGGAATAAAAAATAAACTGAACATCTTATAACAAAAAAAGTTTTGAGCTGATTTCTATAAATGAGCTTTGCTTCATTATATGTGTTAGTAATACTTAAATATTCAAGCAAGCAATAATCTGTACAAATATTCTACTTCAATACAGATTTTTTTATTGAACTCACTCAATTTTAGGGAATTTTTTGAGATTACAAAACCAAGAAGAATTTTAATTAAATTAGTAGATCAGGACAAACTGGTAAAATTCAGTAGAGTTAGTAGCTATGACCCTCTTTAATATAAATAATTTATGTATTAAATGACATAAATGTAACAATTTTTTAATAAAATTAATTTTAATTCAACTTGTCTTTATATTTATTTTAAACAAAACATTTCAAGAAAATAAAACAAGCAGAATAAAACAAAAAATACAAATGACATTACATCTAAAGTTTTAAGGATTTTTGAAATTTTAGGAGAGGGGCAAATTTCATAGGCTTCTTTTAATTTCTGAATTGACAGATTCTGCTTTCCATCCTGAGCTAATTTCTTCCCGGAATATGTAAGTTGGCGAAATTCTAGCAACTCTGAGTCATGCTTAGCAATCATAATCTGCAAAAAAATAACAATTATAAAGGAATACATAAAGTCAAAAATATTAACAGAGGTCAAAAGTTAAGTAACAAATATAGGTAAATCTTTCAATTCAAGTACTAGTTTCTAAAATTTCAGGTTCTAGTTTAGTAAATTTTCAGGTACTAGTTTCTTTTATACATAGGTAAATCTTTAAAAGAAACTAGTAACTGAAATTAAAGTTGCTTAGTTTAGTAAACATTGGACTGCTTGTCTGCATCAACTATTAAAATCATGTTTTTCATATTGGGGCTACCCTTGACAGTTTGAAGATCAAACTTTCAAACTCGTCAAAAATAGAAACATTTATTGAGAGAAAGTAAGAGATTATAAAATAATTAATCAAATTTAAAATCATCTTTTACAAACATTCAGATTGCATATAAATAGTGCAGGATTAAATTTTATAGAATGGAGGATTACACATGGAAGAAAAAAAAATCTTTGACTATTTCCTATTTTTTCCAGACTTATTTCATCGAATTTTTCCGATTCTTTTTAACTGAGAGCATCAATTTTATTTTATGCCTTATTCGTCTAAATAAAATATATTACCAACTGTTATACTTGCCATTAGAATTTAAAGTAAATTAGCTTAAAATAATAATTATTATAAGATTAGTTTTTTCGGACAAAACATCCCACTTTGTTGGCATATTAAAATTAAATTAATTGATATCACCTAACTTTTTGACTATTAATCAGCAGCGTAAATTAGCGGATTCAGTGATTATTATTCAGCGTAAATTAGCGGAAAAAATAGAAAAATATGAAAAAAAAGCGAAAATCCGCGAACCAGCGGAACAATCTCATCCCTGAATATAAGCAAATATATGCAAGCATATAATATAAACTATAGCTGGTCTGATGATGAATATAACTCGCCATAATAAATTGAAATGCGAATGTATAATATAAGCAAGTATATAATATAAACTATAGCGGGACTAACGATGAATATAACTTGTCATAATTAAATTTAAATGCAAGTGTATAATACATGCAAGTACATAAAATGAACTATAGCTGATTGCACAATTTGTCATAATGAAATGGAAATATAAATATATAATAAATGCAAGGATATAAGAAAACTATAGCTGAAATAATGATGAATATAACTTGTCATAATTATATTGAAATGCAAGTGTATAATATAAGCAAGTATAAAATATAAACGATAGCTGAACTAAAGATGAATATAACTTGACATAATTAATTTGAAATGCAAGTATATAATATAAGAACGTAGTATATGCAAGTATAAATTATAGGACTCATGATGAATATAACTATTCATAACTAAATTGAAATGCAAGAATAGAATATAAGCAAGAATATAATACAAACAATAAATGGACTCATGATGAATATAGTCATAATTAAATTTAAATGCAAGGGTATAATATATGCAAGTACATAAAATGAACTATAGCTGGACTCGAAATGACTAGAACTTGTCATAATTAAAATGAAAAGAAAGTATAAAATATTATCAAGCATATGAAAGTATATAATATAAACTGAAGCTTAACTCCTGCAGAGTATAACTCCTCATAATTAAATTGAAATGCCAGTGTATAAAATAAGCAAGGATATAATAAAAACTATAGCTGAACTAATAATGTACAAAACTTATCCTAACCAAATTGAAATGCAAATTAATAATATACACAAATATATGCAAGTATATAATATAAACTATATCTAATATATAAGCAAGTACATAATACAAACTATAACTGGACTCATGATGAATATAACTTGTCATAATTAAATTTAAATGCAAGGGTATAATATATGCAAGTACATAAAATGAACTATAGTTGGACTCGAAATGAATAAAACTCGCCATAATTAAATTGAAAAGAAAGTATAAAATATTATCAAGCATATAATACTATATAATATAAACTGAAGCTGGACTAACTGAAGAGCATAACTCCTCATAATTAAATTAAAAAGCCAGTGTATGAAATAAGCAAGGATATAATATAAACTATAGCTGAACTCATAATATATAAAACTTGTCATAACCAAATTGAAATGCAAATTAATAATATATGCAAGTATATAATATAAACTATATCTGGACACACGAAGAATATAACTTGACATGATAAATTGAAACGCAAGTGTATAATATAAGCAAGTATATAATACAAACAATAACTGGACTCATGATGAATATAACTTGTCAAAGTTAAATTGAAATACAAGTGTATAATATAAGTAAGCATATGGCAAGTATATAATGTAAACTATAGCAGGACTCATGAAGAATATAACTTGTCATAATTAAATTGAAATGCAAGTGTATAATATAAGAAAGTATATGCAAGTATATAATATAAACTAGAGCTGGACTCATGATTAATATTACTTGTCATTATTAAATTGAAGTGCAAGTGTATAATATATGCAAGTATATAATATAAACTATAGCTGGACTCATGAAGAATATAACTTGTCATAATTAAATTGAAATGCAAGTGTATAATATAAGAAAGTATATGCAAGTATATAATATAAACTAGAGCTGGACTCATGATTAATATTACTTGTCATTATTAAATTGAAGTGCAAGTGTATAATATATGCAAGTATATAATATAAACTATAGCTGGACTAATGATTAAATTGAAATGCAGGTGTATAATAAAAGCAAGTATATAATATAATTTATAGCTGGACTCACAATGAATATAACTTGCCATAATAAATTGAAATGCAAGTGTATAATATAAGCAAGTACATGCAAGTATATAATAAAAACTATAGCTCGACTGACGATGAATATAACTCGACATAATAAATTGAAATGCAAATGTATAATATAAGCAAGTATATAATATAAACTATAGTGGGACTAATGATGAATATAACTTGTCATAATTAAATTTAAATGCAAGTGTATAATATATGCAAGTACATAAAATGAACTATTGCTAGACTCGAGATGAATATAACTCGTCATAATCAAATTGAAAAGAAAGTATAAAATATTATCAAGCATATGAAAGTATATAATATAAACTGTAGCTGGACTCCTGACGAGTATAACTCGTCATCATTAAATTGAAATGCAAGTATAAAATATTATCAAGTATATGAAAGTATATAATATAAACTGTAGCTGGACTCTTGAAGAGTATAACTCCTCATAATTAAATTGAAATGCAAGTGAATAAAATAAGCAAGGATATAATATAAACTAAAGCTGAACTAATAATGTATAAAACTTGTCATAACCAAATTGACATGCAAATTAATAATATAAGCAAATATATGCAAGTATATAATATAAACTATATCTGGACACACGATGAATATAACTCGCCATGATAAATTGAAACGAAAGTGTATAATATAAGCAAGTATATAATATAAACTATAGCTGGACACACGATGAATATAACTTGTCATAACCAAATTGAAATGCAAATGTATAATATAAGCAAGTATATAATACGAACAATAACTGCACTCATGATGAATATAACTTGTCATAATTAAATTTAAATGCAAGTGTATAATATACGTAAGCATATGCAAGTATGTAATATAAACTATAGCTGGACTCATGAAGAATATAATTTGTCATAATTAAATTGAAATGAAAATGTATAATATAAGCAAATATAATATAAACTCTAATTAATGATGAATATAACTTGTCATAATTAAATTTAAATGCAAGTGTATTATATATGCAAGTACATAAAACGAACTATAGCTGATTGCACAATTTGTCATAATTAAATGGAAATGCAAGTATATAAAAAATGCAAGAATATAATAAACTATAGCTGAACTAATTATGAATATAACTTGTCATAATTAAATAGAAATGCAAGTGTATAATATAAGCAAATATATGCAAGTATATAATATAAACTATAGCTGGACTGACGATGAATATAACTCGCCATAATAAATTGAAATGCAAATGTATAATATAAGCAAGTATATAATATAAACTACAGCGGGACTAATAATATATAAAACTTGTCATAACCAAATTGAAATGCAAATTAATAATATAAGCAAATATATGCAAGTATATAATATAAACTATATCTGGACACACGATAAATATAACTCGCCATGATAAATTGAAACGCAAGTGTATAATATAAGCAAGTATATAATACAAACAATAACTGGACTCATGATGAATATAACTTGTCAAAGTTAAATTGAAATACAAGTGTATAATATAAGTAAGCATATGGCAAGTATATAATGTAAACTATAGCAGGACTCATGAAGAATATAACTTGTCATAATTAAATTGAAATGCAAGTGTATAATATAAGAAAGTATATGCAAGTATATAATATAAACTAGAGCTGGACTCATGATTAATATTACTTGTCATTATTAAATTGAAGTGCAAGTGTATAATATATGCAAGTATATAATATAAACTATAGCTGGACTAATGATTAAATTGAAATGCAGGTGTATAATAAAAGCAAGTATATAATATAATTTATAGCTGGACTCACAATGAATATAACTTGCCATAATAAATTGAAATGCAAGTGTATAATATAAGCAAGTACATGCAAGTATATAATAAAAACTATAGCTCGACTGACGATGAATATAACTCGACATAATAAATTGAAATGCAAATGTATAATATAAGCAAGTATATAATATAAACTATAGTGGGACTAATGATGAATATAACTTGTCATAATTAAATTTAAATGCAAGTGTATAATATATGCAAGTACATAAAATGAATTATAGCTGGACTTGAGATGAATATAACTCGTCATAACTAAATTGAAATGAAAGTATAAAATATATGCAAGCATAAGAAAATATATAATAGAACTTGTAGCTGGACTCCTGAAGAGTATAACTCCTCAAAATTAAATTGAAATGCAAGTGTAAAATATAAACAAGGATATAATATAAACTACAGCAGATTGCACAATTCGTCATAATTAAATTGAAATATAAGTATATAATAAATGCAAGAATATATTAAACTATAGCTGAACTAATGATGAGTATAACTTGTCATAATTAAATTGAAATGCAAGTATATAATATAAGCAAGTAGTATATGCAAGTATAAACTACAGGTGGACTCATGATGAATATAACTAGTCATAACTAAATTGAAATGCAAGAATATAACATACGCAAGTTTATAATACAAACAATAACTGAACTCATCATGAATATAACTTGTCATAATTAAATTGAAATGCAAGTGTATAATATAAGCAAGTATATGCAAGTATAAAATATAAACTATAGCTGAACTAAAGATGAATACAACTTGTCATAATTATATTAAAATGCAAGTGTATAATGTAAGCAAGTATATGCAAGTATAAACTATAAACTATAGCTGAACTAAAGATGAACATAACTTGAATTAATTAAATTGAAATGCAAGTATATAATATAAGCAAGTAGTATATGCAAGTATAAACTATAGGACTCATGATGAATATAACTATTCATAACTAAATTGAAATGCAAGAATAGAATATAGGCAAGTATATAATACAAACTATAACTGGACTCATGATGAATATAACTTGTCATAATTAAATTTAAATGCAAGGGTATAATATATGCAAGTACATAAAATGAACTAGCTGGACTAGAAATGAATAGAACTCATCATAATTAAATTGAAAAGAAACTATAAAATATTATCAAGCATATGAAAGTATATAATATAAACTGTAGCTGGACTCCTGAAGAGTATAACTCCTCATAATTAAATTGAAATGCAAGTGCATAAAATAAGCAAGGATATAATATAAAGTATAGCTGAACTAATAATGTATAAAACTTGTCATAACCAAATTGAAATGCAAATTAATAATATAAGCAAATATATGCAAGTATATAACATAAACTATATCTGGACACAGGAACAATATAACTCGCCATGAAAAATTGAAACGCAAGTGTATAATATAAGCAAGTATATAATATAAACTATAGCTGGACTCACAATGAATATAACTTCCCATAATAAATTGAAATGCAAATGTATAATATAAGCAAAGATATGCAAGTATAGAATATAAACTATAGCTGAACTCGAGATGAATATAACTAGTCATAACTAAATTGAAATGAAAGTATAAAATATTTTCAAGCATATGAAAATATATAATATAAACTGTAGCTGGACTCCTGAAGAGTAAAACTCCTCATAATTAAATTGAAATGCCACTGTAAAATATAAAGAGCTGATTGCACAATTTGTCATAATTAAATTGAAATATAAGTATATAATAAATGCAAGGATATATTAAACAATAACTGAACTCATGATGAATATAACTTGTCATAATTAAATTGAAATGTAAGTGCATAATCAGGGGTCTGTCCAGGCCGAATTTACTACCGTTTAGCGGTACCTTCACAAATTCAACTTTAGGAAAAACGGTAGTTTCACAAAATACTTTTTCTTAAAATTTCATTTTTGTATCCCTTAAGAAACGATAAATCCATATTTTTGTGTTGATTTTTTAATATAATTTTTAATTTTTCACAAATCACGTCTAAATTTTCACAAAATAGGTACCTGTCAGAAAAACCTAGACAGACCCCTGATAATATAAGTAAGAATATGCAAGTATAAAATATAAACTATAGCTGGACTCATGATTAATATTACTTGTCATTATTAAATTGAAGTGCAAGTGTATAATATATGCTAGTATATAATATAAACTATAGCTGGACTAATGATTAAATTGAAATGCAAGTGTGTAATAAATGCAAGGATATAAGAAATCTATAGCTGAACTAATGATGAATATAACTTGTCATAATTAAATTGAAATGCAAGAATATAATATAAGCAAGTATAGAATAAAAACAATAACTGTACTCATGATGCATATAACTTGTCATAATTAAATTGAAATGCAAGTGTATAATATAAGTATGAATATGCAAGCATAAAATATAAACTATAGCTGGACTCATGAAGAATATAACTTGTCATAATTAAATTGTATAATATATGCAAGTTCATAAAATGAACTATAGCTGGACTCGAGATTAATATAACTCGTCATAATTAAACTGAAATGCAAGTGTAAAATATAAACAAGGATATAATATAAACTATAGCTGATTGCACAATTTGTCATAATTAAACTGAAATATAAGTGTATAATATAAGCAAGTATATGCAAGTATAAAATATAAACTATAGCTGAACTAAAGATGAATATAACTTGCCACAATTAAATTGAAAAGCAAGTATATAATATAAGCAAGTAGTATATGCAAGTATAAACTACAGGTGGACTCATGATGAATATAAGTTGTCATAACGAAATTGAAATGCAAGTGTATAATATAAGCAAATGTATAATATAAGCAAGTATATAATATAAACTATAGCTGGACTCATGAAGAATATAACAAGTCATAATTAATTTGAAATGCAAGTGCATAATATAAGCAAGTACATGCAAGTATATAATAAAAACTATAGCTGGAATAAAGATTAATGTAACTCGTTATAATTAAAGTGAAATGCAAGTGTATAATATAAGCAAGTATAATGTATATACTATAGCTGAACTAAAGATTAATATAATTTGTCATAATTAAATTGAAATGCAAGTGCATAATATATGCAAGTATATAATATAAACTATAGCTGGACTAATGATTAAATTGAAATGCAAGTGTATAATAAATGCAAGGATATAAGAAAACTATAGCTGAACTAATGATGAATATAACTTGTCATAACCCAATTGAAATGCAAATGTATAATATAAGCAAAGATATGCAAGTAAATAATATAAATTATAGCGCGACTAATGATGAATACAATTTGTCATAACTAAATTTAAATGCAAGTGTATAATATGTGCAAGTACATAAAATGAACTATAGCTGGACTAGAGATAAATATAACTCGTCATAACTAAATTGAAATGAAAGTATAAAATATTATCAAGCATATGAAAGTATATAATATAAACTGTAGCTGCACTCTTGAAGAGTATAACACCTCATAATTAAATTGAAATGCAAGTGTAAAATATAAAGGTTAAAAGGCTTTTTTGCATTGTTTTTGTTTAGACATAATAAATAAAAAATTTACAAGATTAATTGAAAGAGCAAATAAATAATTCCCCCGCAAAGCCACCTCTATTTTTTTTGTTAGTTTTCACGCTTGAGTACAAGAAGCAGCGACGTCTGAATTACGAAAATACAAGCTATCCCGTCGACGGATAAAAAATACAGAAAATCTTATTTTCTTTGCGTGAAATTAGAGAAAATAGCTAATATAAGTAAAAATGCGGAAGGGTTAGCAAGTAGGACGTAGTTTGAATTTTCTGTTTATCTTGAAAATCGTAAATTAATAGAATTATTTTACTTTAACAACTGAATTTTTTAAAAAAAAAGCGGGATATTTATTTTTTAAAAAAAAATTAACTTTTAGATAAGCGGAATTTTTGATAAAAGGGCCGAAATTTGAGAGAGAAAAAAATCTCATCCCTGTTTAAAGGTCAACCAGTTTTATCCCACCGCAAAATTAAATTCCTCATGAAATGTTTGAACTTGTGCAAAAAAAATTTCTGCGTAAATTAGAGGGAAAAATGGAAAAATCTGGAAAGAAAACCGAAATCCGCGGAAGAATCTCATTCCTGGAACAACAATCGATACAGCATAGAAAATATCTCTTTCTAAAAGATAGAAACTTAAATACTTTTTACAAACCCCGAATAAAAAAAAGCACCTTTAAGAGCTTTTAAAAAGCGTAAATAAAAAATAAGCACCTTTAAGCACTTTTTAAATATGGTACGCACCCTGTTCTTAATGAAGTTTTGTTATCCAGCTAATGATAAATTCCCCCAGATAAAAAGTTTGAAGTTACTTTGGTATGTGAAAAAAAGCAAACTCATTTCTGAAAAGTACACATTAAAGGAAAAGAGTTTTTTTCCGTCAACCAAGCCTAGTCAACTTGTTTTTTTTTAACTAACTTGAAACAGAAATTTGAATGTTAATTTTTCTTAACTGTTGACAACCATTGACAATCTCAAAACCTTAATTAAACATCACCATAAGAACTGCCAACATGTAAGTCTGGAATTCTCGTGATTGTTATACAGTTATTTCACTTCCTGTATTATATAGTAAGGTGTGGTCAAATATTTTACTCTAAAGGAGCATTCTTTTTTATTCATCGGTTATCGCAAAATTATTCATCGGATATCGCAAAATATACAACTGAAAATGAATTACCTTAATATCTTTTATATATTTTTTCACAAGTGGGCAATTGCACAATTTTAATGATTTCTGGAAGGTATTGAGAGCATCCTGAAAGCGACCTTCATATGAAAAGCTCATGGCTGTCTTCTTAAGTTTATTAAACTCATTCAAGTTGGATGGGCTTAACTCACTTGGATTATCAGGCAGTTCAATTACCTGGAAAACAAGAAACGCCACAAATAAATTCAAAATGTTAACAAAACTAATAGATTACATTAATTATCAGAGTAGTGATAAGCTCCAAGATAATTGACCTTAAAAGTGATTACATTTCAAGCAAAGTTAGCTTCACAAAATGAATTCCATACAAAAAAAAAAATTATCTTTTGTTATTTTTTTTATTTGTTTTTCTATTTGTCTATCATTTTCTCTTTACAGGGCTCTCAATTCTTTAATAATAGGAATTATAGATTTTAAAAATCTGTATCAAGCTAAAAAAAAAAGCACGAAAATAGATATTTTTTTAAAAATAAATAAATTTATGTGAAAAACTAAATTTCAGTTGTTAAAATTTAAGCCTTTCTTATTATACCTATAGCCTAATAATTAAATTGGTCATTTATAATTTATTCCAGTTTCTCTATTTTCTTCCGGTTTTCCAGAGTACATATCCAGACAGATATAGGTTTTTTCCGGACAAAACAGGTTTATTTCAGGCACTCTTGTGGTTTAACTCTTTAGCAGTTACATATATTCCAGAAAAATGGACCAAAAATAAAAATTTTTGACTGTTTAATCTTATTTTGTTTTTGACTGCTTATTTTTGAATAATCATAAAAGTTAAAAAATGGTTTTTTTATTACAAAAATGAAATTTTAAATGCAATAACTACTGTATTTATAAGTTCTACATACATATAAAAAAGTAATGGATTACACACACATCTTAATCAATTTGAGCAAATTAAACAAAATTTTGAAGCTAAATATAATATAAGTAGTATAATATAAAAACGCAACAATATGATTTTCAAAACATAAATTTCACAAATCCTTTAAAGTAGGAGTGCACAACCTTTTTGAGAGAAGGGTCACTTGTACAGCAGGTTGGATAACGAAGGGCCACACATGTATTTAGACACGTTAATGACAAATGTAATAATGTTTATTTAAACATTAGCATTCCATTTTTTTTATCAATAAACTTAGTAATATCAATAACTTAGTAGTGTTCCATTATTAGAATTCATTCAAAAATAAAAGAACTTGCTATTTTTATCATATGAACAATAGATTTATCAAAATAAATAAACATTGAAGAAAAGAAATATTTTTTTTTATCATATCATGCAATATGAAAACTCATTTTAGAATTAAATTCTAATAAATTTAAAAAAACTGCAATGCCCACAGAATGAAAGTAGGAAAAAGTTTAGTCGTAATTAAGTAATATAAATTCAAATTAAATATTTTAATTGAAGAAAATTTATAGGTTTTAAACAAAAGCCTAAAATAAAAACAAAACTGTGATAGTTCAAAATAAAATTCAATGCTTATTTTGTAATGTACTTTATTATTTTATTTTATTAATTATTAGATTTTTTATATCGTAAACATTTTCCTTTTTTTTATCGAAAAAGATCACTTAAGCAACAAAAAATTGAAATCTAAACTACAAACAGTGAGCAGTTTAAAAATTCACGTTTTCCGCCATTTTATGAATTTCTCAAGTTGCAATAACATTGCATTTAAATTAGGGAGGGATGTAACGAGTATTTGGCCCTTCTGTGAAAAATTCAGTTGGTTGAATGATCAGTCAAATATTTGGCAAAATATTTTTTAGAAATGCATTTTTCTAAGTTTTTTTTATTTTTGAATTTTTATGGATATTACTTTTTTTTTTAAAATATAATCAGACAAGTCAATTTTGTCATTTTTTCGATACTTTGAGAATTGAGAAGGATCCATTTTTTGCAGTTTTTATTATAACCCAGCATTTTAACAGAACGTCTCATACTATTAATTTATTATCACTCTTTCCCTGTACTGTAATATAAATAACCAGTAACATAGAAAAGTGTGATTTTCAGCATTAAAGTTTTGTTTCAGGAATTAAGAAAAATTTGTTTTTTTTCTGTTTTTCTCTTTTTAGGCATTTTTATTATGACTCAGCATTTTTTTTAAAAATAAAGTTACAAATAAAATTTAATTTCTTCTAAACAATTTTTTTTCTTCTAAAATTATTTCAATGAGAAAAATTTAAATTGAGATTTTTGGCATAAGATTTTCACTTAAAAAATTAAGAACATTTTTTCTATCTTTTTATTTTCCTTAAATAAAAAAAAACAACTTTTTTTAGACGTTTTCATTATAATGCAGTAATTTTTAATAGCTTCTTTTTTCTTGGCTTTTTCTGGTAATTGAAAAACTGAGATGTTAAGCTTTAAAAGAATTTTTCAAAAATCAATGTGAGACACTACTTTTTTGGTTCGTTTTAATGAAATCCTCAATAAGGATGACAAAGGATTATTTCAGGTATAAGCATTTATTTCGGCATCTCTGGATTAATTATGAGTAAAAAATAAAGTATGAGTACATACATAATCTACATGGCATTCAAAGTCCGGAGCTCTCCTGCTCCCTTCCAGTTCATACCTTCGCTCTCCTACTTCAGCTAATACTCAACTCTTCTACGTTCAAACTAATACTGATCTAAAAATATTCTTTCTCATAAGAAAAAGTCCTTCGCTCTACCCCCAATGTAGGGGAACGACACTTCCCATGTCCCTTACCCTCAGGTCAGGGGTCAATCAAATGCGTGGGAGAGGAATCAGGATCCTGACAATTAAGATTGATTTTTATGTTCTCTGCTTCGCTTTTTGACATTTTCAAAAACGTTCTTGATTGGCCTTATTTTTTAGAGTTAATTTATGAATACGTTTTTCCAGGAAATATTGTTCTGAGCATTGAAATTTTAGTTTCATTGTTGCTATACTGCTAAAAGATTTTGCTATTTGGCCTCAAGTGTACGGCGTTCAATAGATTTCTTCTTCTTTTTTTGGCGAATATTTGTTTTTTGATCAAATCACAATTCATTACCACATTCAACCAAATCATATTCGTTGCGGAAATAAAAACGAAGAAAAAATAACTAGGATTTACGATAAAACTGTACCGTAATACCGTATCAAAAAGTGATTATTTAATTGCGCGATTAACAATCACGTGTCGTAATAACATCAGAGTTAAATAACGGGATCGTCAAAATCACGAGGAAAAGTATAGAAATAATTAGGAAAAAATATAATTATGCTGAACTCAGCACGAATAAAGCACGTCAAATGCATGATTTAAAATTTGCATGTCGTAACAGAATAATTGGAATTTTTTATAATACGTGGGAACACATAGGAATAACTTCCGAGAAAAATTTTTGAAAAAAAAAGAAAGAATTGGAAAAAAAAGATAAAAAATCACTTAGATTTAAGCTGAAATCGTCATAAATAAAGTGCACAAAAAGTGATTATTTAAATTTGCGATCTGATAAAAATTCTCGCGTCATAATAAAAATTCGGAATTTTCAAAATCACGTAGAAAAGAGGAAATAACTGTTTTAAAAAAAATCATTTATATTTACGATAAATTCGGCTTCAAGAAAAAGCGTTAAACATACATTTACTTAAGAATCTGTTAAAATTGATTGCGTCAAAACGTGATGACTTAAAAGTGCGATTAAAAATTACCATTTTTTAAATTTTTTTTTATTGTGTTTAGAAGCTCTCGCGGGCCGCAGGTTGTGCACCCCTACTTTAAAGTATGATAAGCAGATGACAACACCCACATTTTCCCTCCCTGGACTAAAGTCCTAATTAGTGAAAAACTAGGATCACTAATGCCATCTCAGGGGTCTGTCCAGACATTTTGTGAAAGGTCCGTTTTTCGTGAAATTGTGAAAAAATTAACTCACATTCTTTCAACCAGGGTCCGCTTTTATGAATTTGTGCAAATAGGGTCCATTCCAAAAACAAAAGTAAAATNGTTCTGAACAATACTGGTAAATAGGGAAGCTATGTAACAGGGATCCATGTTGAAAATAATGAAAGATCAAGGAAGAAAAGTTAAACGGATTTTATTCAAAATGGCAGAAGACGAATTTTTTTCCAAAATTCGCGCATTTTGAAATTGATTAATAGAGTGTGCGATCTTCTCGCGTTGATAATTTTTTAATGCGAGAAAAGAAAAAAATAAGCGAGATTCTCGCGCTGTAGTGAAAACACTGATTTAATAAAGAATCTGTTAAAATTGATTGTGTCAAAACGTGATGACTTAAAAGTGCGATTAAAAATTACCATTTCTTAAAAAAAAAAAAAAATTTCTTGTGTTTAGAAGCTCTTGCTGCCCACAGGTTGTGCACCCCTACTTTAAAGTATGATAAGCAGATGACAACACCCACATTTTTCCTCCCTGGACTAAAGTCCTAATTAGTGAAAAACTAGGACCATCTATTAGGAAAATAAAGAATTAAATGAATTATCCTAAAGTAGAAAAGAACACAGCTCGGGCTTCACAAAATAAAAACTTTAATTTTTCTCATGCCCGAAGTCAGTTTGGGCATCACAAGTACTGCACATAGTAGTTGCCTGAACTGGATTCGGGTGACACTGGCAAGGGGTAAATGATTTGATTTTGTAACTTTTTAGAGTAAAGTAGCCTTTTGGTTACGTAAAAAAAATAAAATTTCGATTTACAATAATAAACAAATAATAAAATAACAAAAACAAGTGGAAAGATAATCTGAAAAAAATATATATATTATACCTCAGTAACATTTTGAATTTCTTGTAGGACATCATGGTTTTTATGTTGTTCTGATATAGTTTTTGCCTGCAATGGAGAATCATTTGTTTTTTCTACTTTTTGGGTTTCGTGTAGCACATCATGATTTTTAAGTTGTTTAGATGGAGTTTTTTGTTTCTCTAAGGAATCCTTTGTTTTTCCTCCCTTTTGCACACGGGACTCTTCGTTTTTATTCTTATGTTGCTGTATAAATTCCTGCAAAAAGAAAATATATTTAAAATAATTTTTAAAAGACAGCAACAATAAGGTTTAACTTAAGGGATGAAAAAAATTATCATATGTGGTTGAAAATCTATTGTGGGATATTTTACAAAAGTAAAAATAATAAGGAAATGCGAAAATTTCCTACCTTTAAACGCTGGATTCTCTGAAGGACTTTTGGTGTCTCTTGAATCTTTCTGGCATGCTCAAATTTGCTGAGGGATTCATACAGTTTACCTTCTGCAGCAAGCTTTTTACCCTCACTCATTAGATCACCATACAATGATGAAGACATAGTTCTAACAAATAACTAACACCTTCCAGCTGAATAAAGATATTAGAGAAAATTTAGTATTTGTATGAAATAAAACAATTGAACTAAAATCATTTATTTTTAATAGATTTCTTAAAAATTGTAAATAATTAGTTTACACTGTAAATAATCAGTATAGATAATTAAAGGTTATAGTAAAACCCAGAAAAACTTGACTCTAGAAGCAAGATCAATTGAAATATGCAATCAAAACTAGGACAGGGGAATTTCCCTGAATAAGAAGACATTGATATAAGGCAAAACCTTCATCTAAAAATGTCATATTTGCAGATTTATATGACATTATATTATATATATATCATATGAATAATCTTGGGGAATCATCTATGCATAAAAATCAAATATTTACTTTTTGAATTAATCATTACAAATGACAAATACTTATGATTATAACATAAAATATTATAACATAAATATTATTAAAACTTCCCAAACCTCAGGTCGTGAAAAAGGATAAAGAATTGCAAAATCTTGAACTTCGAATAAAAATTATGAAATCAAAACATATATATCTTTTGCTAAAATAAAATTGAATCAAACAAATTTCTTCATATTTTTAGAACGAAATTAAAAATTCTACCTTCTAAAAGTGGGTTTTTTTATGGGTTTGATTTTTAACTGATTTCATCATTAACCCAACTATTATTGTTACAGATTTCTATATGGTAAAGCCCCATTATATTAAATGGGATATTTTCATAAAAAATGAATTTCGAGTCCAGAGAAAGGATAACATTTTGCTAATTCTTTAACTAATTAAATTTTACTAATACTTTAACAAAGTAAACAAAATTTTCATTTGAATTAATGCTTGTAAATTTGCATTTATAATTTTTAGTATTGAAAAAAATGCTATTTTAGATCATTCAGGGTTACAATTTTGCCCAACCGTTAAAACCAACCTGGTTTTCTTTTATAATTGCATTTTATTTTTAACAAGTCAGCTCTAGGTATTAGTTTCAGGTACTAATCAAGGGACAAAAATGCTAATTCAAGCATGGGTTTCAGCAGTTCATGAAATTATTCTTTTCTAAATAGAGAGAGAGATGAATTCCTTTAGATATAATGAAAAAAATATATCACATTAAAGAGTAAAATAGCAAAAAATGAATTTACATCCGAAGTAGTATAAATATTACCTACCAGATTTATATTATAGTTACCACGTTACACATGGACACATTAATGTTAAATGAAAATCGAAGTACGAAATATCTTCATACTTAAATTACTTATTAAATATAATATCTATTCTTACATCAAAGGCAAGGTTCAAATAAGATGGTTCTTGTTTCCCCCCTCTTTGATGATTGGACCACTTGGATTGGACACTACGAAAAATTCATTTAGTTGTGAGTTTCTTATTCGCATTGAAACGCTAGAACACGTTTTTCGTTCGTTAAAGATATATGAAGTATATAGCATTAAACTAGATGCAAAAATTTAAACTCAAAAAGTTTAGAAGGATTGTAACGATCACGTTTAACGGTTATAAAATATTGCAGACAGTTTTTGTTGCCATTAAAATTTCTAATATTTAATTTCCAAATTCAATCGAAAATTCTACAACCAAAACAAAACAAAGGACGACATGAGCGATTCAGTCCGTACTGCTTTACTTACGTGATGAATTTATTCAAGAGACATAAATTCAGGTCTTAAATATGTCAATTGTAAGAATTTTTTTTATTTTAAAGAGCAACGTTCTTTATGTTTTATATTTAACAATTACAACCGTGTACAATATATGTGTTATGCCGTTACAAACATCTTGTTGTAGTTTTCGTTTCTTAGTAATTTTATAGTTCTCTTTTTGTATTACATCATTTGATCTAATGTAAAGCACAAATTTGACATATTGCTGTTAAAGAATACTAGAGAAAATTAAGATTCTTCATTTTTCTACCTCCAAAGGGAAGAATGTGCTAGGATAATTGTAGAAAAGGAATTTACACAGAGCATAATACGAAAAATAACTCTTTTTAAATATTTAAAGTATATTAATTTCATATTTTATTACACCTTATTTATGTGTATTAATCATATTTAAATATTTATTTCATTGCAAAAAAATTATTCATGTAGTGTTATTTTGATATTTAACTTAAGTTGAGAACATATTAGGAAAACATATCTGTTATTGAGCATTCTTAAAAGTCGTTTCCAAGTATTGAAAAACTTCTAGGACTTTTGTGTAATGTATTAAACCATCGATATTTAAAAACTAATTTAGCATTTATGAGATGAGAATGATTTATTTCATGAATCATAGTTAAAATTTGACATTCTTTTATTTTTTTGTATTTACAATGAATTGTGTGCAGTAGTTACGCCTATGAGTGTTTGCATAAGTGTAAAATGAATAATTTGTAAGGGGGAAAAAAACAAATAAAGTTGCTTATAAAAAAAAATTCTAATAGATTTGAATTGTAACATATTCCTGCCAATATGGAAAACAGTATATTTTATTCTCTAAATTATTCACATTGTGATGTTAATTTTTATTAAAGGCATATTTTGGCTAAATATTCTTAATTTTTAAAATTTATTGAAATATGTTATAAAATAGTTTTCTGATTAAAGGGCTAAGCAGCATTTTATTGTTGGGAGAAAATGTGGTGATTTCTACCAAAAACAAATTTACCATAATCATAAACCACGTCATTTTAAAATAAGTACTAAACTTTTTAAAAGGCTTGCAGGGAAGAACAAGGGGATAAAATTTAGTCAACATAATTTGTACACTAAAGTTTATATTTTAGTTTTGTAATAAAACAATATCTATATTGTTTTTTTTTACGAAACTAAAATGTAAACTTTAGTATACAAATTATGTTTTTTCATATTGTATATTTGTTGTCAAAAATTACATTATTCCAGCTAACTCAGTATAAGCTGATATCTTTTAAAACTCCTCTGCATGTATCTGCAGGGTATCTGCTACATTTTAGATTTTCAAATTCATGACTTTTCATGACTAATTCCAAGAACTTTTCATGACTTAACAAAGTTACTATTTTCTGTTGATAAAAACAGAACAATAAATTTGAAAAGAATTATAATAACTTTAATTGAAATGATAGGTATAACCAAAACTGCTATATTCTGTCTCTTCATATTTATAGATGCTAAATTTAAAATACAGAGTAAAGAAAGAGTTGAAGCAATAAAATAAGTGAAAAAAAATACAGAAGCAAATCTTTTTTTCTGCAGAATTATATTCTAAAGATACTTTTCTTGTTCACCAGAAAGGAAAGAAATATCCGGATTTTTCTGTTCTCATTTCGGAATTTAAAAAAATCGCAAATTACTGGCTTGCTTTAGTTAGAATTTTAAATTGATAAAATAAAAAATTCTGAAATCACAGAAGTTTACAAGATAATTTGTTCTAGAAATGATGTTCTTTCTTTCATTTTTTTGAAAAAACGCATAATTTTGAAAAAACATGATAAAAATATTGTATATATTAATAAAATAAGACTGTGAGTAAGATTTTGATAGAAATTCAGATAATCGGAACACCATGAAATTGGGGGGGGGGGATTCCATTTTAAAAATTAGATCAATTTGAGGACCTAAATCCATGATTTTTTTAAAAAAATAGTTAAAATCATGACATTTCATGACTAATTTTGTTCAATACTGAAATTCATGATTTTTCATGACTTTCCAGGTGCGCGGATACCCTGTATCTGGTACCCCTAGGATTTTTATACACAGAGATGAGATTTTTCTGCTTTTTTCACTTTTATCTCTTAAATTTCAGCTTTTTTATCAAAAATTCAGATTTTCTGAAAATTTCATTTTTTTTTATAAGTAGCTTCTTGCTTTTTCAGAAAATTCACCGATTTTCAAGGAGAAACAGAAAAATTCATACTACATAGCTACCAATCTTTTCTCATTTTTCCCTATTTTCTCCACTTTTACACGTAGCAGATAAGATTTTCCGAATTTTTTACCCGCTCTCCAGATAGATCCGATTTTCGTAGTTCAAACGACGCTGCTTCTGACAAGCCTTTTAGAGGTCCCAAGCCTGGAATCTGCTAATATCTCGATTCTTATTCACATGATTGTAATATCAAATATAGCTTTTCATATTTGCGTGTTGCGATTCTTAATCACGCGATTTGAATATTGTACGTTGCGATTCTTATTTACGAGATTTAAAAATCTGATATTGTGATTCGTATTTACGTCTTTTTAAAAAACTAAGTAGCGATTCGTATTCACGCAAGTTTAAAATTCAATGTGTTGATTTGCTCATGCGGTTTATAATATCAAACATTGATTTTTGTATTTATACGTGATTTTAAAATAAGGCATTGGGGTTCGCATTCACGCATTCTAAAAGTTATGCATCATAATTCTTATTTATACAATCTAAAAATTACACATCATGATTTCTCATTTTCAAAATCGTATATCTAGTTTCATATTCATGTGATTTCAAAATCCATAATTGTTATTCATATTCACGCAATTTTAAGATCAACTATCGCGATTCTTGTAAGAAGTAAATTTTTTTTTAANTTTGAAGTTTTATTTATCTGTTTCATTTTTTTTTGTTCTTTAATCTAGTTTTTATTAAACTTTTTTTTAAGAATATTTTTTTCATAACTACATATTTACAAAGGTGCTATTTATTTCTCTTTGTTAATTATTATTAGTTAACATTACCAATATGACATTCTTTTTTTATTTACAATTATTCAACTGTTAGTTTTTGTTTCTAATATTAAAAGTAAATTTTATAAAAGAAAGATAATATTAAAATAAGTCAACTGGTTGTGTAGTTGTAATACTAATAGCAACTTTGACATTATTTTTAACATTAATTTTTTGTACACGAATACATTTGTGCATGGACAAAATATAATTTGACTAGATACAATTTCTGAAATTTTGATGTATAATGTATTATACTGTTGTTTACTTTCTTGCTGTTAAAGATCTTGTTTTATTTTATTTAGGAACTTTATTACCCTTTTACTTTTTCAAGTGGTAACATTTCTTTTATGGTACATCTATTGTTCCAGCCATTAGCAAAACATTCATGGAATTAATTTCTAAAATCACTTATGTTTTTACCATGATTGTAATCTAGTTGATCTATATCATCGAATTTTGCATCATATTTGTTTAATAATTTTGAAGATTGATCGCGAAATTTTAAAGCTCATAGTTGAAGGTTATATTCTTATAGAGATATATTTAATCACATGATCATGAGTGCCACTCTTCAGTCCTGGGGACTGAAATTTTTCTTGAGTGAAGATCAGTAGATTAATTTTCTTAAATTAATATCTTTTTTCTATTAACTTTTATTATTAAAATTTCTGTTTTTTCTCAAAAATGTAACAAGTATTTTCATTATAGAGTTGCGCTTGCGTAAAATTTACTATCGTGGAAATTCAGCTTTTTTGCGTTTTGGCTAATCTCATCCCTGTATACAGAAAATTGAGGGGCTGTGTTATGACTAAAGTTGTTCTCCCTTGATTTTGAGATATATTGTTTTAATTCAATACCCTTCTCCCTTTTGAGAAAAAGTTCTTTTAGCAAAACTTATTAGATATATTTGATATAATTAAGCTTATTGTTATTTTGTATTTAGTGAATAATAAGAAACTTGTTGTTATTTAGGGGATATTTCCGTATCGTGATCTGTTGCGCCAACAGATCACGATACGGATCTGTTGCTCCAAAGTTCCTATTGGATTTTAAACTTGCTAATTAAAAAAAAAAACATGTAGATGTTTGCCTAGGGTGGCTACAAGTTATATCTTTCCAGTTGGTACCTTTCTGTGATTTTATATATATATATATTTATATATATAGATCCTAGCGGGACACTGCCCGGAAGTTGCCAAGATATACCGATTATTCTGCCATAGATCACGTTACGAAAATCTTCCTGTTATTTACTAAGAAAGAAAATTTTTTTTATTAAGGAAACTTGTTATTATTCTATTATTATTTTTTCTATTATGATTTTGTTTAAGTGTTATTAGCCTTTCACTTTGGGGCTTTCTTAGAAATTGTTCATAACATATTGTATGTTTATAAAAAGATAAATGTTACCTATCAGTAGCATTTTCTCATTGCCATAATAATTTGTGCAATGTGATACCAATGATCTATTAGCATTGTTAAAGGAATTTTAAAATCTCTTCCTTTTTTTAAATATTAATAATTTAACCTAATAATTTTTTGGATGGCAATGGGAAAAGAGGCACTGAAAACATAAGTTTTTATTATAACAGCTAAATTTTTTAGCACCTAAATTTGTTTTATTTTTAACAATTTTTTTATTGTTTCATTTGCATCCTGGTCTGTGCTTTCTCTATTAATGTAGAAGCAAGTTTTATTAAAAAAAAAATGGCTACTTTAAAACTATTGCAATTCAGGTTTAACATTTATATTTGTAACTTGTTTTATCAGAAACTAAATCTTCTTTTTTGTTTCAGCATTATAAATAATATCGATTTGTTGTATAGTTCCATTTGTGAAAATGAATCAAGAGTCATTGTTTTATTCTTCAAATGGCAGTATGCCTGTAAATAATACACAGTGAGTATGTTAAATATTAATTAAATAGACATTCATTTAAAAAACAATGACATTTCAAATTTTAAAAAAATGCTTATTCAGACCTCAGATACAAATTATTTTTTATGAAATAGCTTCCAGACTTAATTCTTTCCTCTATAAATCTGTCAACATTTTAGCAGATCAGTTGTATTCAACAATAATACAAACCTTCTGATTGAAAAATTAACTTAGGAGCAATATAATTTTTTATCATACCAACCATTAACTTCTTAATTCACATAACTGCATAACCAGCCAAAGTTGGTAAGGTTTAGGACAGAATGGATTAATCCACAGTTTAAACCATCCTGTCCAAAGCCCTTTTCTTCAAATTCTCCAAGACCCAGTGGATCAAATTATGTTACAATTTTAAAAAAATAATGTGAAAAATAAAAGGTTAATTTTTGGGCAAGAAACAAACTGAAGACAAGTTCATGATTTATTAAAAGAGTTTATTATTATTTCTAATACAGTACAGAACCCGTTATACGGAAATCAGAAAACCAAAAAACTGGAACGAAATTTGATAAATTTTCCTGCTATTTTTGCTATTTTTAAAAATAAAAAAAATAAATTTTCTCACAAGATTTTAGGATTTTTCTTTCTTTTTTGAAAGATGTTTACCTTACCATCATTTTAAAATAATCATTAGTTTATTTCTTCATCGTTTTTTCTTCTTTTTAAGATTATTTCCAAAAGATTTATTTTTTTTTAGTTGGGTTTAACAATAAAAAAACGTCTTTTTGTAGCGATTCAGAAAACCGGAAAAATCAGTTATCCGGAATAGCGATGGTCCCGATCGTTCCGGATAATCGGTTCCCTACTGTATTGTATTTATCCTTTTGGAAAAAAAAACATATTTTATCTGTATTTAAGGCATATTTAATAGATAAGGTATTCACTTTTGTTATTATGTGAATTGTGCAGCTTCAAAAGTTATTAATCTTTTCCAGCTATATTACATTAGATTATTATCCTTTAATTTAAAGTAAAGTGAAAGTATAAAATATTTATTAATACAGTAGAGAACCATTTATCCAGTAACCAGAAAACCGGGGGACATTTTGCACTGTTTTGCCGCCATTTTAAACTAGAACAATTATGAAAAAAGCGGGAATTGGACTCATCCTTGAAGCTGAGTAGAGAAAAATGTGGGAAGGGGAGAATTTTTTTCCCCATTTACCCAGAGAAACGTCATTTCTTCCGTGACCTTGAAGATATTTAGATCGAGAGGAGGCAGGGAAGGGATGAAAGTTTTATTTTCTCCTTTAGGCCGTCAATCAAACTCAAAGGAGTGGCATGCTGCATTTGCAGGAGTTCATTTCAGTGTGTAAAATGTTGAACTTTTTTGAAGATGTTTACTTTTGTTGAAGAGGAAAGGGAAGAATATATTTGTCTATTTGACATCGATTAACAAATCAATTAATAAAAATGAAATGTTTTTCTTTTGAATAAATTCTGATTCTTTGGAAGTGCGGTATTATTTGAAAGTTTTTCTTAATGTGGAATCACATCTACTTTCATTAAAAATTGTGTTTTTATGGAAGAAAATAAAAGGAGGATTGTTTATTAATTTAAAAGTACGATTATTTTATGAAGCGGATGGCAGTTTTGTTTTTCTGATTCTACTATGTTAATTTTTTTTTTCTTCTTTTCACGCTAAATTTCGCACTCAATAAATTAATTCTTTTTATTCATAAATTTTATCATTAGGTTTTTTTTCTTTTTTTAATTCCATTGATCTTTCCTTGTTCCGGGATTTAATATTTATGTTAGTGTCTTTTTTAACTATTGTTTCTGTTCAATGATTTTTGTTGTTTTTATTTAGATTAAAAAGTTTTCCTTTTATTTTATCGTTTTTCCCCCTGGATAATTAGGTATAAAATATATTCATTATTTAATCATTGGTTTTGTTTATATTAGTTAATTTAGGAATTATAATTATTTTTAAAAATAAATATGAGAATCTTATATTTTTTGAACTTGTTTTTCTTGTCTAAACTTGCAAATTTTTTTAAATCTTATTTTACTACTATTTGTTTTTTAAATTTTAGAGTGCTTTTCTTTTTTCTCTTACTTTAAAATGTGTTGCACTTTTTCCTTGTAATTCGGGTTCGATAAAACATCGATTAACGACACTTTTTGATCGATCCAGAAAACCGGGTAATTCAGGCAACCAGGTTAGCGATGGTCCCGAGCATCCTGGATAATTGGTTCTCTACTGTATATGTAATTATTATGTGTACAATGTTTACACTTATAAAATTTTTACCTTTTAAAAATGTTCATGGTCTTGGACACTTGAAGACGGTTTAAGACCGTAAAACCCATGTGTCCTGTCCAAAACTCCAACCCTGTAACCAACACCTTTCATAAGGACGCATTATTCTCTATATTGAATGTGTCCAATTAAATAGATCTTGCACCCTGAGATCTCACATCCTTTCAGCATTCTGTGGAAATTCTTGATTTTTCTGAGCAGAGTAGATCAGGGCTAAGGAGAAAATAGAGAAGGGGTGGTTCATTCCTTATGCAGAGTTTAAACTGCGATTACTCACCTCATGATATCACACCGCACCCAGATCTCGAAAATCACAACGAAGGGATATGAAAACTTTGCTGTTTATACTTTCTGTAAGAAAAGAGTTCAACACTTTTCTGATAATAGCTGTCAAACTTTACACTGCTTTCTGTTCAAAAATATAGTGCTATTCATACATTTTCTTGGTATTCCTTATATTATTAAAAAGTAACATTCTAAAATTAGAAAAATTTCTCAATGGTTGTTGTCATCGTTTCAATGTTGTTTTCTTTTTTAGTTTTAACTTTTGCTCTTAAATAAAAAAAAAGCATATAAAGTCATGTTTATATTACATATTGTTTGATTAGAATAGTTTATTAATTGGCATATCTAATTTTAATATATTTTCGTATGTATATATATGTAATAATAGCAAATTTGTTTTTATACATTATCACTGAGAAGCAAAATCCTTAAATGCTAATTACTAAAAAGAATGATCTTTGAGAATATAATAATAGAAATATTACACTTACTAATAAATATTTAAAAGTAATGCATTATAATTAAAACTCACTAATATTTTGAATAATAATATTAAAAAAATACATCATGAAATTGGAGAAAATATTTAAGCATTTATAACTTTAATTTTTGAAGTTCAGGATTTTATTTTCTTTGACGATGCTCATTTTTTTCTCTTCTTTCCTGTTTAAAATTGTGATGCGGTATTGATTTCAATCACTTATACAAGTTCTTAAAGGTTTTAAACTAAAAACATAATTCTTTTTTATTCACATAAATTCTTTTAATACTTCTTATAATTCATTTGATTTCACCTTTATATTTTCTGAAGTAGAATATGAAAAATTACGTTTTCTCATTTTGTGTTTTATCATAATTCTTGTTGGTCATTATCTGATATTTGACTGTTAAATTTTTGCAATCAGATAAGAAGAAAATTGCCTCAAAATGATGGGAAACAATGAATGTAACGAATGGCGTACGGAAAAATTTATTTTTGAAACGAGAAGTTGATGCTGCTCCGCCGTAACCTCACTGACTTAAATTAGAGGCTCGGAGTGGCACGGGTCTCTTCGAAGGAGTGACCCAGCCCTTCTATTCACTCTTTAACCTGGAGTGTCGATAGTTTTTTTTTAAAAGAAGAAGAAGAAACAAGATGATGGCCCTCGTACTTAACACATCTATAGCAAGTTACCTAACTAAAAATAGTAAATGCATGTTATTTTATTTTATAAGAACAAAAGCTTATAAAAAGAATTAATTAAAAAAAATATTGAAATTCATTTTGAATCAGACTAAATAACCAAATGACATATTTTACCTTTCTTATACTATTTTATGTGTATACTTCAAAAAGCAATGCTCAGTAATTGTCAAAATACCAACAAATCGATGCCTTTGAAAAATATTTAAAAGCAAGCTAAAAGACAATTTTTGTGTATGAATTTTCTTCAAAAAAAGTAATTTTAAAAAAGATGATTGATTGATAAACAACTTTTTTTTAATATTTTAAACAGAAAATTATGAGAAAAAAACATTTAAATGTTCATTTTTCAATTAAAACTGTTTATTTTTAAAAGTTACAATCGTAAAATTCAAAATCCCAAAGAAGATTATTAACCTGCCCCCCCCCCCCCCCNCCTGCCCCCCCCCCCCCCCAAAAAAAAGAAACTCATAATAATTCAACTCATCTCAATTTAACCAGTTGAGAATTATTATAACAGAGTAAATATTTGACATTATTTAATAATTCAATGCTGAATTATTAATTAATTTTACCAGTGTGTAATTATTATCTAAGCAATGAATGATTTTTTTAAAATTAAATGTGTAAACTAAAAATGATAAGTACACATAATTTATCTACATGTAGGAGTACTTATTTAAATGTAAGAGTAATTGATAACTTTTAATTTGACTTATTATTATTTATCAATGTAATATTAACTATATGGAAAAACTGATTTATACAAAAAAATAAATTTCTAAAATTCCTCGGCATACTATTTAAGCAAAGCTATATTATTAAAAGAAATTTTAAAAATATTTTCTTATTACAAATTTCAAAAAATAGGATAATTTATAAAGTTCTTTGAATAGAGGGTCTTGATCCCTTGTTCTTGAATGAATAAGTAAGTCACAAGTGGACAAGTAAATCTGTAATCTTGTAAATCTCTAAACTAGCTTAAAGTAGTAAAATAAAGGACATGTCATTTTTTTAAGAACTAAAATTCCTGAGATGAAAAAATATTAAAACTCTTAAATCAGACTAAGTATTCTAATGAGCTAACTTAGACATTTGAATAATTTAATATATTTTATTCATATATATTTATGTATGAAAACAATATTCAATATCTTGAAACATATAAAATTTGTTCATTATTTCTTGATTTTTTTTTAAAAAAAGTTATTGTGTAATTTCTTAAATTTGAAAGAGTTTATTTTTATTAGTTGCACTAATTTTTTTTCTCTTTAATTAAAAACAGATTGCAATTCCATAACTTGTGTCAGATGCAACCACCTACAGAAGCTTGGAGCAACCCTTTTGCAACTCACAATATAAGCGCTCTTCCTAATATGGGCAGCAGGTAAAATGATTTTTTTAATTAACTATCTCTATGTGAAATTAAAATGAAAGGAACTGTATTACTTTTTTGTGTTATTTACTTAACCATGAACAATAAAAAAAAACTGACTTTTATTTTAAATGTTACTTTATGACATATGATTACTTTGTGACACTTGATTTTAAATCAAGACTGGATTTTAATGTAAAAAAGCAACAACAAAAATTTTTTCGCTATTATCAAAGCCTGTCAATATCCTAAAAAGATTTACATTTCCAGATGGCTCCACTTGGCATTTTTTATATTCTTCAGAAACATTAAAGCTTTTGACTTTTGTCATATCACATTTACCTTTTAACATCCATTTATCCATCAAAGTTTTCGAAAAAATATTGAAACTGTTTTTGTCTCTGGCATTCAAGAAGAGTAGTTTTGTTATCTTAGTTAACAGTTAGTTTCTTCTGCATTCTTGTGGTTTCTTGTTCCTTCTACTGATTAAAAATTTGTTATATATTTTATTAGAAAAATTTGTCCATTAAATTTTATTGCCTTTTCAATTCTATTTAAGTCAAATATAATTACTATAATAATTTATGAAATGTATTAAATGCTCAGAAGTAGTAAAAATCCAATATACATTTATTACTGCAACCTATGCAAATCAATAGTGCTAGAAAGTTTAAAGAAGCGAAACACAATACTTTTAAAATTCTAAAAATCGGTACCCATGTACCAACTGAATCCCATCACTGAATAGAAGCAACCTTAAATAAGATTTTTAGATACAAGACAAATTGTTTACGAACTATGGATGTTTTAAGATCCAAAAACCCGAGCCTAAGATTGATAGCATTCTTTTTTTGTACCCAAGTCAGAAATTTATTATGAGAGATTGGATAATATTTAAAGCCTAAATTTGCAAAAAGAAGTGCCATATAAAATATATTGTCGAGATTACTAACATGATACTTACTTTGAACTCGCATTATTGTTTTGATGTTTTTGTATATTTGTTTAATTTACAAATAGTTAGAAAGTATTTAAATTTTATTATGGGCTTAAATGTTTCTTTGAGCTAATGAGTCCAAGTTTGGCTTGAACTAAGCTCTTCTCATCTTTATTATACATGTAACCATAAATAATTACAACAATATTGAATAACTTTGTTAGATATAAGAAAGATTATCTATATATTTATTTGTTACATCCATAATATGCTCCCCTAAACACATTCTCATATGGAAAAAGTTTAGTATTTTCAGTAAGTTTTTTGAAAAAGCAAAAACTTATGCTTGTAAAACATGTGACAATGTTGTACGCTATCTCTCGTTTAGTCTGTTTAAAATTTCATAATATCAATCTCTAATTAAATATAGAGAAATTGTTATTTAAACAAAAAAAGAACTTTAATAATAATAAAAAGTTTGATAAATTCTTATTGCCTTGCTTTGGTAAAAGTGAACAAAATAAAGAGTAGCAGAATTTTAATGTCTTTTACCATTTGAAACAACAAAATGTGTTAGTGTATAAGCGATTAAAGTTTCCTTCCCTGTGGCAGAATTGCTTTGGGCTTTCTGTGACAAACCTCTATAGTACTAATATCTGCAAGATACTTTTAATAATAACTAATATACATGCTATTAATTAAATTTAAAGTAACAGAAATGTTGTCTATACAACGAAAACCCTATTTGGATATAATAAAATTATATGTTTTTTTTTTTAATGAATATGAAATATTTTTTATTCTAATATCATGGGCGAGTGATATTCTCTTATTTTGTAAGAGGAAAACACACTAATTATTTCATTTTTTGCATTATCATCAAATAATAATAATTATAAAAAATCNGAAATAATTGTATGAATAATAGTTTTGAATGTATTAATCGAAAAGTATATAAACTTTTACATTGTTTGAAGGAATGTAGTTTTAAATGTAAAAATACATAATTTGTGTGCAGCCGGTTGAATATAAATGAAAATTTACGAAAATTTGTGTATTTAAATTGATTGTGGTGAGCCGTTAAGATGGAGTGAAAAACTTATCGAGCGATTGAAAGTAATTCCCCAGCTTCAAATTAAATGTTATTGAAGTTCTAGTAGTAAGCGATGATGCGGCGAAACCATTCTTATAGCCGATATACAGGGTATGTGCACTCCTGGAAAGTCATGAATTTCCGTTTTAAACAAAATTTGTCATAAAATGTCATGATTTTAACTATATTTTTTTTTTTAAAAAATCATGGAAAGTCTTGAATTTAGGTCGCCCAAATGTCTAATTTTTATAATGGAAACTCCCCCCCCCCCCAATTTCATGGTGTTCCGAATATCTGAATTTGTAACAAAATCCCCACTCATAGGCAGATTTTATTAAAATATAAAATGTTTTTATTATGTTCTTTAAAAATTATAGTGTTCTTTTAAAGAATGAGAGAGAAAACATCACTTCTAGAGCAATGTATCTTTTAAACTTCTCTGATTTCAGCATTTTTGTTATTATTATTATATTTTTTTCTATCGATTTAAAATTCTAGCTGAAGCAAGCCTGTTTTTAATTCCGAAATGAGAACTGAAAAATCAGGAATATTTCTCTCCTTTCCGATAAACAAGAAAAGTATCTTTAGAATTCTGCAGAGGGAAAAATTTTTTGCTTTTGCATTTTTTTTCCAGCTATTCTATTGCTTCAACTCTTTCTTCACTCTGTTTTTTAAATTTAAAATCTATAAATATGAAGATACAGAGTATGACAGTTTTGGTATTACCTGGCATTTCAATTAATGTTATTATAATGCTTTTTTAAATTTATTGTTGTGATTTTGTCGGAGAAAATAGTAACTTTGTTAAGTCATGAAAAATGCTTGGAATTAGTCATGGAAAGTCATGAATTTAAAAATATAAAATGTAGCAGATACTCTGTATAGGGTTCCCGAGAGGTGTTCCTCAGAATTCTTGGGATCCGTGGAAGGGTAACCGGAATTCTGAGAATTTGAACTTATTTAATTATATTCTTCTGGTTTCTGTGAGACTATTGCTCACTCATATGCAACTCTGCAGCAATTTGCAAGATATTCAGTCTTCATTTTCCACCCACTGAAATCAAACCGAAAAATCTTTTTATGGTGTCTAANATATATCACGATATATAATTTCTAATATCGCCCAGTCCTAGTGTCTAATATAATCAAGAAAATAGTGTTTTGTCAGAAACTAGTTCTTTTATCATGATCATGTAAAGTCTATGAAAATTATTTTGCATTTTGTTAATGTATATAGTGTTAAAAAAGTACTTAAAAGGTGCTTATAATATTTTAAATGAATTAGGAAAGAGATATGTTTCATAAAAAGTTGCACCAGTAATTCTGATAGAAATTTTTCCAATAAAAATATAATTATCGAATTTAAGAATGATGAATTCTGTGTCTCTGATAACTGGTCTCAATATTTATAACAGTTCTTTCTTGAATATTATGATGTAGCATATGTTATTCATTTTCAGCTTATGCATACACTAAAAACACTTTCATAACTAGACTATTGTAAATAAAACAATAAAAAAATTGCCCTCTTAAATATATTCAAAATAACTAGTGGACTTTTGGTTCAGTCCTAGGTGCAAATGAACTTTATTTATTCTGTTAGGATCCATAGTCAAAAATAAAGAAGGGGGAACTGCTGTGTTATGTACAGTGTACAAAAAAAATGGAACATCTTAATAGCTTTTGATCTAATGATTGGATTATCACATACTGAGATTCAACCTCAATGGGTCGAGGATCCATTTTCAAATATACTAATTAATTTATGCAAACCATATTTTTAGTTCTGAAAAGCGTAAAAAAAATGTACTTTCTCCAATTAAATTTCTTTCTCTCAAATTTAAATACTTGACCCTCAAAATAAGGTGGTATATAGAATATATGATCCCATTAATTTAGTTTTAATAAAGAAAGAAGTTATAAGTTTCAGACCTTTATTTGAATATTAAATTTTACTTTTTACCTGTTTTGCCACATCAAATATACTTTTACAATTATTTAGCATTTCTCTTTATTTAATTTAGAAATGGTTCAAAGAATTTTAAATTATAAGATACACAAATTTTTACTTTGACTTAAGCTATGTTATTTAAAAATGGCAAAATCGAAATTCGGAACATATATGACAAATAGCTCTTAAAATTTAAAAATGCGATTTCTGATAAAATTCATACTGAGATATGATTTTTCTCAAATTTTGTGTTTTATCATTTGAAATTACTTGGTTAAAAATGAGGTAAAGATTTGTATACCTTGCAATTAAATTTTATTGTGCATGAGATTTTCTTTCTAAAAACCAGTTTTACAATTGCGTGCAAAAATTTTTTTGATTAGCTCAAATAGTTTTAGAGGTATTACAAAAGGTAAAAGTTCATTAAGGGGCTATTTTTGACTGCGCTCTTGACTTAACTATTGGGATTATGTATTCCAAATCATGGTGAATCCCTTATACTTAAAGTCAAAAATAAAATCCCTCAAAAAAAAGGTTTGTTTATTCAAAGAAAATATGTTTTTGTGTCATATTTTGAAATACCATCTATACAATTCAAATGATGTACTTAAAGTAAGACCCTCATTAAAACTGCTTTTTATGAAAAGAATCTGGTTGCTAGATGATAAGTTACTAAAATGTTCTGTTTATCATTTTGCTCATTGTGCAATATTTTCATCTTTTTATTAACTATATTTTTGGTTCTTAAGTTATTTGTAACACAGCTTTTAACAAATTAATCAGTCATTGACAAAATTAATCAGAATATTGAGGGCTGTCTATGTAATATACAATTCATTAATGTATCATCATGGTGCATAGCATTTTTTGAAAGTGCTTAAAGGTGCTTATTTTCTTTTTTGAAAGCCCTTAAAGGTACTTTTTTTCATTGAAAGTTTTTAAAAGGGGCTTCATTTTCTCTCTTGAAAATTAGATTTTTTTTCTTTACCATGCTGATTTTCCCCACGTATTACGCCACAAATTCACTTTGTTCAACGTTTTCACAATTCATTCAACCACAATCTATTTCAGTGAACCACCGTACATAGCGTATGAAGGCTTCAATCATTTTACATATTTGGTGTTACTTACGTGTCTGCATGTGCATCTACTGAGCTGGGTTTGGTGAGATTATTGCACTCCAAATTATTTGTTTTTGATTCATATTAGCAACTTTGTAAACTGTTCACAGAAGTGTATATTAAATTGTATGTATTGCTAGAAAGTTTTCTTTTGATGATATTGATTTGAGAATAATTCTTAGGGACACCCCTCAAAAGATGTGCATAACAGAAGAAAAAATGGCGGCTCGTTTTCGAGACATGCACATCAGCAATCAATTCATCATTCCATCTGAAAGCAGCACTTATGAATCTGGCAATAGCTCATCCTCTGCAAGTGCTTCTGTAAATAAATCCCCAAGTAATCTGCAGCAGTTAGAAATTATGTAAGTATGTCTAGTGCTGAGTTTGAATTTCAGGATTGATTAGTACAATTTTCCTTATCTATCGTCTATAGATGAGATTTTTCGCATCTATATCATCTGTTTTAAGCTTATATCTAACATATACCAGAGATGATTGTGCTCCGGAAAAAATCCAGATTTTCTGCTAACAGAGATCCGAAAATTTCCGTGTCTCGTCCTGGATTTTTCCACGATCCAAAATTTCCGGTCCCGGAAAGGTCCAGAAGTTTCAAGAAATCATCTATCCCATTTATGTATAAAAATTTTGGTATATTTTATTTAAAAATATTAGAACTAGAATTTATACTTAACATCTCGTTCATATGTGATATTTTTTCTGGTAGAATAATAAATGTCATTAGAGATAAAAGTAAACTTGTACATAATTATTCATTTAAATTATGCGGCATATAATATTTTTAGAATTTCATGATGTGAAAATATCATTGATTTAAATTTATTAAGTTGAAATGCGTCATTAATGATTTTACTCAAGAAATTTTCAGGATTTTTGAGTTGCGCTCACAATCACCCCTGCTATATAACAAAACATTTTTTTTTTATTGTGTGCTTTGATTATATCTTTATTAAGAAATGTATGACATTTGTTATAATTCATTGTAATAGAAAATTACGAGAGTAATTCTTCGTGATGAAATTAAATTTTATTCAAAACAATGTTTAAAATCAAAAATACTAAAAGAAATTTGAAAACCTATATGTGTTTCAGTGTCAATGGTACACTTTCATCAGTTGGATGAAAAACAAGAGTAAAAAAAGTAAAAGAGAGATAAATATATAGTTGAAAGAATTTAATTTTATAATTTTCTATCATTTTGTCGTTTAACTATATGTTTATTTTTTACAGTATGACATAGCCACTGTCAAATTAAATCATCTCTGTTTTTACCATTCATGCCAATTATCCTACTAATAAAGGTGTCCCATCTTGACACTGAAACAAGTATAAGTTTTAAGGAGATTTCATAGTAGTGTGTTTTTGAACGCAAAAATATTACACCCCTAAGGGCCATCTAATAAATGATGTCACACTTATTTCTAAATAATCCCCCTCCTCCCTTGTTGTTTCCAATCCCAGTTGGGATAGTGGAGCTATACCAGATCCATGAGGCCGTGAGTCTTCAAAAAATCCAGGAAAAGGAGAGGTCTCAAGAACCTCTTCCATTGTGAAAACCAGGCAATCAAGTAGGTGGTGAGGACTAGCCTCGCTGGAGTTGCACTTTTTACAAGATGGAAAAAGTTTAATTTGTCCACTGAAAGTGAGGCTCTTAGTATGCCCACTGACAACCCCTCCTCTCTTTCACCTCTAAGTGTCACACTTTACCGTACTCTTACTCCTCCACTATGTGTCGTATGTCCTGCTGTATTGCATACACATACTTGCTTACTGTTCAGAAACAAATCGCATGCTATATTTCAAATTTTATTTCATTCCTTTATGTGTTTTAATGACATTTATGATCATACCAATATTTATGATTGAATATATATATTTATTTTACTGCAAATGATATAAAATATTTTACCGGCTGACATTATTAAACGACAAGGAATAAAATGGGCAGGCCACGCTATAAAAAGGGACAAAGACTGTCCCACAAAACAAAAAGAGTAACACCTTTTGGTCTTAACTGGAAAACACTAGCAGGAAGAAGGTTATCCTGGAAATAGACTTTTTGAGCAGGCCAAGGCCCACCCTGGGCCGTTGATGATAATTATGATTTTTAATGTTCTTATTTTAAGAAAAATATGTATCACACTCCTTGTTACTCCTTATCACAAGTAAGAAATAATAAGTAGTGATTAGGGTTTTATATATGCTTATAGCTGTGTTGCCTTAGAGGGAAAAAGAAAGTTAAATTACTAATGTTATTCAGCTACGGTCCATTTTTAATTAGGGAATGGGGTAAAACAAACAAATATAAAAAACATATTTTATTAATTGTTATTTATTGACTAATTTTCTTAGTGTTATTTCATGAGAAACTTTTAAAATGACTTATATGTTTTCTTGAGGATAAGTTAGTGGTAATTTATTTTTATTTCACTCAATTCAAAATAAAAACTATGAATAGATGAAGGAAAAAAATTAACATTTTTCAACTTAAAGAAGTTGTCCATTTGTCAAATATAATCTTCAAACACATAACATAATCTTCAAATTTTATGGAAGAGTTTAAAAGTTATTGATTATATGGATGCTTTTAACAAGTATTTAAAAAATACCTAAAGTCCTCTATCCTCACCATCATGGGTTTTTAATTAAAAGTTTGCTTTCTATTTTCTTGATTTTTTTTATTTATTATTTAACGAACTCTCTTAAGGATAGAATGTTATTAGACAGCACAATGCTTTTAAAAAAAAGGTGAAAAATATAGGAACCACTTTATTAGATTAAATGAAATAATGATGCTGGATGATTTTTAGAATTTCAATGGATTTTTTTTCCTTAAAATTTTCAAGCAAATAAGTACTGTGATTTGTTGCTTTGTATAAGTCATTTAAAACTACACATCACAAATTTTTAGATTTTTGTTAAATTTTATTCAATTACAGATCAAACTGTTGAAAACTGATTTGAATGATTCTGAAAAATTGTTTTAACATTAATTTGCTCAAAAACAAAGATATTTGTCAAAAATCTAAAAATGGACAATTGTATACTATTTCACTACCTTTCAAAAACTGCTGATCGCAAAATTGTAGTAGCATAATTTAGTCAGAAAAAATTGTTGAAGAATCTAATATGGCACACACTTTCTATCACAAATTCTGATTGCTTGGTTAATAGCCATGTATTTTAGATGCATCAAAACATATTACTAAGTAGAGTAAATATCCATCTTCAATTTACTTGTCATGATTAAATAAAGAGGATTAAAAGCATTATTAAAATTTTTGCTTTATTTGCAACATAATAACTATTTAAACAGTGCTTGTTGAAATAGTGGTTTGTGTTTAATATTTGAAGTGGCAATTTTTTTACTTTATTCCAAATGTACAGGTATATTCTACATAATTATTTATAGTTGTTAAAATCTCCATTTCTCTTATTTTACACTCCCTCTTATTTCAAATAAATCTTAGTTAAAATACACAAATAGATGATTTTTATTTGTTTTAAGTTCATTAAAATTTAAGTTAATTAAATGTATCAAGTATTAATATATCTAATTGTATAAACCAATGATTACATAAGGAGTTTGTACTTTTAACTAAAATAAACTTTTGGACACTTATAAGACAGTTTAGGACCTCGGAACCCATTGATCCAACTAAAACCAGATTATGATGTCCAAAGTCCTAACCTTGGATTTATTTCCCTGAGGCAGAATTTTTCCAATCTATCTGCAACAACACTCTCTAGCACTAATATTTTTTCTGCGTGATACTTTTAACAATAACAAACATGTATGTTACTAATTCTAAATAACAAAAGCGCTGTGTTAACAAAACAAAAAACATTATTTTTTTTAATTGAACATGTAATAATTTTTTATTCTAATATTATGGGTGTTATTCTTGGAATGCACAATTTATTTCGTTCTTTGCAAAATAATCATTACAACAAAAAATATAATTAAAAGTCATGAAATCCATAGTACTATTTGCACGAAATCACGCAAATCAGAATCCTCAAATGCATGTTTCGTTTCGAGATTAGGTTATTGTAGTGAAAAATATTGGATTTAAAAACTATGGACAAATAAATAGCAATAACTGCCAAAAATTTGATAGCCTTCAAAAGTAAATACTCCATACTGTTTGAAATATATATGGGGATATTTAAAATCCTTGGGAAAATCAATATCATTAATTGCAGAAAATTAATCGAAACATTGCATTGATTTACGATACTATCGGCGAAAATTTAGCATATCAAAGAGTGATTATCTAAATACATGACTCGAATATTACGTGTAATGTTTTGTAGAAAAGAAAAGTTTTTTTTTTTTAAACTTTTAAAGAGAAAAATTTTTCTGCAAGAACTATGTAACGTTCTGCGACAAGTCGCTGCCATTCAACCATTGGGTTTTATATTATATATAAATGCAGTACTATTTTTATGCGATGACTGCAGAATGTAAAACTATATGAGAACTTTAATTATGATAGAGGGTGACGGTTATGTGTAAATCATTATGGGCAGTTTCAAAGGGTGAATAAATATTTAAAATGTTAAAACAATCCATAAAGGTGTGTTTATTGAGATGAGCTAACAAAACTAATTCAGAAAAATATATCCAGTTGTTGTTTTGCATTAATTTTGCACAGTTTATTTGATATTAATTGGATTTTGTTTTTCTCTTAACACAGGCTACAAGATGCTGGTTCCAGTGACACCACTTCCAAATCCTTGATTCTTGCACCTGAACTAAAGAAGCTGGTTGAACCTGAGAAAATATTGAGTACTTTTTTAAATAAAATGTAAGAATGTACTACATGTTGATGAGCTTTTATTGCAAAACTATATTCACAGTTGGCCAGTTTTTTTAAGCGTTTCTCATGTTTGGTCATTAATTTTTCCTTTATTGTTTTTCTTTGATTTATAAATTCAATTTATCCACAATGCGTAAATGCAGATCCTATATGGGATAAAACTCAGTTTGCAAAAATTGGAGTTGAAGGAGTGACAGTCACCAAACACGCTGATATTTTTGTTTTCGGTATAGCATCATTCACTAAGTTTAGTATGGATGTGACTCTTCATAGTTTTAATGAAGAAAAAAAATTCGGGAATATCATTATTAAAAATTTTTAAGGTTAACTCCAAGTTTTAACTGATGAAATATCTAATGAAGCTCCCATAATAACTTTCAGTTGTTTTCCTAATTTCCTTTTATTGAATTCTCATTAAATCAGAAAAAATTAGATATCATGTGCATGAAATCAGATATTTATGTAAATTTATATAGATAGATATTATTTAGAGTTTAAAACAAGCACCATAATTCCCCTTTAATTGTAAATTTTTTTTCCTCCAGATCAATTGCAAATATATTTATTTTAGTACTAACAAATTTTTGATTAGTTTAAAATTTTAAAAATATTAATTAGTTTAATATAATTTTTGTTCTCCTACCATATTTTGAACTGCAATTGCCATGTGTCTGGCAATTGCCATGTGCCACATAAGATCGGCTTTTACGTATCCACAGTGCCATCGGTCAAAAAAAATTCAAATCATCTTTGGTTGAAAGTTTTATGCACTGCCATATAAATTTGCTGCAAGACTTGTTATCTACCCCCCTTTAAACCTTTACTGTTTTCTTATTAACTGGCGTGAGTAGAACTGCTAGTCTAGCGACGCTCTGTCATTACATTAACCAACCTCAACTCGAATGCTGAGTTGGCTAGTGCGCATTTCCTGCTAGTTCTTTTCCTGCTGTACAATACATTGTGCGTACCGTTTTTAAAACGTGCTTACNCTACCATATTTTGAACTGCAATTGCCATGTGTTATCCCGTATAAGATCGGCTTTTACGTATCCACAGTGCCATCGGTCAAAAAAAAAAAAATTCAAATCATCTTTGGCTGAAAGTTTTATGCACTGCCATATAAATTTGCTGCAAGACTTGTTATCTACCCCCCTTTAAACCTTTACTGTTTTCTTATTAACTGGCGTGAGTAGAACTGCTAGTCTAGCGACGCTCTGTCATTACATTAACCAACCTCAACTCGAATGCTGAGTTGGCTAGTGCGCATTTCCTGCTAGTTCTTTTCCTGCTGTACAATACATTGTGCGTACCGTTTTTAAAACGTGCTTACTTTCGATTTTCTTTTTTTAAAAGCCCTTAAAGGTGCTTTTTTCTATGGGTGTTTTTAAAAAGTGTTTAATTTTCCCTTCTCAAAAATGTCAATCATTTTACATGTTTGATAAAATATATCGGATTCCACATCTGCGTCTACTGAGCTGGGTCTGGTGAGATTCTAGCACTCTCATGTGCAACTCTGCTGCATTTTGCAAGGTATTCTCAATTTCAAGCACCATTTTCCACACTCTGAAATCGAACTGAAAAATCTCTCAATCTTTTTATGGTAGCTAATATAATCAAGAAAAAAGTTCTTTGATAGAGACTAGCAGGGCTGATTGTGCTCCGGAAAAAATTAAGCTTATATTCACGATTAATATTAATTTTTTTTTATCAGTAAATAGTTATTATAATCATAAACTCAAGAAAGAAAGACATATTTGTAAATTTTAATTACTTCTCCAGGTCATTATAGGTATGTGTAAATGGTATAGGAATGTGTAGAATTTTAAATATATTTTAAGTAAACCAAGAAATATTGAGAAGAAGGAGAAAAAACCTTGCTTAAATATTTTTCAATTTAAGCTGGGTTTTTTTTTTTTGAACTTAGGAAATTTTCCGGAATTTTGACTTGGGCTCACCCCTAAACTAGTTATTTTATCATGATCATGAAAAGTCTTTGAAAATTATTTTGCATTTTATTAATATATATATAGTCCATAAAAATATTTTTTGAGTGCTTACAAGGTGCTTATTTTTTGTTGAAAGGGGCTACGCACCCTGTTTTATGTATTCCGTTTTCAGGAAGTTACTCAAAGTATCTAAAAAGCCATCTTTGGAGAAATTATAGCACTAAGAGTTCACCAAATGCAATAAAATAGTAAATTCAGCGAAACAAATTATCTTTCAACGAAAGTATTGATATAGAATTTTTTTGCACAGTTTTTTTACTGCGCAAATAATTCTAATAAATTTTACAAGGTATTCAGCGAAAATTACTGTAATCGAATAAAAAAATTCCTTTTTTTTGCTGAATGATTCCAATTGCAACAGTAAAAAATAAACAAAATTCTTTCCTTAAAAAAAGACTGAAATATATTTAAAATGAAGTATAATAATTTAAAAGATAGTTTTAAAAAAACATCAAATGTTGCTTCAGATTTATCTTTATTAGTGTTATTAAAGTTATCAAAAATTAAACCCAATCTATTCTTATTCCTCAAATGACTCTTAATTTGAATTTGTATTTTATTAAATAGTTCAATTTAAGGTAAATTTAAATTTTAGTTTGAAGTTTTCTGTGTTAAATTGTTAAGATTTGCCTTTGGCAATGACTTTTGAATTATGGCTAATAGTTTTGATATGTGGCTAATGCAGGATTCATAGTGTTTTTAAAAAGTGCTTAAAGGTGTTTATTTTTTTTTAACATTTTTTTTAAAGCTCTATTAGGGTTTTGTAGAAATGACTTAAATTTCTGTCTTTTAAGAAGATATTTTTCTTTGTCATGACGATTGTCGTTCTAAATTACAAAAAATTCATGATTTTCACTATTTTCTCGGCAAAATTTATCTGAAACTAGTTATTTTATCTTGATTATGTAAAGTTTTTTAAAATGTTCTTGAATTTTATTGATCTTGTGTTTATAAATTAAGAACTTCAAACGGTAGAAAAAATAATTGTTATTTCTGCACAGATCCTAATTGAGGTTTTTTAAGAAAGTGATTGAAAATATTTTTTGAGTGCTTTAAAAGTACTTGATAGGTGGTTCTTTTTTGTCGAAAAATCTGGCTATGCACTCTGTAATAGTTTGAAGTCCTTTGCACGGGCTCTGAATCGGATGATCTTACCAGAACGTTTTGCAACCAATGAATATCTCAGTTGTGACCTTAATTTTCATCTTTTTATAAAATGGTTAAAACAAAAATAATTAATTCTATGTGTTTTATTAATATTTTTTAAAAAATACCCTAGTATAATTAATTAAATAGGGAATATATTTAAAATAATATGGAATAATGTTTTTTGGTTAAATGTTCAAATAATGATTCTATATTTACTTGGTATAATATGTTTGTTAGTTATAATGTAACCTGTGTAAATTGCAGTAATTTATAAGCATCAAACATAATCTCTGTTTTTTAAATCACCCCTCTATTTTAAAATTTACTCCTCAAAAAATAATAGTTGAGAGAAATGACTCTCTAAAAAAATTTCTTGAGATAACACTGTATGCAATTGAAATTATATTATCACGATATTTAATGTTTCAGAGAGAAACCTTCAATGGCATTGGTGGTGTGGCAACCTCTTAACAACAAACTGACAGAGAAACATATTCCAAAAGGAGAAGCATCTGACATAAAGCATAACAACAATAATCTCACACCCCAACAGCTTAGCATGATGTGGTAAGAAACTATTTTCCTCTCTTTAAAAAAGTAAGAGTTTTCTATCTTTTTTTCTCCAGATGGCCACATCCCTTGTGACAGAATTTTTTCCGGCTTTCTGCGACAAACTTCCTTATCACTAATATTTTGCCTTAAAATACTTTTAATTATAATAATTACTAATTTAAAGTCACAGAAACGTTGTGTTAACAGAAGAAATTATCAAATAAAAATGTATGAAAAATTTTAATTGTCACATTTTTTCAGCGGAAAAAATTCACTAATTATTTCTTCATCTAGCAAATAGAGCTCTTTGAAAAGGAGATACTCAAACAAGTGTATGTAAAATATGGTGCTCTTTAAAGAAATAAAATAATGAAAGAAAGGTCATCATTTCTAGAACGAACTATCTCTTTCACGATTTTTTATTCTTTTTATTTTATATTATTAAATTGAAATTCTAGGCTGATGCTGGTCATTAATGATTTTTTGTTTTTTTAATCTCAAATGAGAATAGCGAAATTAAGATTATTTCTTTTCTCTCTGATGCACAAGTAAGATATCTTTGAAAAAAAATTCTTCTGGAGAAAAAAAAAAACATTTTTTGAAAAGTTATGCAGAAAGAAAAACCAAAATTTTTACGTTTCCAACTGAAAATCTTTCTGCAAACACTGTGTAACGTTCTGCGACAATATCGCCTGTGTCACCGCAATTTTGCCACAGGGGGCACATCAAGAAATTTGGAAAATTATATTTACTGGAGACAACAGATAATTTTAGCCTACGTTTTGAAATTTCCTAACATGTTGATATTTTGTAAACAAAATTTAAATTTAGAATAGAATCAATTTTATGTTATGTGAAAGAGACGATGGTTTGATGCTTAATCGTCAGACGACTTAGCGAAAAAGTTAGCAACATTATAATGTTGCTAACTTTTACCTGTGCTTTTGTCGGCACAAGATATGAGTGCAGAAGCTAAAGAAGTCATACTGCCAAAAACAGTAAAACAGAATCCACAACCATTGCTAAAATAAGGAACCTTCTTTATTTTAAACTTACAAAAAATCTCTTACAAATGTGGAAAATTTATTGTCTGCTCAATAAAAAAACATGTGATTTCCTATTAAATAAATGTGTTAATTTATTTTTCTTTTGCTTTAAATACATAATTCTTTTCCCGGTAGCAAAATAATTTTTTCTGCTTCATACCTCTCTAATACTAATATCTTTCTGCTGGATACTTAAAAATAACAAATATACATGTTACTAATTTAAAGCGACAGAAGCGTTAACTTTAAAAAATAAATAAATCTGATCAAATAAAATAATTTTTTTAATTGAATATGTAATATTTTTTTTATTCTAATATTATGGGCGATATTCTCACATTTTGTAGGAAAAGATAACTCACTAATTATTTCCTTTTCGCATTTTGTAATTCGTCATTAAAAAAAAATCATGAAATCTGTGGCAGTAACTAGAAAAAAGAGATCGACGGCGAAATAACGCGAATCGGACTCTCTAAAAAGGGGTTACTAAATGCGTGTTTTCATTTCGAGACTCAGTTGTTGTAATAAATAACATTGTAACTAAACTTTTTTCATCATTATTCTTTATTTTTCATTATTCTCAAATGAGAATAGAAAAATCGTGAGCATTTTTTACCTCTTCGATGTGCAAGAAAGGCATCTTTTGAATATAATTCAAATGAAAAGATAAAATCTTTCTGCAAGAACTCTGTAAGACAATGTCTTCGCGATTCTGCCACGGGGTTTCTTTTCATTAAAAATTTTTTATACCTATTGTGAAATTTATTAATTTTCAAGTCTATTGCTTTATTATTTTTCGTACAGTTTTTATTTTATATTTTATGTCGATATGCTTAGAGTGCTTTCCCATATTTATTGTTCACTACAAATGATGCTATCATTTATGTATTTAAGGTATTTTAATTGTATGCTTGTTTGAAATGTGCACCAATATAAAAATTTGTACCTTTTACTCATACATTTTTTCCTCTATTTCCTTTAGTCATCTTCGTTCACTAAATGTCGCTTATATTAAAATCTAAATTTTGAAATGATTTCTTTCATGTCAAAACTACAAATGAATTATTTATAGCTTTATATTGATTTCACTTCCAGCATGCTCATTTGTGGGAAATAATATGAGTGCAATTTCTTTATTTGTTTAGATATTAATTATTATATTCAGATGTTTCAATTGTTCATTGATATGTTTTCTATTAAACCTAGTTTCCAAATTTTTAAGTTTAAGGCTGTAAGTATTAATAAAGCTTGGTACATTGATATCCTAAACCCTTAATCTTCTCCATGTCTTAAAAAGTTATATTTTTTTTTTGTTCAATATTTTTCATGTATTCCCCTTTTTGAAAAAAAATTGTAATTTCTTTATAAGAAGTAATATTGATAATTTCAAGGAATAAACGTCTTAAGTTTCCTCTTCAGTTTAGTCTGGTTTCCTTAATTTATCAACAACAAAAAATCTTTTTTTGCCCATTTCAAATTAGCTTGATTGATTTTACACTAAAAATACCAACGCTTAATCTATACCTATATCTACCATAGCCTGTCAAATGGCCGGACTTTACATTTCTTGATTAAATGTATGAAATATGGATGTAAGGAAGGAAATAAACTAAAACAAAAAATTTATTATAATTAAACAAAATTGTATATTGCCAATTTTTATGTATTACAAACACAAAGAATAAGAATTTTTTACATATACAGGGTGTTTCCATTATACATATTTCGTCTAATTATTATTATTCCTATAAGAATATCTATTAGAATTATTCTTATAAATAATTTCTAAGAACTTGTGCTGTCTTGATTATTTCAACATTTTTTCTGGGTAAAAACTAACAGTTAGTTATAAATGAAGTAAAGCTTTCAAAATAAAATATAAGCTACTTACCAAAACATTTAGTTTTTGTCACTTTTTCTGGCACAAAAATGCCAATCTAAAATTTTATGTACTTTCTTGAAATTTGAATTTATTCTGATTGAACTAACGACACAACAGTCTTTGCAGAAATGTGCAATTATAATCGAATACAATAAGTTGACCACGCATTACATCCTAATTCCTGATCCGATAACCACATAAAGCATTAAATTGTTTTCCCGGTCAAATGACCGGTTGTGATACAAATTAGGTATACGACAAGTATTATTCGAAACAAACACAATACAAAAAATAATAATAATAGAATATTAAATGTTTATAATTGTTAGAAAAAGTCATGAAGTCAAATGTGCGAAAGCGGTAAGATGATGAGCGCATTTTCAATGCAAAATTTCTTAAACGGTCATTTGACGTGTTATGGTATGTTTAGTGTTAATTAAATAAAGTTTTAGGATCTATACTAGTATGCAAATCATAATTGTTTTATTGATTTTATTTCAGTCATCAATATTTGTCATCCCAAGAAACTTCAGATAAATTGTGTCAAATCTTTCCAGAAGATGAAATGGAGACATGAAGAATTTTACTTTTTATATTTGTATTTTTCACTGTATTTTCTCATTTTAAAATAAAAAATATTCATCCTATATGTTTCTTATTATTTGAATTAATTCTTATTTTATGCCTTTGCATCCCTGGGAAAACAGATTAATATAAACTTTTACTGTGCTTGTTCTCTTCCTGCCTTAAAATAGGCATTTCTTGCTCTTGAGGTGGGCTCAGTCATAAATGTAGAGAAAACAAAATATATCTCAAGAAGCAGAGTCCCCTATCTTGAAATAGATTTGAAACAGTAAGGATCTCTTGGGATCAATTATTACCAGGGGTCTTTCCAGGCCAAACTTACTACCATTTAGCGGTACCTTCACAAATTCAACTTTAAAAAACAAAATACTTTTTCTTACAATTTTATTTCTCTAGCCTGTAAGAAACGATAAATCCATATTTTTACCACTTTTTGTGTTGATTTTTTAATATAAATTTTTATATTCACAAATCATGTCTAAATTTTCACAAAATATGTACCTCTCAGAAAAACCTAAACTGACCCCTGACTACTATTGACAACAGAATGACTCCTGAAATAAAAACTGGCAATATCTGTCTATGGGTTGAGAATATTTATGAAATCTTGGTTTCTTTCTAGAAAAACAAAGTTCTTAATCTACAAAACTCTTGTCAGGCCAGTTTTGACATATGCTTCTTAAGCTTGGACAGTGACAAAACTGGAGGAAAATTGTACCGCAATATTTGAGAGAATGATTTTGCGGAGTATACTTGGTGGTGTAATTGAAACCAATAACTAGAGAATGAGATATAACTTTGAACTGTACAAGATTTATAAACAACCTGATATTATAAAATACGTAAAAATGAATTGGATGGTCCACGTGATTCGAATGAGTGATGACAATGCAATAAAAAAAGATGCTGCTTTTTAAACCCTCTGGAACAAGGAAGCGTGGAAAGCTGCCATTGAGATGAGCTGACTCGGTGGAGTTTGATTATCTTGCATCTAATGAAAAGAATTGAAGATCAAAGAGAAATCAAATCATTATGGAGAAATCTTCAGAGGAAGGCATTGGCTCACATTGAGCTGTCTGGCAAACTATGATGATGTTTCTATTGTTTAAATTTATACCCTTTTTTATTTAACATCCTTTTCAATAAGCGTGAAACTGTAAAACAATTTCAGTTTCAGTAATGCTCCTTTTTTTCTAATTTAAATTAAATCTCATAATTTAAACAATTTTCTTGAAGTTAATTAAACTTTTTTTTCAATTTTAAAAAATGAATCATTGATTTCTAAAAAAAAAATTTTTTCATAATTGAAAAAATTCAGAATCTTGAAATATTTTCATATTATTCCTTCAACTACTCATTTTTCAAATACAACCAGTTCTTTTCCAGTACTAATAAAAATGTTTATGCCATAATTGTATTAACGTTTCTAATTTAAAACACTCATTTTGAATATTACAATCACAGTGGAAAAAAATTAATTTTAATAAAATTTTACAAAATTCAGTATTTTATAAAATTTACTGTTTTAACAAATTTCTTAAACGATCAATCAAAGCAAAAAAATAATTTAAAGTATACAAATATTTCCAATTAGAATTCTGAATCAATTTCTCAAATAAAGTAAATCAGGTATTTTGAGTATATTTTACATATATCTTAACATTTTGCAATTAATATTCTCAAAACTTACATGATATACAATCTAAATACTATACTCATAATACAAGATAAGTTCAATTTAATAAGAAATGCTCAATTAAAAATTTGTATCGTTTATAAATAATACAAATTTAGTAACGACGCATTTTTAAATATTCTGGTACACAAAAATGAAATAGAGTTTTTTCTAAGCTAGAACTCCCGCCACAAAGTCTGAGGCCGTCTGGTGCTATGGAAATAAGAATGGCGCATTTTAAGGAGGGTGGCTTCACTCTAGAATTAACACAATAGACCGAAGAAATTCCCTTTCTCTCGCCTACCCCAAACAGGGACCCCGCACCCCTACTTGAAATAGTCATACCTCGTTACCATAGTCACAGCCACAAGTCCAGACGAATGCCTGGAGAAGTTCTTATTTTAGACAAACTATATGTCTCTCAGACATCCAGGGATGTCAGTAATGTATCTACCACTACAAAAATATAATTCCAATTCACTAGTATATAAGACATGTTAACTCAATTCTATGGTGGAGTACCTTTTTACAGGGCCCGATTAGCCATTAGGCCATGGCCTGGGGCCTCCTTAAAAAACATTTTGGAAATAAATTTAAAGTAATTAAGAAAAACAATGACTTTTTTAAAAAAAATCAATTTCAAATATATATTAATAAAATACGATAATTTTTTTAGTTCTAAATTAACAAAATAAAGTAAAATTTAATTTATTATTATTTATTTTTATTTTAAGTTTGCTTTCTTAAATGAAAAAATGTATAAACACTTTCATATTTCAATAAATAAAAAATATATGAGAAAAAAATTTAATCTAAGGGCCCCGAAAATTTGAATGGCCTAGGGCCCCGCTTGTGCTTAATCCGGCCCTGCCTTTTCATAGATGACATGGCCGATAACTACTCACTCCCCACATATCCCCTGGATAACTGTGGTAGGTCAGAGATATTTGTCAGACGTCTTTTGGATATGCAGCCGACATCAATATCCAAATATCTGATAGACATCACACACACTGGATTTCTTTTGGATATTTCATGGATATTATTCAGATGTCAGAGGGATATCTGATAGATATGGCAATATCAAAAGTTTGTACCCCTTAATGTTATTTTTACGTATTTCGCTACGTCTCGAGAACTTTTTATACGGATTGAAAATTTTTTGATATTCGTGGCCACTTTAATTACTTGCTAAGTTCCAATTTCAAGTCAAATAATCAGGGAGATAGTAGATTTTAATTTCACTTTTTGCTTATTTAGTTATATCTTAAAAACAAAACGAATGGAATGCATGTCAAGAAGACTAAAGATCTCGAGATCTAGCGAAGTACGCAAANCCTCTAAGTTCTCACAACAAATCAATACCTCTGGGTACTGATCCAATTCTCTTGTCTTCTGGATTGAGTTCAAAATTATAAGATTATTATTCAATATTATACGGAGTGAAACATTTGTAGTCGTAAACTCAAAATTAAATCGGTTGTTCAACGGCGGTAATAAAAAAAATGAAACTAATAATCAAATTGTATTTTCTTATGTTCTTTCTAACTCCTTGCTTATTTTTGACACACCTTCATAATTTCATGTTTCTAAGTCATAGAGCAGCAAAGCGAAATGAAACGTTAAAAAAAAAATCAATTTAGAAAAAAAATGTGCAAAAAAAAAAAAATCATTTAAAATTCCAAATAACATATATTCAGAATTTCAGGAAAAAAAAAACTCTGTTAAACATATAATGGTTCTTCTAACATGCCAAATCTTTACTCTGTGCTTATGATGTTCTTAAAATGAGTTTCTGTTTTTTTCCTCGTTCAAAAAATATGTGCAATAATAGAAAGGCTCTACATTATAGTCCCATCACAATCAATATATTTAACAATCAAGCAATATTATCAAATTTTTAATAATATAATGTTAATATTCAGCAATAAAAAATACGACAGTTTACTTTAGGTGTATAGAAATAGAATTGAACTTAAAAGGGCCCCATCATTTTCAGTAGCTTAGGGCCCCGCCAAGCTTAAATCCGGCCCTGGAATGGAATGCATGTCAAGAAGACTAAAGATCTCGAGATCTAACGAAGTACGCAAAAACTCAAATTAACATAAAGGGCTTTAGACCGTTTTTCTGGCAAAACTATTAGCAAAATTTTTTTTTTCGAATTGCGAATTCCGATATGTCATCGCTGATATCAGTTCTTGTTTATGTATCCGAAAAGAACTATTATTACAATTAATATTTCAGTTCAGCTTTCTCAAAATTGTCAGGGAGCAGCATGGACAAGTGGAACTTAAGGCTTGGCTTTTCATTTCAAGAGATTAAAAAATTTAATTATTAGATGAGAAATTTACGCTAAATGCATTAATTATAAAATCAACGTTCATGTAAGATTACTTTCAATTCGATTTTTCCCTTCATTCTTTTCCCACTGTCGAATTTTTAAAATTACCTATCAATATTGTTTCTTTTGATTCATGCTTCGACGATTACTATCAGTCACGTATACTTTTACGGAATAATTTTTTAAGAAATAATTAGTCTTCCAAATATAGATTAGAAAAATTACAGAAAATGCACTAAAATTAATTTTTAATGGATTAGTGAATTGGGCTAAATATTAAAGTTTCATTAAGCTCTATCTACATGTAGTATTTTTTTGCAAAAACCAAGGGATATTTTTAAAAACCAATTAGGAGGCCCACAATGAATATCTTTTCCGATATTTTAATGTGAATAAAGTACTCTATGAATAAAAATAACTCTTTTTCTTTGGAGAGCGAATAATAGCTGAAAAAGGGATAAATCTCAGCTCCGACTCTACGCACACGTCTCCCAATGTAACTCCCTTTAATATTAACCTATAATTTTCAAACACGGCACGAAATTCGAGTTATATATATTGAACAATCGTAACTAAGGAAATTTTTATACATCAATTAGGGGGCCCACAATGGGACAAAATAGGTTTCAAGCTAAATATTTGCGGGAGCTGCGAGTGAAGTTTGGAGATGTTGGTAGAGCTGACGGATTGAAGGCGCCCTGCGAGGATCGACTTTAGAGCCGTTCAAAAAGTACGGACATCCCGAAGGGGGGGGGGAGAGGATTTGCTATTTTGTACTGATTTGTACGATGGGGAGGGGGGGAGATATTATACAAAGTAAGTAATTATAAGCATACACCCAATTTAAATTTGACTTTTTCCTATACATGTATTATACGTACAGTGGTGGCCAAAAGTGTGGACATTTTTTGAAAGTTTCATGTTTTTCAACTTTGTGTACTTGTGGAAAAGATTAATTTTCACTAAAATACAAACGTTTAGATATCAAATTGAAGATAATTTAATGTAGAATTTAATAATAAATACAGTATTACAATATCTGTATT